AAGGAGGGGTACGTTGCCAGCACGCGAAAACAAGCAGCAGGCCTTCTAATAAGCTGCCGCCGCAGTTCACGGCCCAATCTGGCACGCCACGTTCCACCACCTGAAGGCAACTCTCGTAGCGCTGGGCTCTGCTGCATGTCAATGAACCATGCAATCTCAACACGGGTCCATGATTTTGTTGGCAAACGTATTATTGAATCCAGAAGGATGTGTTGACGCACATCGCAACAGTGCTCCAGGAACCTGATCATGTCGGAGCCTGTCTCCTGCAAACCCCGCAAACCCCGGTGCAACCCCGCCCTCTAGAAAGTCGATGCAGGTCAGAACAACAGGACCCCAAAGGCCATAGCAAACGCTAGGCTCCCGGCCCATTCAGGCACGTCGCAGTCCTGCAGAGTTTGATGTTCGCTGTGCATTCCCGAAGCCTGCTGCGCCCACTTTGGCGTTGGCGTATGAAGCTCCCCTAAACCCTGTTCGCATGGCCACGGGCGGGGCAGCTCAACGCAGCGCAAACTTCCACAGACAACTGGAAACACGGAGCCCGAAAGCGCAAGGAACCACAAAAGCTCGGTCGCTTCGCTCGCCCCGTGGAGCCAGGGGGTAGGTGTCCGGCTGGCACTTGGGTCCCTGTCCACATCCCCCTGCACCTGTTTAAGCCCCTTTCTGTTGCGGCATGCTCTAACGCTGTAGTTAGGTTATCAGTCCTTACGAGCATCTTTCCTAGTTTGCCCTTCTGCTTAACAAGTGGAGACTTTTCCACCTCCCCGGCTTCCTGCTTGTTGGCTCTGTCTTGGCATCACTTCGCTTCCTCTAGTTCCGGCCTGCAACTGAAGATCCCACCGCGCTCCACGCAAAACGCGCGGCAGCAGCAGCAACGTTTAGGCGACCTGCCTAGACTTCAATGTGCGGAAAGGATCCGGTCCGGAGAGCCTTGCTCCCTTTCATCCAGGACTCTGGACCGTCACCCAAAACACCCTACAGCCTAAGGTTTAGGGTTTCGGGATCTTAAGCCCTACACCTTCAGGGAGTCTCTACAGCTCACCCTCTCGCCTGCTTCGAGCTCTCGGGCTCCATTCCGCGCGCCGGATGCTTCTCTCGTAGGTAGCGCCTCGGGCAAGTATCTTAGGGGCTCAATGCCCTAGCCCAACAAAGGTTAACGTTTTATTTGTGGTAGGATTATATCTCACCAAAAAGGCTAAAAGGTTGACTGCCCAGCCCCTAAGGTATACACGGAATTCGCAGCCCTTTTTTGATGGATGCAGCCAGAACCCTCGACCCTCAAGCGTCAACAACTCACTGCTGTCATTGATGGCAGAACCCCAGCTTCAACTCCCGGATCAGCTGACGTCGGCATGTAGGGTTGGAAGCTTTCAGCTCTCAGCACCATGGCAGTAGACAAGGCCAACAGCCATTCCCGCACCGATAGCACTCGTATGTACTCGCGCACACAGAGTGCGAGGCCAACTCAGACCCTGGTTCGGAGACAGCCCCGAGGAACTCAACTCGGAACACTGGCCAGCCGGTTGTCTCATGATGTTTCAGGATGTTTAACTGCCCCGCTGTCTGGCCTTGGGTGGTGAGAGTTGCCTAAACCCTAAACCCTAAACCCTAAACCCTAAACCCTAAACCCTAATCAAGGCTTTGCAAGCTGAGGAGGACGCACCAGGAGCCTGGCGAAATGTCGGCCGGTCGATGGCACACGCGTGGCTGAGCACAATCCTCCCTCCATCTCAGACTCTCAGTGCAAAGGGGGTGTTGACTAAAGCTCACCGAAAACGTCACAGCGCTGGTACTCAGATGAAGATCAACTCGGGAATTGTCTTTCACGTCGTGGATTCCACCCGCTTGCGTTGGCGGGAAGCTTTTGAGAATCCTTAACGGCTGGCGGCCGTGTTGATGCCGGCTCCGGTGCACCCCTGGCCATCCTCAATCGAGACACACATAGGTTCGGTCCCGGGCCAGCAGACCCTAAACATGTCCCCTGCATCCTGGCAAGGAGTACGGGGAAAAACGCAGAATAGAGAAGCAGGCACAGAAGCTGCTTTGACCAGTAGAGATCAGTAGAGCAGGTCACATGCGGGGAGACGGCGGAGATTAAGGTCCCGACAACATCAAGTCGAGCAGGAAGGACTTGCCCGTACCTGCCGAGCGTGGTTCTCTGGCAGCCCCCTCCCCGGGCACTGCAAGGACATGGGGTTTTGGTCCTGGGTCCTCCCTAAACCCTAAACCCTAAACCCTAAACCCTAAACCCCTAGGTGTAGTTGGGCTCAAGGCCGAAACTGACCAGCACGAGCACCCCTAGCAGCCCTAGCAGCCCTAGCACTTTCAAATGGGCAGCTGCTCATCTTGATGCATATAAGACGAGCGGCGAAAGGCGCCCATCACTCCAATGACAGCCAACTTGTCCACCTGGGATGCGGGGCAAGTTGCTAGGAGCTTGCAGAAGGCAGCAGCCAAGTGGTTCTTCATCATGAGCTCAGACTCTCGTCTTTCGTTCGTTCGAGGGTAATACTTTAAGGGGGCTAGGCTCACCAGTCGGGTTTGCTGGGCTCTACGGAGGTGGGAACCGTTCAGAGATGTATTCGCTACAGCCTCCTTTCTGTGCGCTGGGCCCAAACTCTATTTTCTTTCTCTCGCTCTCTCTCTCTCTCTTTCGCTCTCTCTCTCTCTCTCTCTCTCTCTCTCTCTCTTTCGCCACTTGCCCCTTAAAGCCATGCACATGATACCGCACCGCGCCGATGTGTTCAGGCACTGCTTTTCAAAGGCGCCCATGGTACCAGCAGCTCATGAAATCCCATGCCCCCTGGCATCCGAGGCACTCCGGACTGTTGCAACGATGCCTCCAACCTCTGGAGGTTCTCTTCGTTGAGAACGACCTTCCAGGGCTCTAAGTATGGGCCCTTAGTTTGGACCCCTTGTTGTATTATCATATACCCTTTATATACACTACATGCGATAAGCTCCCATACGTCGGATCCCTATAAACAAGGGTGGGCAGTACTATTTTGCAGGTTTTTTGGGGGTTCTTAAGCAGATACTTCTTTTATGGAATCAAGCCCTTCCTTTCGGGGCCGTGAGAAAACATGTGGCCCCACTCTCTGAGACATATGGTTATACAGGTCTCTGTGCAATCTTGTGCTTCTCCGTCTCTTTCGCCAGCAACTTGTGAGTTCAGCAGTGCTGTGCCATGTTGTCCATGGCAAGTAGCCTCGGATTGACTCCTGACCATGTGTTTATCGTCTTCTCCGGTCTTTCCTGAACCGCCTCTCCCCTCCCCTGTCCCAGAAAGTCTTCGAACCCTAAACCCTAAACCCTAAGCCCTAAACCCTAAACCCTAAACCCTAAACCCTAAACCCACGTCAGGCCTTGTTCTGTGCCAGATCGATCTGGACGATCTGTAGCGGCGCGGGCTTCGCAGTGGACTGCACAGGTGCGGCCTTTCAGCGGCCAAGCTCTACCCAAAGCATGGGGGTTTTAGGGTTTGGAGTGTAGGGCTTAGGGTTTAGGGTTTGCATGGGGTCGTTTTCGGGCAGGGCCTTGGGACTTGTGGCATATGGGGTGCGGGTCGCAGGGTTCTTGGCACAACTGCGCGACATTGTCCGCCAAATCCCTGAGCCGCCAAAAACCATTCCCGACGGAGGCCTTCTCACCAAGCCTGGCGACCTGGTGTGTACTGCGGTGGCTTTATCGCGGCTTTTGTTGTGAACGTTTTCAGGGGTTTCACATGCTAGTGCGGGGATTGCTGGAGGTTATGGGGGGGTGTTCTGCCGAGAGCTTAGCTTTGCCTCAGAAAGTGCCAACGGGGCTGTGAGCTTTCGCAGGAGTCGTTGGTAGAGCCAGCAGGGCCGTGAAAACAGACTTTGGAAACTTCTTGTCCAGAAACTACACAAGCAGCCTGCATTCAATCTTTGATTCTGGACTTGGCTGCACCCAGAATGGTAGCCTTATTAAGAAACCCAATAAACCCAAAAAGACGAAAGATCTAAAGTCACAGTAAAGCACCACAAAGTGGAGCTCCGTCAACCTATCCCTCCCTGTAATGGCAAGTTGGCCTGCCATGGAGCTACAGCTGCCCCCAGAGCTGGACCCAATGTTGACAATCCTCAACTCTATACTGAACTTGGAACCCCAGCAAAAAGTATGATTTTTGCTGTTTCTTAGGAATTATAGTACCCAAAAACTAAAAGCTATTTCCAAGTACCCCTAAGAACTTGGGGCAATGCTTCTCCCACCACTGCGCGGCGAGGTGACACCCTCAAACCTGCGCGGCTGAGATTTGTCAGTGTTTAATTCCAGCAGCCCCATGAACCGCAAGGATCTCTTCTGCGAACCAAGGTGCACATGTTTAGGGTTAAGGACTTGCGGTTTAGGGTTTAGGCCCTAAACCCCAAACCGTAAAGCCTTTGATGGGGTCAAGACTGTACAGCGTGACATCAGGCACATGACTCGCTGAACGGTGGGACTCCTCGTCGTCGGCAGCTGCTGCGGACCTTTGCAAATGCTTGTCTGCAAGACTCTTCCACTTCTGGCATCTTTCTGGTGTGATTCAGCAGGATTTGGCAGTGGTCCGAGACTTGTCACATACACTAGCAGAGTACAGGCTGTCTTGTCAGACATCGTTCTGAGGCAAGCATGAAGTAGCAATCATTGGCAAGACCCCAGTGATCCTGCGCCTGCGTCATCTTTTGGCAGAGCCACCCGTGGTACAGTCATGTGCGGAGGGTCTGGAGCAACACTGTAGGCCAGATTCTGAATTCGATGCCCAGCTACAAAAGCAAACGAGCAAATCTAGCGACTCATACACTTGCCTGTAGAACAGTAGCACTCGGAGATGGCGGCCAGCACGTAGCCATGATGTGAAGTGCTTCAATCGCTTAGAAACCGAGGGTGAAACTGAGGTGATGAAACCGTCAACTTGCGAACCAAATCGTGTGTTTGGTCCAGGCTGTCTGCCCTTTGTGCACGTGGCAGCAGCGCGTCTGTAAGTTTTCTGGCGGGACTTAGTCCCTACTTTCTGACTCACCCGCAGATAGAATCGCCTGGCGAGGTTGCACAAGGCTTTTGTCCAGCATCGCAAGCTTAAGGTTGGGAGTAGGGTGGGCGAGCAGCGATAGCCTGAAAAGAGCATAGCTCTTCATTCTACACCCAAAACCCCTAAACCCTCAACCTGCCAGGAGCGGTAGCTCTTGTGAGATCTAGTGGCCCAGTCGCACGTAGGAGCCCAAGCTCCCAGCCCCCAGAGATTCTAAACCCTAAACCCTAAACCTCAATCCTAAACCCTAAACCCTAAACCCTAAATCCTAAACCCTAAACCCTAAACCCTAAACCTCAATCCTAAACCCTAAACCCTAAATCCTAAGCCCTAAACCCAGAGGGACCTGAGATCCCGTTGCAAAGAAGAACCTTCACATATGGGGGGGATGTTCCGAAATTTGGGGAGCCTTCTTGGGGTCCTCATTTTAAGGGAATCCTACTATACCCTAAACCCTTTTGCAACGAGTATACCCTAAACCCTAAACCCTAAACCCTAAACCCAAAAAAAAAGCCCCAAATATTCCTATGAACCTTTCCGCCTGGAAGATGCTGACGCACACGCCGGGCAAAGCCCAGGTACGGATTCGCCTAGAGCAGGAGCCCGATAATCTTACTGTTTAGGGTTTAGGGTTTAGGGTTCAGGGTTTAGGGTTTAGGGTTAGCAGGGAATGGGGTACCCTATACCCCACCTCTTAAGGGATTACGTAGGGTAATTCCCCCATCCCCTACTAACCAACCGTACGTAATTTACCGAACTGTTCAGGCGCCGGGGCAAAGGAGTGCTGAAGGACTCCCGAGTCTGCAAAAGACTTCGGAGCTGAAAGCATTAGAACTTCTTTTTGGGTTGGCTACTTTACAAAGGGAACCTTGAACCCAAAAGAGGGAACAGGGCACCGCTGGGCCCTGTGAGATTATAGACATTGTCTCCAAACTTCATTATTAAAGCAAGCCCTAAACCCCAAACCCCAAACCCTAAACCCTAAACCGTAACCGTGTCATTAAACAGGCCCCTGTCTTGGAACAGTGGATCGACATCAGGAAGCATCATGGAGGATATGGTTATGGAATGGTTGTTTTGCAGTGGCTCTCGGACAAGGGTGAATGTCATGAGCAAGTTCTGCAAACCCCTCCACAAGGTTGCATGGCTATATATTTGTCAAACAGTCCTGGCGTTTGCTTGGGGAATTTGGGGCTTCCTGAAGACTGACTGCAAGGCAATGCCATACCGCCACGAAGCAGGCCGCAAACCCTACACCCGAACTACTGACCCTAACCCTGAGCCTCTAACGTAAAGCTGAAAGAAAATTCCAACTTCCTAAACCCTAAACCCTAAACCCTAAACCCTAAACCCTAAACCCTAAACCCCTTTTTTTGGCTTCAGGGCTAACCCTAAACCCTAAACCCTAAACCCTAAACCCTAAACCCTAAACCCTAAACCCCTACTTGCGGCCCTCGGAGCTGTCCATCCCACTTCTCCGCTTGCTGTGTGGAGGTCAGCCGCACCACGTAGTAGGCGTCCACGAAGATCCTCGGAAAGGGTTTAGGGTTTAGGGTTTAGGGTTTAGGGTTTAGGGTTTAGGGTTTTTTTTCACTCCTGCACAGCTGGGGCGAATCCACATCGCAGGGCGACTACGAGGTACGACGGTTTAGGGTTTAGGGTTTAGGGTTTAGGGTTCAGGGTTCAGGGTTCAAGGTTCAGGGTTTAGGGTTCAGGGTGTTAGGGTTCAGGGTTCAGGGTTTAGGGTTTAGGATTCAGGGTTTAGGCTTCAGGGTTTTGGATTTAGGGTTTAGGGGCTCGGTAGTGGAATCTGCGCTGGCGGGCCAGTTTTGAGGGGGGCGGGGGTGCTGGTTCTTTGGCGAACACCTGTCAGATGCCTGCCGGATCAACGGCAATAGAGTTGAGAGATGTGCTACCTTGCAGACTTTGCAGCACGTCGTGGCGTACTAAGGAATGCGAAACGACAGAAGAGGCACCAAATCACCCGCACAAACATCAGGTATGCGAACGAAACAGTCGCAAGGACAGCGACGCCGACGCACGCAATCCCTGTGATTGATTGTTGAAGCGTTTGACTTCTCGGTGCTTTTGTACAACCCTCGCCGCCGCAAGCTATACCAAACCCAACGAAGAAACCAATTCCCAAATTTGGACCTCTGTAGCCTCAAAATTATTGCAACCCTTTCGTAGGCCGCCGTGCAGCGTGACAAACACGTTCATCAAGAAGAAGGTCAGCAGTAGGTAGAGCGCAACGGTCGAAATCACAGCAGTCACCTGGGATGTTGGGCAACTTACATCTCGGGTCCCTGCTAGCGTTTTGGATTTCAGACTTTGCGCAGGGCTTGCGTTTTGCAACGCAGCTGGACGTCCCCTACGCACACATCCAGATGAAACTCTTGGTAGCCCAGTAGCCATATTACAATAAGGGCACCCTTTTTTTGGGTCGGTTATTCTATAAGGGAACCCAAAACCAAAAAAACGGGTACAGGGTACCACTGGGCTGCCAAGAACTCCAAGAATGTCGGCCAGGTTGCCAAATCTCTGTTGAGCACTTGCGGGTTCAGATTGCCAGCCACTAACTTCCTTCGTTGTCGGCAAGTATAGCTTGGAGAAGAGTGGAGACTCTGGCTGGCACCTCCCAAACCCTAAAACCCTAAACCCTAAACCCTAAACCCTAAAACCCTAAAACCCTAAAACCCTAAAACCCTAAAACCCTAAAACCCTAAAACCCTAAAACCCTAAAACCCTAAAACCCTAAAACCCTTAACCCCACGTAGCCTTAAAGTTTGGAACCTCGAGCTCCAGCGCCATGTCCTCCACAAAAGAACATGCTACATGCGGCTCAGGTTCATGGAAGAGATGGCCGATAGGCCCAAACTTGAGAAACCTGAGACAAGTTGGTGCACCAGCTCTTCTAGCAGGCAGCATTGCTCTCTGGGTTTAGGGTTTAGGGTTCACAGGTCCCCAACCCTCCAGAAACCTACTGAGTCGTGACTTCCTTGGGGCTGTTGCGGGCGACGTTTCTTGGAGGCTCAAGATCTCGGTCTTGATGGGAGGGTCCCCAACCCTGAGCCTGTAAAATCTGAGGGAGCGGCCTTGGATGTAGCGGCCGAAGAGCATGGTTGAGACAACCACGAAGCCTTTGTTGCATCTGCTCCGCAATTGGCAATATGGGGCAGGTCTGTCTGGGGTTTAGGGCTTGGGGGCGGCGAAGGAGTGTAGGGCAGGCATGCGGAATGCCCGAGAAGGTGTGCACACAAGGTTTTCCGAATCTTGGAGTGGCTGGCGGCCTGCGAATGCCGGCACGATGATCATGGCAAAGAAGATGAACATCTTCAACGCCTGGTTGAGCGTCATGGAACGGCTCTTGTGATCCATGCCTCATGGTTGATAGCCCAGAGACTCCAAAACCCCTTAAACTGGGTTCATCCTCACATGCCCTTAGAGGACCACGGGTACGTTTTCTGCCGTGGTGGGGAAGACGCGATCAATGTTGCATTGTAAGTTCCAGCATTTTCAGTACAGGGCATTATGAACATTCTTTTTGGATGGGCTTAAGCAGTTTGTATGTTTCTAATGTTGGACCCCAAACAATTTTGGGGTTTTCGGGGTTCCCCCCTCCCCCCCCCTCCTCCCCTCCCCCCCCTTCTCCCGCCGCCCAAAAAATGAAGCTTGTCACGTGTAACTACCCATGAACCGGAAAGCATGCTGCTCTTGCCCAAGCCAACGCACAGGCCTGACCAACGGCTCGCCACTGGAGGAAGACGGTGTGGCTCAATCCTGAAATACTGGGCCCTGAACCCTAAACCCTAAGCCCTAAACTTTAAACTGGGATGTTCACCCTGATTGTAACAGTCCTCATTCAGGACTATAATCGGGAGACTATAATTCCCTATAGAGGACTGTTAGTAGAAGGGGGAGCATCCCAACTGGAGCGCTGGAAACACGCTTCAGCAAAGCCTTACTGTTGGTTAGTAGGGAATGAAGGAATGGGGTACCCTATATAATCCCTTAAAGGGTATATAAATATGAATATAAATATAAATACACATAAATATATACATATATATATAAATAAATATAAATAAATAAATAAATATATATATATATATATATAGCACACGCCGGTTTTCACATTCTCTCTTGTCTCCGCATCTTCTTTCAGCCTGCAGCCCTACATGCCCTCAACTCCACAGGACCATTTCAGCACATGCGAAACCTCACTTTCTTTCTTTCTTTCTTTCGTTGGGGCATGGGGGTGACCCCCCGCGCAGGTGCGCGCCCCCGTCCGTAGGTTTCGCTCTCTCTCTCTCTCTCTCTCTCTCTCTCTCTCTCTCTCCCTGAGACGATGCTTACTCCCCTATATAACCTGTATATACATATATATATATGTATATATATATATACACACCCTCTTATAAACCTAAGCAGCCCCCAAAGAACCCCCCCCAACAGCCCCTAAGGTCCCTGATAAGGGTTCCTCCTTTAGTCAACTTTAGTCCCTAAACCCCAAACCCCAAACCCCAAACCCCAAACCCTAAACCCTAAACCCTAAACCCTAAACCCTAAACCCTAAACCCTAACCTCTAAACCCTAAACCCTAACCTGAAACGATGCCAGGCCACGGAAGAAGGTAATCATCCGATACATCAGGAACACCATGACAATGCCGTCCTCGAACTCACGGCCGCTCTCAGAAAGTCCACAGGCTACCCCTAAACCCTAAACCCTAAACTCTAAACCCTACCGGTAGACAAATTTAGGGCACTCCCCCAGCAAGGGCCCTCAGGGGAACCAGCGCACGGAGCTTAGGATTTAGGACCCCTTTGTTGAGGGTTGAAGGGATCCGCCACCAAAACCGAAAAGACCCTCAACCAAATTTAGGGTTTAGGGTTTAGGGTTTCGGAAATATGTTCGGATGGCGCAGGTGGTTTGGGGTTTAGGGGGAAGTGCTCGAGGCCCGGATGTCATAGGATGGCCCTCTGAATGAGCCGGGTGGCTACAATGAAGATGGTGTTGTAGTTCCAAGCCATCTCACCTGGAAAAAGACGGCGCATCGGTAATGCAGTGGACGGAAAACCCTAAACCCTAAACCCTGCACCCTAAACCCGAAACCCTAGTAGAGCACAGCTCTGCAGCGTATCCTTGCATAGCCAGGGGGGGGGGGGGCAGGGGCTGCTGCCTGCCTCCGCAAAGTCAGAAGCATGAGTTCTGCTACGCGCATCCTATTGCCGAACGCAGCCGAGCATAACATGACGTAACAGAACATGCCATAACAGACAGCATGCCATAACACACAGCACAACATGGCATTTAAAAAGTTCAACTCGAGGGGCAAGCCGAGGTCAACGAAAGCTAGCCTAGCTTCTAGGCGGCATACATGCTGGCTTTAAGCAGCTATTTTGAGACCCCATCTGCCGCACTGCCGCACACTGCACCCTCCACACTCCACACTCCACTGCACACCATCACACATCCACACACCATCACCACACGTCACCGCCCACCACACACCACCGTCCCTACCATGAGCTCAGAGAGACCGCGATCTTCACCGCAAGAGTCATCCAAAACATTCGCTTGAGATAACAAGACGTACCAACTTGTGCACATACATACAGACCACAATCTACAGCTCAACATCCCCGCAGAACCCAATTCCCCAAATTGCATATTCAATACCCACCCCCCCGAACCCCCTCGCCCCCCCACCAACCAGAAAGAAGCAAAGTTGATGCAGCTTATTTAAATCTGGCATGTCGTGTGGTGTGTTGTCTGTGCTTTTTGTCAGTTTCAAATGTAGTTTGTGGCTGATCCAGCACATGTACAAAACCACCAGTCAACGACAAACTGGGAGCGGATTGTGGATGTAGGTTTGAGTGGAGGTCGTTTGAGGTCTTAGTTCTTTTTTTCTTTTGTTGTGGTGGATTTTTGGATGGAATTGGGTGGGTAAAGATTCAGTAGTGACCCTCTGGGCTGTGAGGCGTTCGTAGTGACTGCGCCCACTTTCCTCGAAATGATCAACAAAAAGTTTGTTGCGTGCGGTATAGGGACCCCAACGCCTTTCCGGAACCAATAATATGACCCTAAACCCTAAACCCTAAACCCTGAACCCTAAACCCCAAACCCTAAACCCCAAACCCTAACCCCTTAGCCCCTTATGGCCAAGGAACGGAAGGAATAGAACCCATGCGTTCTGCCAGCATCTTGTGCCCTCTCGAGGTAGGCCGCCGTGGATGAACTCTGGAACTCCACCTCACTCTGCTTTGGGGTTTAGGGTTTAGGGTTGGCCCTTAAAACCCGGTTTAGGGTTTAGGGTTTAGGGTTTAGGGTTTAAGGTTTACGGTTTACGGTTTAGGGTTGGCTCTTAAAAACCCTTCGAAACATATTTTCTAGCTATGATCCTCCTAAACCTACTAAGGGAGAATAAAAAACGTCCCAAGGTCCTTACTGCCTAGTTTGTGGGTGTCGCTGTGGCACTTGGTTGAGAACGAACCCATCCCGTGCACTCTATACCTCCTTCTGGGGGTTTCGGAAAATATGGGGGTGGATTTTTGGGAGTCCCTGTAAGGGGGGTTCTATTCTATTTGGGGTATAAAAGGGGTACCCCAGGTACCCCCTGTTTTGGGAAAGACCCATGTGCGCTGCATGTGCGGCTGGACTTGCCGAATGAGCTGTAGTTTCGTGCTGTTGGGGTCATGCGTTGCATTGTGGCGTGCCTTTTCAGAAGGGTTTAGGGTTTAGGGCTTAGGGTTAAGGCTTTTCCACTGTACCTCACTTGACCGAGCGCCTTCCACGGTAAGGGAAACTGGCGTTGCAGCTGGGAGTGATGATGTCAAGGTCACGCTTCCGCAACAGGACGCGCCCTTCCATATTTGTAAACTCAAAGATGTACAATACATTACAAATATATATATATATATATATATATATATATATGTGCTCACACATGCGCATATGTACATCCTCAATTCCTCACTAACCACCGACTGACTGCGCGAGCTCTTCGCCCTGGTACGTGCTGCAACTCAACGCCAGACAAGTGCTCTGTTGGATCCATTCTTTGGGCTAGAGTGGGCTGGTCCTGACCTTTCCTCGTCCAGAATGTGCTGGTGCCTCACCCCTGAGCTTTCACACAGCTCATCAGCCGAGCAGCCGTCCGCCAAATCAAGGTCACAAACATGCATGTCACCTGAGTGCGAACGTCAAGTGCTTGAGGGTCGAAGGTTCAGAGGTTCAGAAACGCTCTGCCTTCCCAGCCTCGTATGCTAGATCCAAGCCCCGAGCTGCAACTCCATCACAGAAGTAACACCTTTATCCAAACAATCTTATCGCCTTGCGACCCAAGCTGCTAGGCCCAAATCCGTGATCCCCGCCAAGGAGATGTGGTAGTAGAAGCCGGCCTGGTTCATGGCTGTAAGGCTATCCACTTACTGGGTTGCAAAAGCACCCAACTTCTTCGGAATCGCGCTAACTTTCTGATATCTCTACTCCCCTAGGAACCATCTCGCAACAACCACTTGCTGTCACCAGTACCATTCACCGTACTAACCATAGCAATAACAACACTATCATGGCAAGAACCATGCGAATAATCTCAATAACGATTATGCAATGTTGCAACCTGCCCTAGCGTTTTTGTACTAACGATACACCCAGCGAAATCTTAAACCCTAAGCCCCTAAAGCCTAAACTCCAAAGCCCAAGTGTGCGGTGTTGGGGGACTGAGAGCTGCTACTTCAGGTTCCAATCTTCAACCGCAAGCCGCTAAACCAAGCCTTCCGGGTAAGTATGGTGGTTTAGGGTGTTCTTCGAGTTTTTGGGAAGTAAGTGCCGTATAGAGTACCCTCAAAGATTGTATGAGGGACCAAGGCCGCTATGCCTTCATGAATTGGGGTTTAGGGTTTAGGGTTTAGGGGGGCTGTTTGCTTGCGGGAGACCTTCTAAAACAGGGATTCGATTCATGCGCAAAGTTGCCGAAAAAGGGACCCTACTGTAGTACCACGTGCATTCACCCCCGGATTCGAAAATCTTGGCCGGATGCAGCCACTGCATGCCAACATGCAAAGGAGCCGGAGAGTGCAGTTAACTCTTCTATTCTGCACTTGAGGCCACCCAACCTCCTGCAACCCTAAGCCCTAAACCCTAAACACCCCCTTTCCCAGAAGCCATGGCCTTGTGGTTTCTCACCTCAGTTGCCAGGAGCTGAGGGCATTCCGGCTTAGGGCTGAGGAGAAGTGCGTGAGAGCAAAGCACGGAGGGCCGAAGAGTTTCCAATCTTGTTTCGGGATCTAAGGGAGGGTGTAGGGTTTAGGGTGTAGGGTTTAGGGTTTAGGGTTTACGATTATGTCAGGGCCCGGCACGGTGAAGTTCTCACCCTCCGAACCCATCAGGCTTTCATAGCTTCTTTTGGGAGTCTTCGGAAGATGGTCTTCCCCCTAAACCCTAAACCCTAAACCCTAAACCCTAAACCCTAAACCCCCGTATGCCCAGCGACCTTGTGGTGCCGCTCGGACCATCCTGTCAGGGTGGAGATCCAGCTCAAGAAGGACTGGGCAGGTTTAGGGTTTAGGGTTTAGGGTTTAGGGTTTAGGGTTTAGGGTTTAGGGTTTAGGGTTTAGGGTTTAGGGTATTTCCCAAACTAGGGGTACCCTTTTTTTGGCCCCAATAAAAGGAATCCCCTTAACAGGGACCCCCAAAAACAAAAAGGGCACCCCCCTATTTTCGGAAACCCCGATTGAGACCTGCTCTGTTGTATACGCCTCGCCTTCAACTGCTAGGTCCACTTGGTCCAAGGATTACCACAGCAAGATCTCCCGTTTCAATCTCAAGCCTATGCTGAAGAACAAGCCAAGCCAGTACCCCGCCGAGGAATCATGGAAACCAGGCTTTTTGTGCCCTGGAATTGCTCAAACTGCAGAGTGCCCAAGCCCCTTCAGAGCCAAGAACGCACGGGAAAACCTCCTTCCGCTCCCCTCTGCCTACGAAAATCAGGATGTAGATGCCGATCGCTAAACGCACCTGGCTCTTTCGGACGCTGGCGTCGAAAACAACACTATTCCGGTACAGGCCCCAGAACTCAACAGCACCTCATGGACAAGGGATTGTTCCAAGACAGCTCTGGTGCAATCGCTTCCATTTAGGGTACCTTTTTGGGGTATTGTAAAGGGAATCCTACTGTTTGGGGGATCTTTGTTGGGCCTCCCCTATTTTCGGAAGCCTCTTAATTAGTTACACAAAGCCGCAACGCAATTTAGGTGTGTGCATATGTATATACAAAAAGTTCTATCGTTCGATAGAAAAACCTTGGCAAATATGCAAACCTGGATTAAGCATTGAACAAAATAAGGAGAAGCTCAAGTTGCCAAAGCATCAAAAGGCCCTGGAAACCTTCGCCCGATCGGGTTTAGGGGTTCATGAGAGACGGGGTCAGAGTTTATTAAGGTTCAGGGGTTCATTTTAGGGTTCATCAGAGGGTTTCAGAGGGGGCAGGCAAGGAGCATACTCGACGTACGTGTACGTGAGCTCCGATCCTCCGCAAGAAGTGGTGTTTGTTCAATAGCATGGACGTTACTGGTAATTTCCGACTTGTGGGGTATTGGAGGCTCTGGACAGGGTTTAGAGTGGCACCTTCGTACCTTGATCTGTTGTTTCAGGAAGTACCGCAAGTGGCTGGAGGGAACTACCCCAGCAAACATGTCTTAATGTCTTAAGGCCCCCCCCCCCCCCCCCACCCACTCCCCTCCCCCCCAAACCCTCAACCCTCAACACTAACCCCTCCCTCCCGCCCCCACAAGCTTCATCTTGCCGGCCGGGTATCGAGTCTCATAGATTCGCGGCTTGAAGGGCTTCACCGAGAAGCTGGGCAGAACGTCACCGTCCGGAGGCAGCTCGAGGAGGAAGTCCTGAGTTCGGTATATAAGGCCTGGCTCCGATTCCTAGGGTTTCTGCAAGCCCTCTCTGATTCTTAGGGTTTAGGGTTTAGGGTTTAGGGGTTAGGGTGTATATAGGGGGCTGCTGGCAGATTCGCAATTTCCTGAGCTCCTGCGTGCCTTTTTGCTTGGCCAGTGCAAGCGTCAGCACCAAGAGATCATGCAGAAGGTACTAGCATGTACTCCAAAGTCAAGGAACAGAGGGGACTTCGAAAATCCCAAGTTGATTCTTGAATATTCACACTGCTCCTTCGAAACAACGCAAGAGGCCTCTCAGAAGCATTTATGAGGCTTGGATTTTCACGGTTGCCGGAGACGGGCCGGAGAGAAAACACCTCCAGAACCACAGCGTAGTGTGGGTTTGCCCTGTAGACTCATGCATGAGCACGACAGGAACCTATGACGCGAGAAGCTTCTGCCCGGGCCACACAGGCAACATACAAGCTTCAGCTGTATGCCGGGTCCTGGCACGTCAATCCCGAAACCCTCAACCCTAAACCATAAAAGAGGAACAGATAGCAAGCAAGGGGGCAACACTGCATCTACGCGACAGGATGTGAAACTGTGTCATAGCGCGCCTAGAGTAGGCACGCTACGCAAGCCTGCCCTTAACCGGCTTCGCCATGCACTCTGCCCTTCCCTCTTCTCTATAGTGAGCTGCGCAAAACACATGCGGGTTGCCGAACATAAGGGCAACTTTTGTGGGGTCCTGTTTATTGGGGGATCCTACGATTTGGGGATCCTATTTTCGTAAACCCCTCACATTCTGCCATGCCACCAGACTAACTCAACATGGCGGTAATGTGTGTCATGGCGCGCTGGCCGTCCAGAGGTCATAGTCGAAGTTGTAGGTCGTGAAAGACACAACGACCATGCGTGTGGCGCTGTCATCGATCCACTTGTTCTCCCGGAAGAAGCTAAGGTCTTTTCCTCATGGGGCTGCGCAGGCAATAGGGGCCGAAGCCTAAAGACTCAAACTCAGGCCGACTGCAAAGCTGCTTGGCGCATGATCGAACAAGCCTGGCCAACTTAGGAGGGGATTGGGGTTGAATGAGACAGGACGCGCGGAGCCGGAACCAGGCCCTATGGTAAAGATTGAACCCTCGTTGAAGCGTGGCATTGCATGGTGTCAGGATGCGGGCTGAGAGTGGTCCATGCAAAAACCGATGCCATGCAGCAAAGCGTCTGTACTCTGGCAAGGACAAAGCAGCATTGGAGACGGTCATGCGGTAGTCGACGCTGTACCCACTCGCATCGTAGTCAGCAACGTACCCAGCGATCGAACCGATGCCATGCTTGTCCTTTGCTCATCAAGGGTTTAGGGTTTAGGGTAAGTAATCAGAGAGAATCTGCAGTACGATCCTGAAAACTGCCCCTGCGTTGTATGAATCTCGCAAAGCCAGAGAATCTCGACAAGCCAGACACGCCAAGCTTCCTTATTCTCCGTCGCCGACCTGGACACAGCTGGTTGCTAACAGGTGTTTACCCTATACCCTAAACCCTAAACCCTAAACCCCAAACCCTAAACCCTAAACCCTAAACCCTAAACCCTAAGCTGCCCCAACTACGGAAGTCCGGAAGTCTGCTGAGGCGCCGGCCTGAAGACAGCTGGGTTGCCAATTCCGCGCACTTTCGAGCTTGCATCGAGATCGGAGCTGGCTGCGACGGCTTCCCTTGGAGACATCTTCGGGTAGTTCCATGGCCCCTTAAACGACCCCTCAAACCCTAAACCCTAAACCCTAAACCCTAAACCCTAAACCCTAAACCCTAAACCCTAAACCCTAAACCCTAAGGGGCCCCCTGAAAAACCCCTCGTGTACCCTTTTTCAACCCAAGGGCTCCTATTTCGGAGCACCCTTTAAAGGAGCTGGGGGACCATATTCAGGGACCATGAAGCTACCCTCAGAGCCCTAAACCCTAAACCCTGAGCCCTAAACCCTAAACCTTAAACCCTAAACCCTAAACCCTGAATCCTAAGTCCTAAATCCTAAACCCTATCTCGAAGACAGCACAAGTCTTAAGCCGCGAAATCGCCTTGACACGCCTGCTGACAAGCGGCCGCCAGTAGGTTTGGATGTCCGCGTACGTGGCTGTCTCTTGCGTGGAGGCCGTGACGGCCCGGGGATAGCAAGTGATGTTCGCACCTTCTCCTTGGAGGGCCGTGGGTTTAGGGTTTAGGGTTTAGGGTTTAGGGCTTCGAGGAGCGCACGCGAGACCCTTTGCCAAGTAGAAAACCACTGGAGGACCTCGCTGCCTAGCTGCGTGACAGCATGGCATTCATGGCCTGCACGAGCTGCTGATTCTGGACCTTAGATCTTCTAGGTTGCCCAGTATCCTAGGATTAAAAAAGGGTGCCCTTTTTTGCTTAAAGGGGTTTATAAGGGAACCTGGACCTAAACCCCCCCAAAAAGGGAATAAGGGTAGTGCTGGGCATCCTAGGGGACCCCTGGGGATATAGACCCTCTGAATAAGGTCCCTGTTTAAGAGAGCCAGAAGAGGGTTCAGAAGGGTTCCCTTCTAAGGGTCCCCCTTCTCTCACCTGGGAACCCTAAACCCTAAACCCCTTGGATTTTAAAGGTGCCTTGGAGTCGGGTGCTGTGTGCCTGCATCGTCAGTTGCAGTCGCACCAAAACGACATTTGCTTTTGCGCGCCGCTGATCAGGGCACACCCTAACAACTCCACAGCTTCTCAGCAGCATTTTCCCTTTCGTAGCGAAGTCCACAAACCTGAAAAGCCCCAACACCTCCACCAACTCTCAACATCCTGACCAGCCGACGCGTCTAGAATGCCATTGGCCCTTAGTCGAACCCGAAATCCTAGCACCCCTAGACTCCTTGACCTCCATCCCTAAATCCTAAACCCTAAACCCTAAACCCTAAACCCATGTTTGGACTTCGACCCAAAACGGCACAAGACCAGGCACGCAGAACTCTGTCGAGCCAGTCGAGTTGGGGGTCTTCACATTCCTCAGCTGCTTGAGGGTTACCCTAAACCCTAAACCCTAAACCCTAAACCCTAAACCCTAAACCCTAAACCCTAAACCCTAAACCTCAAACCCTAAACCCTAAACCCTAAACCCCAAAGCTTGAGGGCTGCTTGGCAGATTGCAGGCCTCTTACTTTCAGAGCCTCTCTTTTGCAGGTAGGTGTCTGCACACGAATGGAGACGTACCCCAGCAGCTCCTTAGTTGTTCTGGGGAGCCGATGCCTTGTAACTCGGCAATCATGGACACAAGCCTTCAAAAGTAAAGCCTTCAAACGCATGGCTACCAAAGAGCTAAGGGGCATTATAGCTGGCAAGAGTTGGCAGGCTGCCTTCACCAGTGGTGGACCAGAAAGTGTTGGGCAGCGTGTAGTTCAACCAATTCCACATACCCTCGCGGGTCTGAATGTCCTGGGCAGCATTTTGCAACACAGGCCTTCAACAATAACCTAGATTATCCTAGGATGCCCTAGGATTAAAAGGGCGCCCTGTGTTTTCTTAAAGGGATTATATAATAAGGGAACCTAAACCCACCAAAAAGGGAATAAGGCCACTTCTGGTCATCCGAGTAGTCCCCACTTAACCCTAAGCCCTAACCCTGAGGTGCATTTTGCGGCTTAGGGTTCAAGGTTTAGGGTCTAGGGTTTAGGGTTTAGGGTTGAGGGTTTAGGGTTCAGGGTTTTGCTCGGCGCTGACTCTGAGTCTGAGCGACTGAGCGCAGGGTTCATGGTTTAGGGTTCAGGGTTTAGGCTTACTAGGACCCAGACTACGACGGTGCGGCAAATCTCCAGCTGATGCGACTCCGGCTTTGAAAAACTCGAGCCTAAACAACCACACGCGTGCTGACTCTAGTCATGGCTGAGAGGGGTGTGCAGTCATTATGTGAGAGATGAGAAAAAAACCTGCCGATGCACACATGCCACAGCAAGCACCACGCATACAGGGGTTGCAGGCTTTCTCTAGAGGGTTGCTTTGATGGCAGATAGCGCTAAACCCTAAACCCTACACCTCTTTTTTGAAACCCGGAGCTCTCTCCAATCAGCCGGGAGCCACGCCCAGGAAACCCTAAACCCTAAACCCTCAACCCCAAACCCTAAACCCTAGCAAGACCCTCGAAGATGGCACGGCAGAGAGAGAGAGAGAGAGAGAGAGAGAGAGAGAAACCCTAAACCCTAAACCCCAAACCGGATGGCTTCTTGCTAGCAGTGTCAGGCCGCGGTCATCCCTGAACCCTAAATCCCTAAACCCTGAACCCTAAACCCTGAACCCTGAACCCTAAACCCTAAACCCTAAAGCCTAAACCCTAAACCCTAAACCCTAAACCCTAAACCCTAAACCCTGACAACAAGCCGTCCTAAGAACCGAGGACGCCTTGCCTGGAAGCTCGGCACGCAAAGTCGACGATCCAGCGATGACTCTCCTTGGCAGTGGGCACGAAAACAGCCTTGAAGAAAACCTCCCTTGGGGGTTTAGGGTTTAGGGTTTAGGGTTTAGGGTTTAGGGGTATACCCCCTATTGTAATCCCTATTAAGGACTGCGAGTATAAGGGGGAACGACTCTCACAACTTGGACCCAGGCATACAACTCAACCCTTTGACCTTAAGGGCTTGGAATTGGAAGGTTCATGGAAATGAAAAAGCATCTGTTGTGGTCTACCCGCCCAAGTTCGAGAAGAGGCTTTTTACTTGGTATCCACGTACATATTCTAGAAGCACCATTTTGGGGGTTGGTTACTTGATACGGGAAGCTAGAACCCAGAAAAGAAAATGGGCACCACTGGGCTACCAAGTTTTAACATGGGCCCAAGTCGCCAGTGCATGAGGTTGGATCCACGCCTGGCATTGGTGTGGAGACCAGCAAGTAGTCCTTGGGATCGTTCGGTCCCAGATGGTTCGTTGAGGGATCCCTCGAGACCAAGCACAGTGGCTCCTTTTTCGGGGTGTCAGGGTGCTTGCTAAGACTTACCCTAAACCCTAAACCCTAAACCCTAAACCCTAAACCCTAAACCCTAAACCCTAAACCCTAAACCCTAGCTGACATTCTTGGGGCGCAAGGCATCAGGATGGGTAAACGGCAAGTGGTGGAGGGCGACGGAAAGGACAGGAGCTTCCTGGCTGGTTGTTATAGTAGGGAATGAGGGAATGAGGTACCTATATCCTTACCTTAAAGGGTATAAATAAATAAATAACTAAATAAATAAATAAATAAATAAATATATATATATATATGTATATATATATATATATATATATATATATATATATATATATATATATATATATATATATATATATATATATATATATATGTATATATATATATATATACAAGTAGGGCCCTAATTCCCTCATTCCCTACTTTGGCCACGTGGCTTGTACACCCTTGGCACACCAATAGGCGTCGCCAATGGGTCTCCGGGTCATGTACACGTACACGGACAGGACCACCTCAAGAGTTCAGGGTGGTAAGCCCTAAACCCTAAACCCTAAACCCTAAACCCTAAACCCTAAACAAGGTTTAGGGTTTAGGGATTAAGGTCTAGGGATCCCTTCAATTCAATTTTTCGGGGCTCCTGGGTTCTTTGTGAAACTTCTGGTGCCCTTTTGGGATGTCTGGGAGACACCGACTCAGCTGTGGTCCTGAATTTGGGCTTCGTTGTCTTCCGGTGCGGCGACACAGTTCCAGCCGGTGCTAGCTGAGGCTTTTGCTTGCGAATTGGTAGGGGGATGTCCCGAGCAACTCTAGCAAAACTGTTCAGACAATCAAGAGTCTGATCGGTGACATGGTGGTGAGCAAGGACTGAGCAACATTCACGCATGGGCTGGTGCGTTTCTCTTGCCCTAAACCCTAAACCCTAAACCCTAAACCCTCAACCCCAGGAGAAGGTGCAGTGGAGCCGCCAAAGTGGCATAGACGATCAGGTTCCGGAGCTTGATCTTCGCAGAATGCTCCGAGGGCTTGGTGTCACGGAGCTTCAGCAAGAAGTAAACGCCGCCCATCCTTAGGGTTTAGGGTTTAGGGTTTAGGGTTTAGGGTTGAGGGTTGAGGGTTGAGGGTTGAGGGTTGAGGGTTGAGGGTCAGGGCCGCCATCCCATGAGGTCTTCCCTCTAGACCTGCACTCTGACATGCCTTAAAAGCCGAACAGCTGTTCGCGGCTCTTTGGGGCCTGTTGAGCTCATGCTCAACTCGGGCCCCTTAGGCCAAGGCTCTTCTTTAGCTGGTTGGCGTAGTTCTCGCCGAACTTTTGGATCTGCTCGACCTCAAAGGACTACATCTTCAGCAGTTGTTGGGCGGCTCTCTAACCCATGCAAGGGAGTTCATCTGCAGTTTTCAAGAACAGCTCACTTGGTTCAACTTAGTCAGCTGAGCACCTACCCTCGTTTCCGTCCACCACTGCCAAAGTATAGCGCAAGTCGCATCAACAACAGGCTAATGCAGCCACGCCACGCCCTCCGCGTTGAAGCGCGGCTTTCCGCTCTTGGGTCGGCCTGTCCTGCTTTGCTGTGACGTTGTTGAGTCAAGTTGAGTCGTTGAGTCACCACAAAGGTGCCGGTGAGGGATGGTAAGTGAGGGCCTTGAAACAAAGGAGAGACACCCGAAACCCTAAACCCTAAACCCTCAACCCTAGATAAACCCCAAACCCCCATGTCCATCTACACCCTCCCAGAACCCTGGCTCTGAACCTTGAACTCCGACCCGCCGTTCCCCCTCTGAAGTTCACCAATCCCTAAACCCTAAACCCTAAACCCTGAACCCTAAACCCTAAACCCTAAACCCTAAACCCTAAACCCTAAACCCTAAACCCCAAACCAAGCCCTCTGAAGTTCACCACGGGGCACCGTTTCTTTGTCTTGGGCTGGATTGCCTGCAGCGAGGCTTGGCAGGCCATGGCTGTTGAGGCTGGTTTCGGATAGGGTTTAGGGTTTAGGGTTTAGGGTTTAGGGTTTAGGGTTTAGGGTTTAGGGTTTAGGGTTTAGGGTTTAGGGTTTAGGGTTTAGGGTTTAGGTTTTTAGGGTTTAGGGTTTAGGGTTTAGGGTTTAGGGTTTAGGGTTTGGGGTTTGGGGTTTGGGGTTTGGGGTTTGGGGTTTAGGGTTTAGGGTTTGGGGTTTGGGGTTTGGGGCTTGGGGCTTGGGGTTTGGGGTCTAGGGTTTAAGCCCGGAACCCTCATTAAGACCTTCTGCAAACAGGTTTGCAGAGATCCTCGCCTAAGCCCCCTGAGCTATAAACCCTAAACCCTAAACCCTAAACCCTAAACCCTAAACCCTAAACCCTAAACCTATAAGCCCTAAACCCTAAACCCTAAACCTATAAGCCCGAAGCCCGTCAACCTCAGCTCGACCCCACGTTCCTGGTGCTAGGGACTGTTTTTGGATTGGCGTGGATTGGCCGACAGGTTTGCAGCTCCTGTTATCTTGGCCCCGTATTCTGCTGGGTAAGAGTTGAGGGTTTCCTAACAAACCCTGGATATCGCTAAAAAAACACAGGCCGTGTCAACACGCAGGTCCTCAGATCGGCCCTTCTTTATGCTGGCGAGACTGCCAGAAAGGCCCTCAACCCTGAAGAACTCTTCCTTAACCCAAACTTTCACAACCACATTCCGTGCTGCGTCTCGTGTACGCGCTGTATCCAACGCGGGAGGCTTAGTGACGTGAGGCTTCTTGGTATCCCAGTAGCCATGTTAAGAAAAGGGCACTTTTTTTTTGGCTTCGTTACTTTAAGGGAACCTTGGACCCAATAAAGGGAAAAGGGTACCACTGGGCTCCCAAGTGTGTTGAACAGGACATGACATAACAGTAGCAAACACCACTGAGCATCGGGGGCGACGAACTGCCGACGGCCCACACAAATCTAGTGCTGTTGGGGAAAAATTTCGTTTCGATACCATAATACAGAACGCATCTTATTTCATTACTTGCCATATCTTGGTAGCCAGCAAGCATATTACAATAAGGGTACCATTTTTGGGTGGGTTATTCTATTTTCCGAACAAACACAGCTAAGCCGTTAGCAGCAACAACCTACCTACAAAGAGCTTGCCAGCGCCGGCAGAGATTCAGGGGGCCTCGCTTGCGGCACTTCCTGCAACTCCACCGCCCTTCATGGAACTCAAAAACATGAGAGGGGTGGACATGCCAGTCCTGGAGTGCCCTGGGGCCTCCCCAAGCAAGACGCTGCCGACTACTGAGCATCTGTACTCGTTCCAGGGTGAGCGTGACAGCTTGGGTGGGTTATTATATCAGGGAACCTTGAACGCACCACTGGGCAAGTTTTAGATGCGACAACCCAGCCATACCCAGCCCCCTTCGACGGGAGTTTGGCCCTGAACCCTAAACCCTGAACCCTAAACCTTGAAAAACTGGCCTTCAACTCTTCCTCCAGAGGAGGCTCGGCGCTTTCGCCTCGGTGGTTTAGGAATTAGGGTTTAGGGCGTAGTGTAATGCAGCGACAGTTTTTTGAAGTTTGTTGTCGTCATTTCCCAGTGGGTGGCTGTTAGATTTTCAGTCAACAAGGCTCCTCGCCTCCTCGCCTCCTGAAAAATTTGGGGTTGCCAGAGTAATATGGAGAGGTCTGCATCAAGACCTCAAGTTTCAGCCGGCATCAGATGCCGTCGTTTTGTAGATTCTTTGGGAAGTTCTTGAAAAGGTAAAAGTATACAGAGTGCTGAACCATAAACCCTAAACCCTAAACCGCAGCTTTGGCGGCGCAACTCGCTCCGAGAGCAGCTGAGCAGCGCTTCATCTCGAGCCGAAGCTGTGCGATTTCACCTTGCTTGAAGCAGTCCTCGAGGCACGACTACTCATAATAAGCATGATGATAGGGTGTAGGGTTTAGGTAGGGTGACCCATGAGTAACCTAGGAATTAGAAAATGGTACCCTTTTTGGTTCGAAAGGCGCTTATAAGGGAACCCAAACACTAAAAAAAGGCTATCAGGGAGTGCTCTGGGTCCCTAGCTACTCATCATAGGCATGATGAAGTACTCGTAATTTCTATTGGGAAGCTATCTCCGCACATGGGCAACAGAGTATCCGTTTCGGGGCTTGGGCGTGGCCTTCTTTGTACGTCCTGCCTTATGCCGCACAGGAAGAAATCGGTTCCACATATGGTTCCTTAACGTGTTTTTAATATGAAAGGGGATATCAGGCTCCTCATCAACTGGTCCACTTCATCATTCTTTCTTGTTGTTCTGTTGCCACTTCCGGTTTTGGGGGGCACATCGTTTGCATGTTGAGGCAGGACGCTCTTGGCAAGTGTTTAGGCTCCTGCAGTGTTCCGTTGCTCCACTTTAAACTACGAAGCACGCTCACAAGCCTCTGTGTCCTACAGGACAGGTTGCTGTCATCTTCACTGGAACGTAGGACCCCGTAACGTGCGTATATCTATAAACATATCATATACATGAGAGAGAATGGGCTGACTGTCGTAAGCCACAGGGTTTGAGTGACTAGTGAGCCCCCGATAGACACAAGGAAGCAGACTCCATTCATGACCCTGTCCTTGACCTTGTTGTCGTCCTGCAGCCAGCACTTGGATGCGACTTTTTTGGACAACCGGGGCTGGTGAGACAGCAGCAGCGGAAGAAGCGGTTCTGTCCTGGCACTTGTTGTTCGCCATCGTTCGCCTGCAGGGCAGCGTAACTACGCTTGGACCAATGCTTGGATGGAGAATCTCCCTGGTGCTACGTGAACCTACGGCTCACGCCGCGATTTGCTTTGGCCGAGTGGCAAGATGAAGCTGTCGGGACTTACGCCCCAGTACCTTCTGTCAATGTCAGGCTCAGGATGTTCCAAGCATGCCCTATCTCCCTGTGCATCCTTCTGAGACCCACTGCACATTCTGAACGTTCAGGCAGGCTGCTTGCAGGCACTGTTGCGCAGCTGCTCAACATTTGTTCCTGCAGTGGCAACAGAAGATGGGTCAAGCAACGTCGACTTCTAAGATGAAGAATGCGCAAAGAAGCGCAAACCTATAACACCCACTACACCCAAAAGGTCACCTAGGAATAACAAGGGTGCCCACTTTGGCTTCAGAGGGCCCACGAGGGAACCTGGACCCTGAGCAAAGGGAATGAGGGCCTCCTAAACCCTAAACCCTAAACCCCTGGCCCCTGGCCTGTTCTTCTCCCCAGGCACAGCCGGTGGCAGCTTTAAGGCCGCCTTCTGGGCCCTCGAAGCCCCCCTAAACCCTAAACCCTAAACCCAAAACCCTAAACCCTAAACCCAAAACCCAAAACCCTAAGCAAAATTACGACGTCCTGAGTCGACTCGGAAGGCGAGGTTGTACCTGAAGCTCTCATTCGGCTTCACAAAAGACCTGGGCGAAGGACTCAGCTTCTTTTCTCTTGTTGCCTTTAACATGTATAAATGTTCGGGAGACGGAAGAAATTACAGAGAGCCCACTTGGGACGCAGCGAGCCCTAGGAACCCATAAAACCCCAGGGTGCCCCCGACTCTTTTAATGGCTCGCACTTGCTGAAATTCCTTGAGAGCCCAATCCTGGCGTTTGGGGTTTAGGGCTCCGACTCTTTCAGAAAGTGGTGGCAAACATGTGGGAAAGAACCCTAAACCCTAAACCCTAAACCCCAAACCCTAAACCCCAAACCCTAAGTTCGCACCCAAGCAGCACAAGTACGGTATCCAAGTTAAACTCGCCTTTCTTGTCCACCTGCTTCGGTTTGGTGTAGAGGACCTTGCGTCACGACTTCCGTGCAGGTGTCTGCTCACGCTGTGAACCCCAGCACCGACACCCTAGGCCCTAGTTGGGCCAAATCCCATGCATCCCAATATCCAGGTCTAGCAAACCCAACTGATCTCCTCAAAAGACAACCTAAGAACAACTCCTCCTACCATTGGGGGCGGGGGCGCTCGACTGGGCACTCAACAAAACCCAGTTGACTCGGAGTGTACGGTCCGATCCAAGTGGGCCCGCCTCGGTCAAATACTCTCGGATCCGTTCCTCTTGGGTGGTCGCTTTCGTTTCTCTTTCCCGCTTCTCGCTCTTGTACTCCTGGAGCAGGCCCCGGAGTGGAAACACACAAGACAACCCCGGCGCAAAAAACAAATGCTGGGCATCGTGCACGCAGGACTTCGGAACTGCATGACTGCATCTACCAGGTCGATAACGATTCTGTACATGATCAGTTGATCCGTTGTTCCTATGTGGCCCTGCGTGGTGCTGGTGGTGCTCGCATTGGAGGAACCAAACTCATGGGTCCACCGCCTATTCTCCCTTTTGATTTCCTGCTCTCGCGACTTATTTGTCGACACTGCTTGCCCACACCCATCTCCAATTCTCTCAAAGACTCCACTTGTCGGCGCAGTCACATCTTGCTAACTGCTAAAGCTCGATATCTGGTAGTGCCGGCTTCTTATGCCGGATGTCAGCTAGCCATGGCTCCAAACAGGACCAGCAAAGGTTCGCAGCTTGCACACGATCTGCAGGGGCCCGAGCCATGCCTATAAACGTAATTACTTGCAGGGGAGGTCACATACTCGAGCCAATTTCAAAGCTAGCTCTTCGCGAGTCGCCCCAACCCAAGCAACACATCTTCTCGACACCCTCGGGTCTTCACTCTCGAGTGCAGAGTGCAGAATGCGAGTGCTGCACCTCTCAAACTTCAGGGGCCAGTCTGTCCTCCGCAAACTTGTCCCTTTCCAGGCGCAAGCTCCTCCGCGGCTTGAGGGCGGTTCATCTGGGCTGTAGACGAACGTAGGGGATATCTGTCTCGGTCACCACGGTAGAGGCTAGCAGGGCATGCAGAATGCTTCTGGGCAGTGTTCAGAGGACCTGAATCCTTCTCAAACCCCCTAAACCCGAAACCCGAAACCCTAAACCCTAAACCCTAATCCCTAAACCCTAATCCCTAAACCCTAAACGGGGGGGGGGAGCAAAATGAGAGATGAGGTGGCGGTCCTTTGCAAGCCTTCGACCTCCTCGCGCTTGGACACCAGGTCTGCATCCAGCTTCTGGAGCTTCCTGCGTTTGCGGGTAGGTTTAGGGTTTAGGGTTTAGGGTTTAGGGCTTAGGGTTCCAGGGTCCAGGGTTTAGGGTTTAGGGTTTTGGGGTTTAGGGTTCCAGGATTTAGCGCTTAGGGTTGTAGGTAGGTTCGTTCACTTGGTAGCCCAGTAACCATATTACTCCAAGGGCGCCCGTGTTTTGGGCTAGTTACTTTAAAATGGAACCTTGAACCAACAACAAGGGGAAAGGGAAGGGTGCCACTGGGCCAGCTTGGGATTCTGGAACTTGAGTTTCGAAATCGGCTGCTCCATACCAATACCTCTCATCAATACCTGCCAGTTCGCCGCATCGTCGGCACATGCATCGCAATTTTGCTCTTTCCATCTGGGTGGGAATCGCAAACCCTGAGCCCTAAACTTACTGGTTCTCAGAATGAGAGAATGAGGTACCTTCTACCCCCTTTAAGGCATCACATAGCTCACTTCCTCGATTCCCCACTAAGAGCCACCCTAAACCCTAAACCCTAAACCCCAAACCCCAGACCCTAACCCCAAACCCAACAGGAAAGCCTGCAGCCATTGCCTCGCAAAAAGGAGATTCCAGCGCAGTCCTTGACAGGCGGCCCTGGTAGTCCTCAGCCCTCTCCTTGGCTGTTCCTAAACCCTAAACCCTAAACCCTGAACCCTAAAACCCTAAGCCCTAAACCCCGAACCCCAAACCCTAAACCCTAAACCCCAACCCTAAACCCTCAACCCCAAACCCTAAAGGGATCCTAAAGATCCTGGGTCTTAGGGTTTAGGATCATGTTTGGGCTTTGTTCCCACGGGGCACCCTAGGAGGACCAGAATCTGGCTGGTTCCTCCTAGGGAATGATCTAATCCCTTGAAGTTGGGTATATAGGGCTAACTCCCTCATTCCCTACGAAGGACCCTGGGGGGAAAAGGCAAGTCGTTGCCAACAGCGGCCAGGCTCCTGCTCATGAGTCAGCTGCCGAATCCTCTGTCGGGCCACCTCCACCTGCGAAACCCGACGCGCCAAGGGCCCAGAATCTGAGACCCTAAGCAGTAGAACATCTCTGAACCCTAGTCCATAGTTGGAGGTTCATGGGTGGTTAGAAGTAAGGTTAGAAGTACCCTAAAGAGGGTTGTAAGCATAGTTACCGGAATTCCAACCTTAGAACTACCCATGAACGTTCAAGTCGAACGCACCAATAGATACGCCAAGAGGGTTCCAACACACACGCTTGAACTGAAGATGCCCCCGACTTGGTAGCCCGGTAACCATATTACAGTAAGGGCACCCTTTTCTGGGTTGGTTACTTTATACGGGAACCCTAAACCCTAAACCCTAAACCCTAAACCCTAAACCCTAAACCCTAAACCCTAAACCCTAAACCCTAAACCCTAAACCCTAAACCCTACCAAGCCAAAGTGGCCCTCAAATCGCACACCCACACGCCTCGGTGATGGTGTCCGGATCCTGGTCCAAGTTGCCGTCAAAGTCATCTTCATCAGCCTGGCCCCTGGGCACAAGGAGTTTTTTTCGCTCCCGGTATGTATGGTGTAGGGTTTAGGGTTCAGAATTTCCGGTTTAGGGTTTTGGGCTAGACCTTTGTTGGTTCAGGGCCCCATGCGAGTGCTGCCTTGACTGGCTTTCTTGGATGTCATGGCAGCGGCGTACCCATTCCGTGCTTCTCAAGTGTGTAGCGACTGAACCCACGCCTTCACACGACAGTTCGCACTGGACATACTGTACCTTGTTGCGGGCACTTCTGACCCGACCTCTACTACCCAAGATGCTCCAAGCGGTCTTTGCACTGAGAGCCCGGCGCGGCGTTGGTAATCATCTCCGCACCTGAAGGTCGAGGGACGCATTCGAGCCAAGGTTGGAGATCTCACCAACCCCAAACCCCAAACCCTAAACCTTAAGCCCTTTTTTTGCATCCGGACTTCCGTGGGTGCTGCCAAAAACTGCCCAAGCACTGGCTTCCAGAGCTACTGACTGGACTCCCAGACCTTAAACCCTAAACCCGGAGTTGTGGAACCCCAATGCAGCTGAGGCGCTGGGGGACTGGCAGGGGCTGGCATTCTGCTTGAGCAGAAACCAGGCTGCAACTTCATATAGGGTGTAAGAAGGTCGAATTGAAGAATCTCGGGTTTCATGCATGGTCTTGTAGGCTTTAACGTATTGGTGTAACAAAAGGTTTATATGGCTTTATAAGGTCGACTATTCTGGGGTTTCATGTAGGGATGAGTAGGGCTTAACATCTTGTAAGAACGAGGTTTCATAGGGTTCAATATGGAGGATGTAGGGCTTCGCATCAGGCCCAGTAGCCGACACTACAGGCAGTGGCAACTTGGCTCCAAGAAATAGGCATGCCTTACGGAACCATGGAGGACCTTCCTCAGAAACTGCAATACTAATTGAGGAATATCCTTTAAAATAATAATTTGGCTTCCCTTTTGCAATCTGAGGATATGCCCTCTGTGTCTCTTCTAGGCTGGGATCTACGGCCGTAGCTTTGCACTCTGCCAGCCTGTGTGGCAGCAACGTTCTCACTGCTATGCTTTCTTTTTTCGTCGAACATGAGCCTTCAAGTCAGACATGCGATCTTACACCCAACTCCCGCACCTCCTAACGCCAAAGCCAAGCTCCTGCATCATGCGGCACGAAGTTGTGCTGAGGACACGGCCCACATTCTACTTGCAGCTGCTGCCACAACTGCGGAGGTCGCGGCCATGACGGTGCCTTCGCCGACGTTGAGTTCGGGAACGGGGGCTACTTGAATTGAAGGCTCATGGGCAGGACTCCGGACGGCTTTCCACTTCAGGATTCAGAACTTGGGTCCTCTTGGGGATGCTTTGAGGAGAAGAACGAAGTTGCCCAGGCCTTCCTGAACAAAATGGGTACCCCCCGCCCCCTTCCCCCTAGTTTTTGGAACCTACAGCTGGTGCACGAAAGGCCTCCACCAGATCCCGTCTGCGAGACGCTGCCCCGCCGCGTGGGACTTGCAACCTGCACAGCTGCACAACAGAGTTTCCTCTCAGCTTCCTGGGGGCTTGAGGGGTATCAGGGTAGCAGAAGGCATTCAAGGGGTTGGGAGGATTAGGCATCCTGAGCATTCCTCAAGGCTTGTTTTGTGACTCCCATATTGTTGGACGAACCACTCAGCAGGGATCCGCAATACATCTCTCAGCCTCAAATCTCGCTATACACAGATACAACTCCCGAGCTGCTATTTATAGGTTGTAGGTCCTGCTGAACGGTTTGGGGTAAAGGGTGACCAGGCTTACAGACGATAAACGACACAACCCAAACACCCACATGAGTACAGCAAACCCCAAACCCCAAACCCTAAACCCTAAACCGTGCCTCCTCTTCCACCTACTGTTCCCGGGCCTGCTTCCCAAGTCAGACTATAAGCTAGGAATCAAGAGAGTGGTTTTGCAATATCACAAGGGATCGAAGACCCCCCCCCCCCCCACAAAAGGGCATAAGGGTTTAGGGTTTAGGGTGTATAGCTTAGGGCTTTTTTGGGCTTCTTCTCGCCCTGACACTGCCTTGGCCGCTCGCCAATGTGCCCTTGGAGGCATCCTAAGCTCCAGGCATCTGATGGCTCAAGGTTTGCTACTTACTTCTCCAATAACCAAGGGGAAAAAGGGGTTGAACCTCATTTTTTCCTACTTTTGTGCAACCAGGTCTCTGCAGCCAGCCGGGTACTAAGGACCTCCCTACTAAATAAGGAAACCCAAAAAGCGTAAAGTTCAACTCTTGGCTAAGTAAGGCTACCCTTCAGTCTCTGAACAGTGCTAAAGAAACCGCCAAAAACGGCTAGACCCAAGAGTAACCTACAGGAAGAAAACAAGGGCGCCCTTCCTGGTTTAAAGGGGCTGATAAGGGAACCCAAATCCAAAAAAAAGGGAATAAGGGCCTACTCTGGGTGCTAGAAGACACATCCTACCCTAAACCCTTAACCCTAAACCCGAAAACCTTAACCCTAAACCCGAAAACCTTAACCCCAAACCCCTGCCTGGAGCGGACAAAGCCTGATCCCAAAGCACCTCGATCCTGGACCGAACCCCGCGCCAGGAGCCAAACTGGAGACTGCGCGGTGCCCACATCGCAGAAGCGGTGGCGGCCTTTCGGGGCGTGGGGTTCAGTCAGGGCTTAGGGTTTAGGGTTTAGAGTTTAGGGTTTAGGGAGTTTAGGGTTTAGGGCTTAGGGTTTAGGGTTGTCGCCGGCGTTTCTTGCAACATTCCGGCAATTCCGGCTTTAAATAAGGCACGGACCTTCATTGCTGCCGCGCTGGCCGCGTCCATCTCGCCAAGCTACGGTGCACTACACGCGACTGTGTGCGAAGTGTCAGCTTTCTCGCAAGGTGCTTTCTGAACCAGGCTGGACCATGCTCCTAATTGAGTGGCAACATGCAATTGCTCTGCCTCATTTGGCCTGGGCCATGTGCTTCCTGTCAGTTACTGAGGAGCCTTTGGCTTCGCACAGAAACGCGGCGGAAACGCTGGATGCTTCTGCACCGGCTCTCATGCGTCCGACCCTGAGAAGCCCCAAATCTCCAAAACCCTAAACCCTAAACCCTCAACCCTAAACCTTAAACCCTCAACCCTAGAAACCCTAGAAACCCTCAAAACCCGGAAGCCCTAAACCTCCGAAACCCTTGAAGGTAAACTCCTACTTCGACCATTTGTATCCTAAACCCTAAACCCTAACCCGCAAAACCTTACTTCGACCCTTCGAAGCCCTAAGACCGAAACCCCACACCCCAAAACCCTAGACCCTAACCCTCTTTAGGGTTTAGGGTTTAGGGTTTAGGGTAGCCCTTTCTGCCAAGCGCTCGTGTTCTCAGGTGCTCCCCCCGGTCAGTCTTAGGCCGGTGAGGCGGCCGGGGAGGCTGCCGGCGATGCCATCGGAGCGAACATCATGGGGGCAGGAGAAGGTGCCTGGCTCGCTGCTGGGCTCCGAATTGGGGGGGGGCTCTAAACCCTAAACCCTAAACCCTAAACCCTAAAACCCTAAACCCTAAACCCCAAACCCCAAACCCAAATTGCAAACACAAACTTGGGTCTCGCTTTGGGCACCCCCAAAAGTGCGGAGACTTCAGGGTGCCCTTGGAAGGGCCCATCAGCGACAAGAAAACTCTCATTCCAGCTTCCACAGTCTTGAAATGGGTTGAGGGCATCCTAAGATTGGAGGGCGTCTTGTTGGGATGGACAGGAGAAAGATCAAGGCCTTCCCTGTTTGAAACCCCCGGTAGACCCTCAACATCCCCCCCCACCCCCCCCCCAATACCCAAACTTACCCCCGAAATAAGCGTCCAGGGACGGATGGGACCGCAGGGAATGGAAGCCGCTTCGCGTTGATGGCCGGTGCCGTCTGGTACGTGGGCGGCATCCACTTCTGTGATCCCAGGATCCTCGGCCCAATGTCACAGCTGCCGTGGGCTTTTTGGCGACCTTTGGGGTACTCTGGGTACTTGGGGGGGAGTCAAGCCCCCAATTGAAGTGCTCTTGAAGCTTCTGAACCCGAAACCTATGTGGCCTTAGGCCTTAGGGGAAAAAAGCGCAGCGGCAAAAGCACGAGATCCCTCCTTAAATGCATGCACGTTTCGATGCCCTTGCAGCGGCGTCTGCGGCTGCGGCTGCATACCTCGGTCAATGTCGAGTCTCTCCACTCCTACCCTACCCTACCCTACCTCACCCCACCCCCACAATCCTAAACCCTAAACCCTAAACCCTAAACCCTAAACCCTAAACCCTAAACCCTAAACCCTAAACCCTAAACCCTAAACCCTAAACCCTAAACCCTAAAACAAAGACGACAAAAAAAGGCAGAGACTGAGGAGGAGCTCAGGCACTTGGGCACCATGAGCCCGATGCGCCTTGCTTCATCCATGGCCTGATATGGTTTAGGGTTTAGAAGGGTTTAGGGTTTAGGGTTTAGGGTTTAGGGTTTAGGGTTTAGGGTTAACTGACTTCCCCCTCGGCTCCCTTCTCCCATGTAGCTTTTTTGGGGCCTCTCAATGGTTAGAATCGGGCTTTTGGGGTCATTATGGTGTATGTAGCTCTACAGGGACCATAAGGGAATACTCTTGGCAAATTAGTCCGACCCCAAGAGTATGGGCGCAGGCAAGTCGACGTGGCATGCCCGGGTGTTTTAACAGAGAAAGCTGAACAGAGACATCGCGGGGAACGACACAAAATGCCTTTTAGAGCAACAAGCCGTGGCCGGTAAGTTAGCCCCACATTTTCTTCAATTTGTTTTTTTTAAGGGTTTAGGGTTTAGGGTTTAGGGCTTCAATGTTTACAGACCCGAGGCCTGTCTTGCCAAGGAGACCACAAGCCTCAAATCCAAAGCATCCAAAGCCGCAGAGGAAGGCCGAACCTTCAACCCTAAAGCCCTTTTCCAACCAGGCCTCTGCAGACCCCTAAACCCTAAACCCTAAACCCTAAACCCTAAACCCTAAACCCTAAACCCTAAACCCTAAACCCTAAACCCTAAACCCTAAACCCTAAACCCTAAACCCTAAACCCCCGAAAACCCTAAACCCTCAAAAGGCACATCGAGTCCTGTTATCGCCAATGTGAGGCAAACCCCCCCTGGAATGTTGAAAACTCGCTACCCTTAAGCCCAAGACTGCTGAGCCCCCCAACCTACAGAGGGTTTAGGGTTTAGGGTTTAGGGTTTAGGGTTTAGGGTTTAGGGTTTATACTTTCAGGGCGCCAGAGTTTAGGGCTTCAGGTGTAGCGTTTAGGGTTTAAGCCTTAAAGACACGACAGCAAGTGTGTAGGGTTACCAAAACCACTCAAAACATATTGGAGGTTCATGGGTAGCTATAAGGAGGGTTGTGAGCCTAGTAGCTACCCTATTTAGGACTTGTGACATGCCTACAGCAATATATCATGTAGGGTTCTCGTAACCATACATATAGCGTACCCATGACCGTATTTCGGATCCCCCTCCTATACTACCTCCCCCCCCCTAAACCCTAAACCCTAAACCCTAAACCCTAAACCCTAAACCCTAAACCCTAAACCCTAAACCCTAAACCCCCCCCCCCCCCCCCCCCCCAAATGAACCTCCAAGCGCAGCTCACAAAAGGCAAAAGGCGGGCCTCGGCCGCCTCGGTCTCCTTCTCCAAAGACTTGACCTGGGGGCTACGCTCGTAAACCCTAAACCCTAAACCCTAAACCCTAAACCCTAAACCCTAAATCCATCTCTAGGCTTAGGAGCTTGAGGGGCCATGTGCTTGTGTCCCGAGAACTTGTCGGCGTAACCCTGCCCTAAACCCTAAACCCTAAACCCTAAGCCCTGAGCCCTAAACCCTAAACCCTAAACCATAACTATTGGAAGAAAATGCGAGCTTGAGCCTAGCGATTGGGTGATGACAGGTGTATGGAGTCTGCTTGTGAGAATGCAGAAGTTGACTTCCTTAATCCCCATCCAGTCTCCAAACCCCAGATTGCCGTAAGGTTTTACAAGGAACCGAGTTTAGGGTTTAGGGTTTGGGGGAAAATCTTGATCAAATACGCGCCAGTTGCGAGGAGGTCATGTGCCTGGGATTGAATCTTCTTGACCGCATCTTCGTTGCCAGCCTCCTCGGAGATGGGGGACCCTAGATACCGTGCTGTCCCTGACTTTGCTTCAAGCCCTGTGCACCCCAAATTCACACCCTGCGACTCCTTTTTGTCGGGTTTCAACCACATTTGCAAGAGCAGTTCCCAGACCAGATTCAGGCCCCCGGCTGCTCGCTGCCCAAACCCTTAACCCCTCAGCCTAAACCCCTAAACCCCTAAACCCCCAAACCCCTAAACCCCTAAACCCCTAAACCCCTAACCCCCTAACCCCCAAACCCCCAAACCCCCAAACCCCTAAACCCCTAAACCCCCAAACTCCTAAACCCCCAAACTCCTAAACCCCCAAACTCCTAAACCCCCAAACTCCTAAACCCCCAAACCCCCAAACCCTAAACCCTAAACCCCCCCCCCCCCCCCGGCCTGGTATGCGTGGATCTGGTGGTGTGCGCTGTCCGAGCTTGCGCGAAGCAAGTCGGCCTCCGACGTGAGCTGCGAGGCCTTCGCCTCGTAGAGGCCCTGGGTGCCTCGGCTTCGGGTTTAGGGTTTAGGGTTTAGGGTTTAGGGTTTAGGGTTTAGGGTTTAGGGTTTGGGGTTTAGGGATTGGGGTTTGGGGTTTAGGGTTTAGGGTTTGGGGTTTAGGGTTGAGGGTTGAGGGTAATATGAGTTATCGTAATAATACTGGTTATATAAGATTGTTCATGTGATTAAAAAAATTCGGATTCTTAATTTCATTCATGCCCTCATGACTTTTTTGAATGTCAATACTCCTTTTTGAACAGTTGTATACATGCTTTTCTATATGGCTGTGTGAATGCATGATGAGATAGCTTTTTGGCTATTTTGTTTACTATGTGACTGTATTTGAAAGAAGTACTGTCTTATTCTGACATTCTGGTATTGTATGCGATTGTACAATCGTGGGGGCCCTGGTTTTCCCCGCCCCCAGCCGCAGCCGGGATGATGTCTCGGGCAAGAGGGCTCCACGAACGTGAAACTCGATACGCTGGTATATGGGAGCACCGCCACACACGCGATAGGCTAAAAACCCTAAACCCTAAAGGCCCTAAACCCTAAACCCTAAACCCTAAAGAACAGCCCTGAACAGTCAACAGCCAAAGCTGTCCACGGGAAACATAGCAGGGTACCAAGGGCATCCATTGGACAGCCAAGGGGCTTTCCACTTGCCGAATTGCTGCGCGGTACCTCTTCTCTTGCCCGATGAGACAACGTCTCTGGTGGATTGTTCTTCTTGTGGGCACCTACGCTTGATCTCACTTCTTCTTCTCATGCTGCTCACAGCTGCACTAGGCCTCAAGCTTTAACCTGTAACACCAGCCCTTCGCCTCTCAAACCCCAAGCACCCGAGTCCCAAACCTTCAACGCCCAAAAAGCCCCCAGCAATTTCTGCACAGGCTACGGCCCGGCAGCTACAGCCGCCGAGGCGGGCGTCGTGGGCAGCTGCGGAGAGGCGTGAGCCTGGAGGGTCGGCGCGTAGGCCATTGAGAAATCCCAAAGAGGATTTCTGACAGGACAACCAAGGCGAGCCCTAAACCCTAAACCCTAAACCCTAAACCCTAAACCCTAAACCCTAAACCCTAAACCCTAAACCCTAAACCGTGGACCGATGCCCTTCGATTCACCAAGCTGGGAAGGCCAAGGAGGGCTTGCAGTGCTGCCAAGCGTTCAGCAGTGGGGTTTAGGGTTTAGGGTTTAGGGTTTAGGGTTCAGGGTGAATCCAAAAAGTAGAGCCCCCAAAGAGTGCCCTATACTACCATTGGGCCATTCTTCGCGCGTTGCCTGACCAAAAGCACAAAGCACAACTGGATTGTGAATCCAGAGCGCCAGTGGCGTGATGCGACATTTGAAGAAGCCATGCGTGCTCGTGACCCCCGATGCCCAGTAGGGCTTGAAGACGACCGGGCTTGCAGTTCCAGGCTTGAGGGCATTCTCTGCTTCTGATGACGCGCGCCGGGACTTTGCGCCATCTTTGAGCAGATTTACTACGGGTAGCCCATGCGGGAAAGAAAGACAGGAAGGACCCCGACTAATTATTGAACAGCACCGAAGCCAGCAACATGAGCAGTTTCCGCGCCTTGAAGTTGCTCAGGAACTTCTTGTTCAGCTCGTCCTGAGGAAATCAGCACATGGCTGAGGGCTTTAGGGGCTGTAGAGTGTGACGGTCCCTCAAGGCTCTGTTGCATGTTGCTGCTTTTGAGTTTTTTGGTTTCCCCTTATGGCAAGTCAAGTGCGGCTGCTGGCTGCTTTTTTTGGGACTACTTCTAGAAATGCAAGCAACCAACAGAAATACGTTCGCCTGTAAAACGCGGGATGGAGAATAACATTGGGATTCCTGTTTGTGTGGTTTCTCGTATACCTTCAGCGCCAAATTTCCCAAAAATGACAGCATTTCCAGGAGCTGAACTGCTCCACGTGCCACAGATTGCAGCTGCACTTGGGCATTTTGAGCCGCTGAAGAAGTGGGAGGGTCTTACTTCTCCAACGGGAAGAAAGGTTAAACTTTATTTTTCCTACTAAGTAAGGACAAAGTTTAAAGTTCAACTATTGGCTAAGTAAGGGGTTCGACAGCGTCAAACGCTGGGCATCGGCGTCCAAGCACCGGGGAACGGGCTGTATTTCAATGTGCTTTGACGACTCCATTTCGCAGCCCCCGCCAAAGAGGATTTTGGGTTTTGGGTTTCGTCTCTCGGCTCTCGCAACCGCACAAAGCAGGTTTAGCATTTTGTTTCAGGGCGTGAAGATTTCAAAGGCCTTGGAAGCTTCTCGCTTCCACGAACTCTTGGTGCTTCCATAAGGGGATCCTAGCATTTGCATCTACATTTGGGGTCCCCTGTTTTCGCAGACTCCAATGGGAGCCCAGGTTTGAAGCCCACGTATCCCCATAGAACCCCGAGCCAAACAAGAAGAAGCGCATCCCTTAGGGCTTTCTTGAAACTCGGGAACACAACAGAACTCCTAAAAAGACTCCCTAACCCCTAACCCCTAACCCCTAAACCCTAAACCCTAAACCCTAAACCCTAAACCATTAGACGCATCCTGCTGGGTGAACTGCTTGATGGCGGCGTCCGCTGCTTCCTTTGCGGCAACTCCCGGAGCATCCTCGATTTCTTTGACTTCTTCCTCCGCCTTCTTGGCCGCCTGGTTGAACAAAATCCGGGGGCTGATGTAGGGTTGAACAGGGTTTAGGGTTTAGGGTTTAGGGTTTAGGGTTTAGAGACGGTTTAACGCTTGAAGGTCGATAGGATGCAAGCAATCGAAAGCTGTTGGCCCCATTGCTGGAAGTCAGGTTTCAGAGCCCTAAACCCTAAACCCAAAACCCAATACCCTAAACCACATTCATCCATATTGAACCTGACGCCTTTGAGACCAAAAGCCGGGAAGAGGGTACAGGGTTTAAGGTTTCGGGCACAGGATTTGGAACAACCTGTCCTGCTGTGCAGCGAGAGCATAGGCGCCGGCCCTCTCAGCGGAGTGTTGGAGTTCGGTCTTCACCTTGTCAGGGGGGCTTGGGGCTTTGCAAGACTTTTTGTGAGACCGGTCCTGAGATCATCCTTCATGACCCATGGCTAGTGTTGCAAAGTTCTTACGGGAGGGGACGCTCATGGGGGGTAGGTACGCAGGGAGCCTTAGGGAGCCTTAGGGAGCCTTAGGGAGTAGTGGGGAGTGTTTGGGAACCTTTGGGGTACATACCCCCCTTGAACCCCCCTCCCTTAAAAGCACTGTAATAGCACTATGATTCTTGTCGGAGCTCCCATACCTAGATGTTCTTGCGAAGCCTGAGAGGCTGCGTTGAAGTGTAAGAAAAAACATGCAAAGGTCCCCCCCAACTTAAAACGTGCCAACCGACCACCCCAAATCCTGAACCGTAGTATGGTACAGTTTCCAGAAGGTGTGTAGCTACCTGTGCAATGCAGTCTCCCAAACAAAACTTACTGTTGGCCACCAGGGAAGGAGGGAATAAGGGCCCCATATCTACCCTTTAAGCGATTTACGGTACCTCATTCCCCAACCCTAAGCCCTAAACCCTAAAGGGCCCGACTTCCCCCATTTTCCTACTAACCACCAGTCAGAAAACCCGCCTCCTCGAAAAGGTCGCCGCGGCTGTGGGCCACGGCCAAACTCGCCGCGGTGCGGGCGTTAGCCGCGGCCAGGGCAGCCTTGCTCAGGTGTGTTTCTAAGGATTCGACTATACCCTATACCCTAAACCCAAGGCCCTATACCCTATACCCTAAACCCTAGGCCCTAAGCCCTAAACCCTTTTTGCAACAGGCTTGAATCCCTACACACCCAAAGCCCCAAAGCCTCCTCGTTTTAGGGGTTGGGGCCCCCCAAAAAAAAAGGCGCCTCCGCCTTTGCGACTTCAGCTTCGTTTTCCATGGCGTCCGTCTTCTTGTCCTCAAAAATAACACCCTAAACCCTTGATTGAGCCTGGAATACCCTTAGCCCGCCCAACAACCTTCAAACTCAAAAGCCGTCGACTCCAGAACTATGCTTGAGGATAGAACTTAATTTCAGTTTCTCCATGCAGGCCGCCCGTCACTGTTGAAGCTCAATGCTGTCGTCACTTTAGCAGTCTTGCTTTGTCCTTAAAAATTATTCTTGTTGCCATCTGCTTCCGCTGCTGCTGTCGTCGTTGCCAGTGTGGGGAGGTCAACTCTTGACTCATGCAACTCAGCCCCATGCCTGGACCTTCGTGTTGGACGAGTTTTGGGGCCTGACAAGTGCTACCTGTCGTGTGGTAGCCCCATGTCAGTTGCGAGATTGATGTGATCCACCAAGTGGGCCCTTTCTGCACCATATCCCGCCCGCACAAAAGCCACATGTCCTCCGCCTTGGCGACGTCTTTGTCCTTAGCTGGGCTGAATAGGGGCCTCAATCATTAGAGTAGGGTTTTGGGGGTTGTCATGGTATAATTATGCAGGGACCATAGGGGGATACCATTAGCTCTTCTTTCGGATTTGTCATGGCGGGATTTGTGCTTCGGACTTAAGGCCAGACTCGTGAGGCGTGTTCTGCCACTGCCGGAGCTAACTGTATGCCAGCATGCTTGTGTGTGGGCACGCACTTCTGAAACAGCCATTTTGGAGTTGCTTTGGAGTCCCCTTCGGAGCTGCTTCACCACCGAAAACATGGACAATTGCCGCTCAGCGTCCGGCTTCCCCATCTGCCCTGCTCGCTCGTTGAGGAGGGAGCTCTCTGCGAAAGAGGAAGGCGCAATGAGAGGAGTCTGGCTGGTCGGAGCATCGCCAGCTGGGGTGCAGGCACTTTCCTTGCTCGAGGCATCGTGGACGCAATTCTGCAAGCAGAATCGGGAGTAGTCTGTTGCACTTTCCGCCGCCTCAATGTCCAGCTCGGCTCTTGCCAAGGCCGTTGCGCTGGCCGCTCTCAAATCATTGCACTCCGCAGGACAGCTTGAGGCTTGTGCGATCGTGAAGAGTGGCGTGCACACCACAGCCTATACTCCCCCTTAGAACCTTAATAAGAATGATTATATGTTTGATATCCTCTTGGGTTTTATATCAACAAAAGTAAAAAAGAATTCCCAAGGGGGATATAGCAGCTGTGTTCCCATTGCGGAGGAAGGAGTGGGGATTTGCCACAGATGCCTCGCAGCAACTGCAAGTGCAAGCCGTCAGCTTCGTCTGGGTCTTCAGCGCGACCGCAGGCACGACGATGGGAACCAGTACCTTACAGAACTGCAACTCTAGAAACTTGGTATGTTTTAAGGACAACGGCGATCTTTAAACCTTAAACCCAAAGCCGAAATTCACTCCCAGTTGCAGCCAGCACGTGGCGGAAGCACGTCATCCCAAATGTTAGTCACCCAAAGGTTGGATGGCAACCACTACAATTCAACTGGCACACATCAACGTCGATGTGCTTGAGGACACGAAGTCGTCGCGATGCATGTGTCCAATGGTCACTCGTGAAATTGTGCACAGTTGGTGCTTAGGCGCTGCTCACGTGCTCGTATAAACCCATGGTGTAGGCAGGACACGCAGTTAACAATTCCTACCTTAACAGCTGCATACAGGACTTCGGTTCTTTTGTTTGCTATTGGCGAGGACAAGAGTTTTTGGGCTAGGCCCTTCAGCATCTCCACTCCGGAGAAGCTGATGCTCTTGCTCGACTAAACATGAGTCATCACCGGCAGAGTGGAATTCCGAGGCCCCCCCTGAACTTAGGGTTTAGGGTTTAGGTTTTAGGGAATTTTGTAATACTGATAGTATTGCTGCCACAAAACTGGGATGGCCCTTAAAGCCATCTGAAAAATATTCCTAGATGTAGTCAAATGTAGTCCTCTTAAACCCAAGAAGGGAGAATCTAAAATGTCCCGAGAGCTTACAGACAACAGTAACTAGATCCACCCCGGAATTCCGTGAACCGCCAGTTCAAGGCTCGTCCCGTTGACGGAGCCGGAGCTCAACCACTGAGACAGGAGTGACACTCCCAGAGAGCCAAATACCCCTTTGGGGTTTGGAGTTTAGGGTTTTGGAGTGTAGGGTTTAGGGTTTAGGGTTTAGGGTTTAGGGTTTGGGGTTTGGGGTTTGGGGTTTGGGGTTTGGGGTTTGGGGTTTAGGGTTTGGGGCATCAGCGTCCTTAAATTAGAACAGGGAGCCTGTGATGAGTTAAGGCACATTCCTTCGCCATAGGGTATCGGACTCTCTGGGCTTACACTGTACATGTCCTACAGCCAAACAGCAAGTAACATAGCTAGTGCAAGTCAGAGAAAGCGCTCTAGTGGCATCAAATTTGTCAAATTAGACGGCAGCGACAGCGCGACAGCTTGGCAACAAGGTGGACCTATGCCAGCTACAGACATGGTGGCAAGCCTGGCAAGCTGCATGGAAACATTCTGGAAACCTTAAACCCTCAACCCCTAAACCCTAAACCCTATCTGAACCTTGCCGCGAACAACATACAGGCCGATTCTGCCGGTGTCGTGCTGCTAGTATCGTAGCACTACGGCGTCGCCCTCATTTGGGTTAGCTTCCACTACCTGTCAAGAAGCTCGAAGGGTTCTGGGGTGCTGAGAGCTCGAGGGGAGTGGTCTTGAGGCTGCCCTTAAGGTTTGGGCTCAACACCAAACACCTAGGCCCCCCCCTCCCCCGCCCCAGAACTTCAGAACGAGGGAATGGTTTTGGGGTTTAGGGGTTTCGGGGTTTATGGTCGGTATACCCCAGAGCTTTCAGGAGTTCCCCTGGGCTTCCGAATCCCTGAGCCCTCCAGCAGTCTGCTTTCATGCGCTGGAGCTCGCAGTGCTTCAAAGTCTGGGGAGTCTTACCTAAGGCGGGTTTAGGGTTTAGGGTTTAGGGTTTAGGGTTCAGGGTTTAGGGTTTAGGGTTTAGGGATTAGGGGCCTTCGTGAGTTTCGCGCGCAGGTGAAGGCAGCAGAAGGACCACGGGATGACTACGGAGCAGCTGAGAGCTCAGGGACCCTGGGCCTCCCAGACCTTTGAACCAACCCTTCTGAATTAGACTCGACCCCACACCCTAAACCCTAAACCCTAAAGCCTAAACCCTAAACCCTAAACCCTAAACCTCAAAAAAACACCCTTTTTTTTCAGACTGGAACTGAGGCCAGGGCAGCATCCATCCATCCAGCTTGTTGCCAGATCAACAGAAAAAAGCCCCTAAACCCTAAACCCGAACCCCCTTCCCCCGCGCACACTTGCCTTCGCCTCCCCGGAGGATTTGCCCGTACCTTTGACTGTAGCCCTCGGCAGGCATGTGCCGGGGCCACCTGGCAGGGTTCCGATGTTTGGCTGTTGAGCTCAGGTTTAATTAGGGTTTAGGGTTTAGGGTTTGGGGTTTAGGGTGTTCAGTTTCAGGTTTTGGCAATTGGGTCGCAGAGTGCCCCCCAAGCTCTACCAGTACATTCGACTTGATTTAGGCACTTCGGCGTGCGGAGTCTATTAGGCATCGCCGGGGAAGTCCCAGATCACATCCCCAGACCTTCCAAAACCCCTTAATTAAGGAAAATACCCTAATTTATACTAAGGATCCTTAGTATAAATTAGGGTATATTCCTTATTTAAAAGGGGTTTTGGTAGGTCTGGGTCGTCTTCCCACGTGCCGACGAACTGGAACGCCAACCGTATGTGATCCGAGTGACCTTAAAGAAGACACTGCGGTAAGCGCCTCTGGCAGCGAACGCGCTCTAAACTGCCAACGCCCTCGCCTGAGACCGCATCTATACCATGCTAACTATGCTACATACAGGGTTTAGGGTTTAGGGTTTAGGGTTTAGGGTTTACACAGAACCCCCGGCCTTTCCCTGATACTCGGCGCCAAGCAAATCCAGCTCCGCCTGAGCTTGCGAGCCACACGGCTTCGTCCATCGGCAGGCTGCTCCTCAGCTGGTATAGGGTTGAGGGTTTGGGTTTGGGTTTAGGGTTTAGGGTTTAGGGTTTAGGGTTTAGGGTTTAGGGTTTCGGGTTTCGGGTTTCGGGTTTAGGGTTTAGGGTTTAGGGTTTAGGGTTCAGGGTTCAGGGTTCAGGGTTTAGGGTTCAGGGTTTAGGGTTTAGGGATGGGGGATTACGGTTTAGGGTTTAGGCTTAGGGAGAGCAATAGCGTGCCCACCAACAAAAACCCCAGGCGCGCACGTATGCATTGCACAGCTGCTACCCAAGAAGCGGTGGCTGCAGAAAGTACTTGCCGCTTCCCCATTCCAGACACTGCTTTGAAACGTTCCTGGGCTGGCCGCCAAAATGCTGGGAAACAAAATGCTTCCAAATATCACCCTCTTGACCCCAACAAGGGAAAACATAAATACCCCCAACATTTTTTGAAACCCTCTTGACCCAACGAGGCGAAACATACAACATTCCAAAAACCCCCCCCCCCCTTCGAACCAAAACAAAGCCAATATCTTTAATATTCAACTTGGGTATGATATGCACAGAAAATACGAGTAAATGGTCTCGGGCTCCCGGGCCCTACCCCCCCCCCCCCCCCCCCCCAATGATATGCCCCCCTCCCCCTCCACCTAAACCTTAAACCCTTACCCCTAAGCCGCCCCCAACCACACCCACACCACAGGTGGGGCAGGGGGCGCGGACCTAAACCTTAAACCCTGAAGCCCCAACCACACCCACACCACAGTGGGGGCGCGGGGTTATTAACCCTTAAACCCTGAAGCCCCAACCACACCCAAACCGCAGGGGGGGCGCGGGGGTATTAAACCTTAAACCCTAACCCCCAACCACACCCACAGGAGGGGCGCGGGGTTATAAAACCTTAAACCCTGAACCCACAACCACACCCACACCGCAGGCGGGGCGCGGGGGTGGGCCCTAACCCTTAAACCTTAAACCCTAACCCCCCAACAACACCCACACCGCAGGGTGAGAGGGGGAGTGGGGCTAGGGATACAAGGGAGGGTGGGGGGGGGGGATACCACGGGGGTGGGGGGGGGGGGGTGGGCGTGGCAGCCCTGGACCATATATGCGTAATATTCCCCTTGGGTGTTCTATGAAAATGTAACAAAAACAACAGTTCCTGAGGAGACTATCTGAGCGCCCTTAACCCTAAACCCCTAAATCCCCAAATCCCTAAACCCTAAACCCTAAATCCCCCAAACCCCTAAACCCTAAACCCTAAACCCTAAGCCCTAAGCCCTAAACCCTAAACCCTAAACCCCAAACCCTAAACCCTAAACCCTCAGGAGACTATAGACCCAGGGTCCACCTCAGGCTGAAAGGCCTGCGCTGCACGCTGCCGCGTTGCCGCTGGTGCCGAACCACATCCAAGTTTTGAACCTCACGGGTTTGGGGTTAAGGGTTTAGGGTTGAGGGTTTGGGGTTTAGGGCTTGGGGTTTAGGGTTTGGGGTTTAGGGTTTGGGGTCTGGGGTTTGGGGTTTAGGGTTTGGGGTCTGGGGTTTAGGGTTGGGGGTTTGGGGTTTAGGGTTTGGGGTCTGGGGTTTAGGGTTGGGGGTTTAGGGTTTAGGGTTTGGGGTTTGGGGTTTAGGGTTTAGGGTTTAGGGGTCAAGCAGTTGCGGCAGGATTGCTGGGCCTAGTGTTGTGAACACCTGGGCCCAAGATTTGGCGGGTTTGATGCGAACAGGCAATGCTAACCTACTATTTGCTTAAGAACCCCAAAAGAACCCAAAAAAAAAACCTACATTATTTTCATAAGGAAGAATATTCTGTTTTTTGGGGGGTTCTTAAGCACTTGCTAGTAACGGGTAATACTTATCTAGGTGTCCGCCAAGGAGCGACATAGGTTTCGGATGAATCACGCTGACTCTCCCATGTGCCTTGCAGTGCAGACACCACAAACCTTGGCTGTTCTTTCGGCCTAGCAGCTTAGTATCATTGCTTCCAATTCGCGAAGTCATGTTGGGGGTTCCCGAAACTAGCGGTACCTTCTTGGGGTCCTTCTCATAAAGGAATCCTCCTCTTTGGGGAGCTATATTGGGTGTCCCCTTTGTTCGTAAACCCCTTCCTAAACCTTAAACCCTGAACCCTAAACCCTAAAAAAAACCAAACAAAAAGTATGCCAAAGCATCAAAATTTCTGAAGAGCGCCCCCAAGCAACCTGGCACCTTCGGCTTCAGATGGAGCCTTGGATTGGCCCTTGCCCTTCTCAGGCGGGTTTGCGCCGGCATAGCCATCCCTTGTATCCGTTCCGTCTCTGCCTTCAGTATGCTTTCCTCGGGCGGGGAGGTAAACCCTAAACCCTAAACCCTAAACCCTAAACCCTAAACCCCAAAACCCTAAACCCTAAACCCTAAACTCATGGACACAAAGTTGCAACTTTCGGGTTCCTGCAGCAGAAGGCTCCAGAGGGGAGGGTCAGAGAGATCGCAGCTTGGCTGCACTTAGTAGGGTTTAGGGTCTAGGATTTAGAGTTTAGGGTTTAGAAAATTTTTAGCCGCCTGATTAAACCCAAAAAGGCTAAGGATCTAAAGTTACAGTAAAGTACCACAACAGATGCTGTCCAAGCTTCCACGGATCCCTTTGCTTCTGCCCTCCTCTCTGTCTGCAGGCTCCTTCAGGGTTGGGGGTTGAGGGTTTAGGGTTGAGAGTTTAGGATTTAGGATTTAGGGTTCAGGGTTAGGGGGTTTTTAGGGTTTAGGGTTTGGGATTTAGTTTTTGTTTCTTTTTTTGCTCCCGCATAGCTGGCCGAACCGCGGGCAGGGTTCATGTTTTTGGGGTTTGGGGTTTCGGGTGCCCGAACACTCACCCTGAGGACACGACCCCACCATGGCCCTCAAATTCCCTCAGTGCTGGCCTTCGTCACCTGCTTGGGGCCTCGCGGCACCCCCGGGCTTGGCGTGCTGGCATTGCTGCCATCGCGCCGGGGCGCGAGCTGCCGGGGGCTGCTGCTCGTGAGGATGGTCCTTGGGTGTGTAGATGCACATTTCCCCCCTGGGTTCTTAGTGGGGAATGAAGGCCCGATATATACCCTGGAAGGCAATATGCAGGGCCCGAATTTCCTCATTCCCTAGGAAGAACCAGGCAGCTTTCCCCTGCTCTTTGGGTTCTTTCTTTAGTTGCAGGTTCACGGGGACGAACCACGAGACTCAGTGGCGCGGTTCGCAAGAGCATGCAGCAACCATCACCTTCGGCCTCATTTTGGGGGGTTTACGAAAAATTGGGGGGGAACCCCTAAAAACAAGACCTCCATATGGTAGCATTCCCTTAATAAAAGGGGCAATAAAGTACCCCTAATGTCGGAACCCCCCAGTAGTGCCCCAGAGCGTTCAAGGCTCAGCGGGCAGTGCATCTTCTCGTTCTTCGACTCGGCGATGGCGTTCCACATCTTCTGGTCATTCACCAGAATCCTTTGAGGCTCCGAAATCTTGCAAGCTGCGACAGAAAGGCTACCGAACGCTACAGCTTAATGGAAGAGGTGGGCTGCATGCCTCGAGCTGTTGGGAGGGAGTTTACAGGTATTCGGCCACTGGAGGCCAGTACAATGAGTACAATGGGATGCAACTCCGCCCTTGTACTTACGGTAAAAAATATCGGGATGATGTACGGGGGGTTACTAGAATCCCTAGGAAGGACTCTTCGAAAAAAAAGGGGCCCAATTGAGATGTGGCAGGTCTTACCGGGCGGCGTTGTCCCTTGAGGGGTATAAGGAGGGACCCCTAGAAGAGACGATGTAGTCTTATTCCCCTATATAACCCCTGGTACCTGAGTAGCCCCTAAAGAAGCCCCCAAGGTCCCTTCTAAGGGTCCCTCCTTCCGTTCCCTGAAGTTCGCATCAAGACACATACCTCGTCCACACCGACGCTCGACGATTGCTTGCAGCTGTTGGCGTGCGTCTTTGTTGCCGGGCTGGCCTGCCTGAAGGATGGGAAGGGCGGGAAGGAGGGGGGGAAGGCTCCCAAAAATTCGGGCACCTATTTTTTTCTCTATTCTCCCACAAATTAGGGCACCTATTCTTTTTTCTTAGGCAGGAGGTTATAAACTACTTCTTTGGGTTCTAGAAGGGGTACCCCTGTTTTGGAAACTCGCGGTGTTCGGATGGAGAGCTCCATCAGCTTCGAGCAGGATTGCAGGGTTGCGTTGCGTGCTTGCGGAAAGCTTCCTCCCCCCCCCCCCACCCGAATAGGAAACCCTCCACCAATAGGAAGCCACCCAAAGGGTGGACCTTAAAATGTAACACAAAGAGAGAGAGAGAGAGAGAGAGAGAGAGAAAGAACGATTGAACGAAAGTAACAAATCCGGAAACTCGGAAACAAGAAAGAACGAACGAAAGAAACAACACGCGAAATGACTAGCGCAAGAAAGAACGAGCAGAAAAAGGAAAGGAACGGCGACACATCTCCAGAAATAACAGGAGAAATAAAGCAAGACACAACGACATGAACGGCCAAAGGATCAAAGAACAAACAAAACAAGGAAAGATCGAAGGACAGAAACGCAGTCAACAAGCGAACTAAATGCCTTTTCGGGTCCCACAACTTTCGCGGTCCTGTTTAGGGCAAGTATCCCTGAAGAGACTCTGAAGAGACTCTTATTTCCCCAACAGCGGATACGCTTATGGGGTTTGTAACTGTTCATGCAATGGCGCGGTGGCCATGTTTCGGAAGATGATACACTTCTGAAAGTGTAATGTGCGCATGTGACTGTAACTTTGTCTGCTGTTAGTTAAAGGTACATTAACGCGGGGACGCCGCGACAAGGCAACAGCCTTCTGGCACGCAATAATGTCGTTGTCCACTGGGAGAGATGAACCCGTGCACGCGCAGCAACCGCGTAGTTTCCTTGACGCACATGTCATTACGAACTGAGAGATCGAGATGAACGTGTGTGCCGCAAGCAGCACGAACACGTCCCCGACGCACGTCTCTGTGCCACGTGCAGTAACATCGTGCTGGTCCTACGCACCTAGAGACCTCGAAAGAAAAATAAAGAAGTAGAGAGAGCGAGAGTGCTCTTGTCTGTGTTCATGCCGACATGCACATGCGCAAGTATGTTGAAGCCCTGAGTACATTACGGGCTGAGTACCCTAGTCCCAGAAAAGGTTTACCCTTTTAGATATAGTCGGATTCTATATAACCAAGAGGGTTAAAGGTTACCTACCCAGTCCCTAAGTTACAACTTCCGAAACCTGCATCCAAACTTAAGAAACCCTAAACCCTAAATCCTAGAACACTAAACCGCAAACCCTAAACCCTAAGGACCAGAAACCCTAAGGACCAGGTGTCTCAGCGCTTAAGTTCCTGAAATCCCACCCATCGAGCTCGGGACCAAATTCGTGCTAAGGAATGCCACATGGATTGGGATATTCCCCTTATACAAACAGTCCTTAATGGGGATTATAATGGAGGGTACTATGATCCCTAATAAGGACTGTTAGTGTAGGGGGGAATATCCCAACATATGGGGGTTTCAGAAATCGGGGGCACCTTTTTGGGGTCCTTCTTACTAAGGGGCTCCAATTTTTTTGGGTTTTGTTCGAGGTCCCTTCTCGTACTCCCATCTACGTCATGGCGGGAATCCTCGTGTGAATTCAGAACCTTAAACCCTAACCCTAAACCCTAAACCCTAACCCTAACCTCAGGTGCATTTCTCTGAATTCAGGGGGTCTTGGGTCTTGGGGCCCCTCCTTGCCTCATCACCGAGGTTGGCGATGACCTCCCCTTGGCGGATTGCCGCGAAGCGCCCTGGGTTTCGGTTTTGAGCTTAGGGTTTAGGGTTCAGGGTTCATGGTTCAGGGTGAAGGATTCAGGGTTCAGGGTTTAGGGTTTGGGGGGGGGGAAGGCTTCAAGGGTCTTAGGTTTGGGACCCACCCGAAGCCGACACCAGGCTTCGTCTTTAGGACATTCTGCTCTCAGGGTGATATGGTCAAAACTCTAGAAGGGGCCATAATTTAGAGAACTGACCATACAGCTCTCTAAACTCATGGTTCCTTTTCGAATGCGCGAAGTCATAGGGGGCCGCCTTGTAATCAGGACCCCCAAAACCCTAAACCCTAAACCCTAAACCCTAAACCCTAAACCCTAAACCCTAAACCCTAAACCCTACTTCAGCTGAACACGATCTTCCCGCACTGGAGAGAACGACCCCCAAGCTTGAAGCAACTTTTGTCCGCAAACCTTCTTAGGTGGCCCTGAAAACCCTCTAAACGCTTATTCCTAAAACTGATCCTCTGAAATCCTACCTAAACCCTAACCCCCTGAAAACCCTAAACCCTAAACCCTAATCCCCTGAAAACCCTAAACCCTAAACCCTAAACCCTAAACCCCAAAAAGCAAAGACAAGCAGCGGAACTTGATCATCCACTGCTGAAGCTCCTTTCGAAGCTCCTGGAGCTCCTCCGGATTAGGTTTCACCTGGGCTCAGAGATGCCTGAAACTAGGGGGTTCTTAGGGTTTTAGGGTTAGGGTTTTTAGGGTTTTTGCAAGGTTTCGGGTTTAGGGAGAGGGTTTCAAGGGAGCAGGGCTTCTATTGCAAGGTAAGGAATCTTCCCCATTCCCTAACAAAGGAGCATCGAAGTCCTGCCGGGTGGAAAGTTTGAGGCGACTCGTTCACTCAGTGGGTCACATGATCGTGAGCTTTTTCGTTTTGGCAGCGCTGGCATATCCACTTCTCGTTTGGGCATATCCACGTCGTGGTATCACGGTTGATCAGTCTCTGTTGCCGGCACCCAGTTAACCCATCTAGCTGCTGGCTGCTAGCTACTCACTCTGCTTTGGGCACGATGTACAGTGCGCAAGCAAGAGAGCAGGCAAGACGCAGGAAGAGGCACATGGACCTCTCCAGCCGTCGGTTGGCGCGGGTCCGTCTCTAACTTCATGAACATGCTCTCCTGATCGGCTGGCTGGTCTGCTGCAAGTCTTCAAAACATGGGTTCCATTACTACCCCCCTCTATACCACCCCACCCCCCCCCCCCCCGGTTCCCCGGTTCCCCCCATAGTTAAGGGGGTAGTTAAGCCGAACTGAGGTTATTAACGCGGGAACCTAGGGGAGGGGGGGTAGTATACAGGGGTAGTAGGGAAGCCCATGATCAAGCCAGAGACTTGCTTCGCCAAGAAGGCCGGAAGCCCGACGCCGCGAAGAGACTATGAGAGATGCACCTGTATAAAATAACTCGGTGAACCATATGTGCATTTTCGTGCGCCTGTTCTACCCCACTAGAATAGAATCCCCTTACAGGGACCCCCCCCCCTCCCCCCAAAAAAAAAGTACCCCCCTCCCCATGTTCGGAAACCGCTATAGTATCTGCGTATTCCTCCTTGCTGGGTCTTTGAGCTCTCTGGAGACGTCCAAAAGACAAGACCAGGGTTCCACTTTGGCTCCGGAAGTCGTCCACGTGTGACTCAAGCAGCACCTTTCCAGCGTGACTTCTGGAGTTCCGAGTGTGGGCCTTTAAATTTAGGTCCCTTGCTTTATATACCGTAAACCCTAATGGCCCAGACTTCGGATCCCTCTAAACAAGGTCATACTTTGGGGCCCATGCATCCGACCTTAGACCTGAAGGGTTTAGGGTTTCTGGGGTTACTTGGAGATTCATTGGGGGTTTCTAGGTGCCCTAAATAGGGTTCTGAGTATAGTTACCATACCGATCACCCTACCTATAACTACCCAGGAACCTCGGAAAAGCCATCTCCCGGCGTTCTCCACCACACTCCTCAAATCGCCTGCCTAGGTTGACCTGTATGCCCCTCTACAAAGGTGTATGTAAACTAACACGCCAATTACCTGCAAGGTTCATGGTTACTTCCGGTAACCCAAAACAGAACCCAAAACACACCGTTGCATCTGGCCTGCAACGACTCCGCCATTGCACACCCTACAACCCTTTCTGCAGCAGGCTTGCGTGACCCTAAAACCCTAAAGGCCCTAAACCCTCGAGCCTAAGCCCGAACCCAGAAGACACCGCAGAAGTCCCAAGCGCTTCAGAGACATTCGCTTCTGCGGGTCAACGACCAGCAAGGACCGGATGAGGTCCTGCTTGCGAAGTCCAGAGGTTTCAAGGTGTAAGGTTTCGTCCCACACAGCCGCATCACATGCAATGCTTTAATGCGTTTGACAATTTTTCCCAAGCCCTTCACTCAAAAGAACGTGTCTCAATCTCAAACCGAGAGATGTTGGCCGAAAGCAACAGCCTTATAGATCCTTGGCGCGAACAATCATTGGACCATTGGAGCTTCGCTCATGGCAACCGGGCAAAAACGGCAACATCTCCCACGGGCATGGTCTCCCTTGGCAGACAGCGCACCCTAAACCCTAAACCCTAAACCCTAAACCCTAAACCCTAAACTCTAAACCCTAAACCCTAAATCCTAAACCCTAAACCCTAAACCCTAGCGACTCTGCGGCATGCCCGGACCTTGAACAGTAGATGCCTTTGAATTTTGTAAAGGGCGGCATATAATTTTCATTACTTAGCAAAATGCATAAACAACAAAGTGTTAGGTAGTCCATAAAAAAGACAAGGAAGGAAAGCATAGGGTCTCTAGAAGGAGGTGGCATCCTGGGTTACATACCCCCCTTGATAAACCCTAAACCCTTCTAAATTCTAAAGCCTAAGCCCTAAACCCTAAACCCTAAATCTCCCTTAAGAACCCTATAATCTCTAGGAGGTGGTGGCATCCTGCGCTTCGGGTGTGAGCTCTGGCCCCGATGTCCGCCGCCTCAGGTCGGCTGAGGAGGCAGGGGACGTCAGGGGGACTCCGAAAAGAAGTGTTAAGAGGGTTTAGGGTTTTTGGGGTTGTTAGGGTTTTTAGGGTTTTTAGGTGTTTAGGGTGATTTTTTGAGGGTTTTTGGGGGTTTTAGGTTTAGGGTTTTAGGGTTTTGGGTTTTAGGGTTTTAGGGTTTAGGGTTTCGGGTTCAGGGTTGTGAAGTCTTACTTGCTGAGATGCACCTAAGTGGGAGAAGCCCCGGCACTATCGGCAGTTCCGCTGTGCAAAGACTGCGACAGTTTGTCTTTGATGCCCAGACCCCTGGGAGGATCCAAAAAGTAGAACCCCCAAATAGTACCCTATACTACACTTGGGTCATTAACCCTGAAGGGGATGTTTAGGGTTTTAGGGTTTAGGGCGAATTCTGGGCCTATGAGTGCCCGAAATAGAATGCCCCGTTTTTTGCTATTTGGGGCCCAAGGGACCTCAACTTGGGGAACTGATGCAATCCGAACGAAACATGCGTAGCTTTACACTACCAGGGCCTGCTGCCTGAAATCTGCTGCTTGGCCCAATTGGGGTCCAAGCCCTTCAGCAGAAAACATAAGAACGTGGATCCTAGACCATCACCTTCAATCATCAAAAGTCATGACAATGCCAGCCGAGGCCATGAAGATCTGGGGATGTAGCCCTAAACCCCAAACCCCAAACCCTAAACCCTAAACCCTTAATCCCTAACATCGAGGCGCTGGAAGGTCATGTTGTCCAGGCTTTGCTGCATACGGCTCCCGCGGTGGTCCCCGCTGTCGAAGGGGAAGAAGCCGATAAGCCTTGGATTCGGGTTTCGGGTTTAGGGTTTAGGGTTCAGGGTTAGGGTTTAGGGTTCAGGGTTTGGGGTTTAGGTGTTGGGGTTTAGGGTTCAGGGTTTGCTCCAACTCAATGCTCCCTGTAGAAAACATAGAAGATACTTTGCTGTAAGTCGCTTGATTACTGTGATAAACATAAAACCATGAGGTCCTGCATTCCCCAGGGGGGCGTATCGGGCCATCGAACTGACCCTGGGAAGCCTGCTTTTGTGAGAAACGGTGCAAGATAATGAAGGGCAGGTGGGCGCGCTGGCCCGTGAAGCTACGTGCTATGGGAACTGAGGAGTTTAGGGTTTAGGGTATAGGGTTTAGGGTTGAGGGTTACCCGGAAGTTCAGGCATTGTGAAGCATCTGAAGGAGGCCGTGCACCTCGGTTTGGGTAGAAGGTGTGCCAGGTGTCACCTAGGTTAGCCTTCGCAAACCTGTTGAACATATTCTGACATATAACGCTCTTGAGGCCCATTATTGAAAATGCACATATTCCAGGGGCTGGTCGGTTGAAACACGTTTGGTTGGAGGCTCCGCTGGGCTTGCAGCTGCGAATGCAGCACGTTCGAAGTCTCGAAGTGAGGGTTTGGGGGTTGGGACATGAGTTTAGGGTTTAGGGTTTAGGGTTGTTGGCTTTGGGGCTTAAGCCTTAGGGTTTAGGCCATTGGAAGACAAGGCACATCACGTACCTCACACGGCCAAGCAGACAGAAGCTACATGTCGGCTTGTGCAAGGTGTCACAAGTTCTGCGTCCCTTACTCAGCCCAGGTTGGTCCCGAAGAGCCGGTGGAAACTATCCCTGAATGCCTGGCTGCACTTACTAGGGTAGCTATAAATTTAATTTTTAGCCGCCGTATTAAAAAACCCAATAAACCCAAAAAAGCTAAGGATCGAAAATTACAGCAAAGTACCACAAAGAATGCGATCCTCTTCAACCAAAACTGTGGAGGAAAATGGAAACATGTCTGCAAGGTCTACAGGGCTCATGGCGCAAGATGGGGTAAGGACAGTCCGACCCGACCGAACCGAAATTCATGGGTGGGTCTTTTGGGAAACTTCGATTGTACTTTTTCTTGAATAAATACTTAAAGGCTTAGATGTTGAATGCTTTTACTCTCTCTCTCTCTCTCATAATTATGCCGTGATCAGAGGGTACTGTTGCAGGCTCCTGAATTCCAAAACCCTAAACCCTAAACCCTAAACCCTAAACCCTAAACCCTAAACCCGAAGCGTGGGCCGAGATGCAAGACCACCCCCAAGCTCCAAAGGTCCACGGTCTGGTCGTATCCGAGCGCCGCCTTCTCCGGATCGCAGACCTCCCCAGCTTGCTGGGTTTAGGGTTTAGGGTTTAGGATTTAGGGTTTAGGATTTAGGGCTTAGGGCTTAGGGCTCGCTTTCGCCCAGCGCTCGCGGGCACCGCTTGACTCGGTGAGCCGTGGGCTGGTATGAGACGGATGACGCTTCTTGAGGACTGGGTTGCGCTTTTTTGAGCTCCAAAGACACAAATGGCAACATCCTCTAGCCCTGCCGATGGGGCGGCTCTGCTCTGGTATCCTTGGCTTGCTACGCAACACAGCTTATCGGGGTTTAGGGTTTAGGGTTTAGGGCTTAGGGTTTAGGGTTGCTTTCCGAGCTTGTCAACCTGTGAGGCATTGAAGCTGCAGAAATGTGCCTCTGGCGCCCAGTACATGGCCGTGCCCACGCGAGCCGTGTGTCTCGTGTTGAAGCCTTGCAAAGTGCGCAGTGTAGAGTTCATGCTATCTGCAAGCGGGCCTTGTTTTACCTTTTGACAACCAGAGGCATCGTCTCAAAACCTCGAAGAAAGCAAAACGCGCCGCTACTCTAGAGCTTCTATGATTAGCAACTTCGCAGCAATCTGAAAAATCCGCAAATTCTGAAAGGACTTTCACGATGCACAACTCAGCGCCAACTTGGGCTCTTGCAGCTGCCCTGTGGGCATTTTCCCAGGTTCTCAGAAAGTCGCAGAATGTCGCATACATGATGCCCTTTGTTCTGGCTTTCTTGGTTGAATTGCGCACCCATCGGGAGGGCAACTGGGGTCGGTGGTGATGAGGACACAACCACTGCCTTTAAATGCATCTCTTACAGTAGGTGTCAAGACTCCCTTTTCAGGGTTCAGGTAAGGATTGGGGCTTGAGGTGCACGCACTGCAATATGGGTGGTTCCCTAAATTCGGGCCTGTTTTATCACGGGGAGCCTTCTGGGGAGGGTACCAACACAAGAAAATACTTCTCAGTAGCCCAGAAATTGTATTGTAATTCGGGTACCCTTTTTATGGTTACTTTCTTAGGGAACCCAGAACCAAGAAATGGATCAAGGATGCCACTGGGCTACCGAGACTTGAGATATCGCTCCACATGCACGAGGAATTGGCTTTGCGGACTGCAACGCCAGCTTAAACAGAGAGCAAAAACTAGAGGTGCCGAAACCCTAAACCCTAAACCCTAAACCGTTGACCCTGCACGCAGGAAGCCGCACTTCTCTCCAAGTAGCCATCGTTGATGAGCCGCGAGTGCCCGAAATCGGACAGCTTTACTTCCTCGGCTGCTTTGTGTAGAATTCTCCACATGCCCAGACAATTTTTAACTTGGGCCCAGCTTCCAGCTGCTCCAGCTTTGATGCAGCCTCCTCAGCTGCTCGACTCGGGGTTTACGGGGTTTAGGGTTTAGGGTTTAGGGTTTGGGGTTTAGGGTTTGGGGTTTAGGGTGTTTTGAGACGTTTCGTTAGCGCGACACCTCCGCCGAAGGCGCAGGAAACACCCAAGAAACGCGGCACCACTCAGAACTGTGGCCAGGCGACGTCCACCAGAACGTTGTCCTGAACTTCTGGGCTTAGGGCTTAGGGTTTAGGGACACTCTCACTCCCCATATGGGAATGCTAAAAGGATCATGGTATTGTATTCCGCAGCAGTGTAGATTCAGGTACGGAACACTCCACTGTGGGAAGCTCCTCAGAAGCCTCAGAAAGCCTCGGGCCCCTAAGGCTTGATTTCTGGCCCCGCTCTTCCCCAAGCATGGTGCGAGTAATTAGGGGCCTGCCAAGAGAAGAAGCACCCTCCGTCTACTATGTGCTTAAGAACCCCACAAAAGATGAAACATAACAATCCCCATATTGCCCTTAGAAGGCAGAATCTTTTCATTTTTTCAGGGGGTTCTTAAACAAATAGTAGCCCCTTTTTTGCAACGAGCTTGGCTATGCTCCCGCCCGGCATTGGCTGTCCCAAAGTAGCCCTAAACCCTAAACCCTGATCCCTGAACCTTAAACCATGTTGGGTGGGGGAGGGTTCAGCAAAATCGTGGCCCTTGGAGGGTTCGAGGGGTGAAGGGCTACTCGACGGAGCGCTGGCGTGTCTTGGTGCAGTTTTTTGCGTTCCTGAGCTCCCTTGAGGTGCCCTCGGAACTCTAGAACCCCAACCCTAAACCCTAAACCCCCCTAAACCCTATAAACCCTATAAACCCCTAAACCCTATAAACCCTAAACCCTATAAACCCTCAACCCTTATAAAACTTTACAAAACCCTCACAAGCCCTTATAGACCCCCAAAAGCCCTCATAAAGCCTTATAAACACCCCCTACTTCTTGTCCCAACCAGATCCTTGCTCAAGCCCTTAGCATCCCTTACCCCGTCACGGAACACAAAAGAGAGGTCCGGCTTGAGATCTCGATGAATGATGCCCTTGGAGTGGATGTAGGAAAGCCTCTGCAGAGAAGTGCATCACTTAGCCTAGCCAGGGTTGCGAGCAGGGTTTAGAGGTGCTTTTGAGGGCTTTAGGGTTTAGGGTTTAGGGCTTAGGGCTTGGGGCTTAGGCTCAGAAAAGTTATTGGACCAACTACACGGAAAGCCAGATCTTCGGCACGGTGCGGCAAGCGCATCAATCTCGGAACCTACCGACCCAAGCAATTGCGCGAAGGAAGCTGCAGAATCACCTGCTCACACCGCCTGTCAATGTCAAGGCATCAACTTCCAGGGGCCCTGGAAAGAAGCCCCCCGTAAACCCTAAACCCTAAACCCTAAACCCCAAACCCTAAACCCCAAACCCTAAACCCCAAACCCTGGTCCCTCCTGCCGCCTAGCAGCCCTTCCACAAGCTGCACGAAGACGTGGCGAGCCATGTTCTCAGTGAAGGAGCCCTTCTTCACAATCCACTCGCCCAGTTCGCCCCCGGAGACAAGCTCCATGATGAGATAGAGGTAGTCATACTCCTCAACCTGAGCACTACACTGTACACATCAGTGTGCAAAGGCACTTCTTCTCAAGCCCACGGGTTCTGACAGAGAATGGATGAGAACAAAGCCCCTTGGAAGCCCATCGTGATACTGAGGCAGCTGGCAACATCTACCAGCTTCACGACGCGCTCATGTTTCAGGGACAGTAGAATCTCGATCTCCTGGTGCAGCCTGCAGCAATGCCACAGGAGCAGAAACCCGACTGGCGAGGTTGCCTCTGAACATGCGCACTGCAGTTCAACCATGCTCAACATGCGCACATTTTACCAGGACTGCCAAAACTCCAAGCCCTCAACCTCCCTGAAACCCGAAAGCTCTGTCAAAGGTCCGTCTCGTCTTCAAGACCCAAGACCCAGCTATGGCCCTGAAATACTCTGCTAAGCTCCGGCTGTGCGCCTGTCGGAAACTCGAGCAAAGCCTCGGCTGGAGTGCCGAGTAGACAAGCACGTGGGGTCACATCCGCACGGACACAGTCACACGCGCATGCGCTGGAACATGCAGGGACGCGTAGGGACGCAGAACAGACGCTCGTCGCGTGCCATGCGCATGCACATCTGCGTGCGCTTGCCAAAGAAATGTCCGGATGCATCCAAGAACGCGCAGTAGGCCGATGACCCTCAGACCCCCCCGAAACTATAAAGAGCAGCCGAATATCATTTTCGAATCTTTTCCACACCTTAAACCCCCCCCCCTCCCTGCCCCCCCTCCCTACAAACACGCTTCCCTAGGCCATAAGCCCCAAGGAGCATGGCTGGTGTCGCAGCTTCTTTAGGCTGATGGCCTTGACCGCGAAGATGTCCTGAAGAGTCTTCTGGGGGGCAGTTCTCTGACTTCCGGGGGTCGGTGATGGATCAGGAGATTTGGGGTGCCACATCTCACAATTCCTTCGGTCTGCGTGGGAAACTGAACCGGAGGACGTAGGCAGGAAGCATGGGTTATAGTGGCCTGCAAAGCCTGCCACAAAAAAGGGACGGCTGTGTAGAGAACTGGCCTTATCTTTCCGGACCAGCAAAAGGCGAGGGAATTGGGTCGTGGAATCCGGTGTTCTGTGGGGTTTGGTCCTAAGCGGAAACAAAACCTGAAAATAGCTGGTTTAGGGTTTAGGGTTTAGGGTTTAGGGTTTAGGGTTTAGGGTTTAGGGTTTAGGGTTTAGGGTTTAGGGTTTAGGGTTTAGGGTACACTCCAAACCCCAAACCGGCTTGGGTTGCGGTGGGCCTTGCTTAGGTCCCAGAGGCTCCAGTACCCCTGAATCAGGAACGCTCCTTGCGCCACGTTCGGATCCCTCTTACCCTTCCAGCAGTATTCCGGAACTGAGGGATACAAGGAGGGGCCCCCCTAGTTAAAAGTCGAGTTATAAGAACCCCTAAATTGGGTTGTAAGGATCCTAACTTAGGTTATAAGTCCCTTAAGGGGGCCCCTCCTTGTATGGGAGTCTCTGGGACATATGGGTATCTTCCCCGAAGCGGGTTCCGGCTGCTGTGTATGGGCTGTGACCAACCCTGCCAAGCAAAACCCTTCACCAGCAGAAACTCACCTTCCCGCTCCCCTAAACCCTACCCTAAACCCTAAACCCTAAACCCTAAACCCTAAACCCTAAACCCTAAACCCTAAACCCTAAACCCCTTCCCCACTCTCTGGCCTGCCCCCGTTGGCACTTGTAGACCTTGGAAGTGACGCCAAATCCGATCCTGACGGGCTTATACTGGTTTAGGGTTTAGGGTTTAGGGTTTAGGGTTTAGGGTTTAGGGTTTAGGGTTTAGGGTTTAGGGTGTCAGACTGGTTCTGAGTAGGAAATGAGGGCATGAGATAATACCCTATCTAATCGCTTAATATATAGGGCTCTAATTCCCTCATTCCCTACTGGTACAAAGAACCAGGGGGTCTAGGGCTTTCTGCGTTCCTGCAACTCCGGTCACCCCCCCCTCCCCCCCCCACGTCGACAGAGTGTGGCGGGTTTAGGGTTTAGGTGGAGCAGTTTACAAGTACCCTAAATGCGTTTGTAAGTATAAATACCAGAATTCTAACCGTACTTATGACTACCCATGAACCTCCAAGCAAGGGCGATGGAAATCTCTCGGCAGTGCTGTAGGGGAAGGAACCCTAAACCCTAAACCCTAAACCCTAAACCCTAAACCCTAAACCCTAAACCCTAAACCCTAAACCCCCAGAAAGTCCCCTCTATTGGCTCCCTTGCTGGGAGCAGGGTTTTGCTGTGAAGATCGGTGCTGAGGCCTTGGCAAGGCAACTATCGGAAGGGTCTGCTTTAGGGCCCGGGTGTATAGTAACCTACAAAAAGTTGGGACATCTTTATCCCCATATGCCATATCCCACAAGGTATACTGAAGGGAATCCCAGCTTCCATCATCCTTAAACCCTGTTCCAACTTGCTGGAGTTTACTGTATACGGCATAGGTACTCATAGGAACATGGGGCCTTAGGGCGTGCGAGTTGCTGAGGTTTTCCTGGCAGGTCAGCTGCTTTTTGCGGGCATCCCTGTGCCAGCGAGCTGGCTGCCCAGGCGGCCCGAGAACAAAGCCAAAGAGTTTCAGGGTTTGAGCCTGCGGGGTTTAAGAGCTTAAGGGTATAAAGGGTTTAAGAGTTTAAGGTTTTTAAAGGGTTTTTAAGGGTTTAAGGGTTTTTAAGGGTTTAAGGGTATAAAGCCTCAGGGCTCACGGTTCAAGACGAAATTCTGGAAAAGAGAGCAGGAGCACATGCTTCAAGACAAGAAGCCGCAGCTCAGCTGCGTTGTGACCTGCCTCCCCCCCCCCCCCCCCCCGCAAATAACGCAAGAACTGTGGGTACTGCGGAGCGTCGACAATGCTTAAAGGATCAGGGGACTTAGCAAGTAGGGGTAGAGTTAGGGCAACTACAGTTACAATTACTTGTAACCCAATTAAGGTACTTATAACCCTACTTTCTAAGTCCTGTGATCCTCCTAAGCCCTAGCCCTAAACCCTAAACCCTAAACCAGGGGTTTCCAAGTAAACTAAGTCCCCTGATGCTCCATGCGGCTCAAGGCTCTCTTCCATCAGCGTGTACATCAAAGGGTTCTCTGGAGGCCCAAAGCATTTCTCTGCCGGCCTTTCGACTTTTGGGGTTTAGGGGGGCATGCCGGCTGAACTTGCAACCTGCGCAGAACTCGACATTTGCTTTGAAAGGCACCAAACATGCCTCGTTGGCACCACCGACATTGGTGCGGGCTCCGAGCGCTTCGGCACCGGAGAAGGTGAAGTACTGGAAAGTTGTGACACTGTGTCCGTCCCAGCTCTTTGGCGCACGTCCTTCTCCTCAGGTATGCTGGTCTACTTGGAGCACCTGGATAATCCCATTATAAATGCACGTATAACCCACTTAGAAGCCCTTTAAGTGCCCTAATGAATATGGTTATAACTGGGTCATAAGTGCGGCTATGCTTGGGTTATTAAGTACCATGAACCTCTAAGTAGGGCTTTCCGCCTAGGGCCCAACTTCACTCCCAAAGCGCCCAGAGACTCTAATACCCCTTAGTTAAGGAATATTCCTTAAACCATCTAAGGAACTTTATTCTAATTTAGGGAATATTCCTTAAACCATATAAGGAACCCTATAATAAGCTAAGGAATCTTCCGTAATTCAGGGGGTATTGGAGTCTCTGGGAAGGTCTGGAGGTTAGGTTTTGGGGTGGCATAGGACCAGTCAGGAAACACACACAACTAGGAGACAGCTGCAGTTGCGATGCCCCCCTAAAACCTAAACCCTAAACCCTAAACCCTAAACCCTAAACCCTAAACCCTAAACCCCATTTGAAGCCTAGCAGCCAGGCGCGCTCGCTCCAAAGGTTTCAGGTCCATCTTCTCCACGAAGCTCCGCCAGTTCGCCCTGACTTCATCCATGGACGAGGCCCCATTCTCGTCGCACCACTCCACCAGGGAATCCGCATGATGTACCAAGTGCAGCTCTTGCATCCACTCCTGGCAACACTCGGAGGAAGCCTTCTGGGCCTACAGAAGCTCCATGTGCGGACCCGAGGCTACTTGCAGCTAACTCTTCGGTGGCCCGTAGTGCTAACACCCAGGCGATCCTGGCAACTGACATGTCAGCAGCTGACCCCCGAAAAAGTGGTCAGCCAGCCATACTATGCTGTGGGGGAGCTCGGGCTCGAACATCCCAAGCAACCCAGCCCTAAATCACAGCGATTCTGCACAGAATTCTCGGGTCCTACAGGAAGCTTTTGGGGCACGCGTGCTGCCCCAAGACATGCAGACAAGATTCTAGGACTTGCTGGCTCAGCTTGCCACGAGTCTCCACGTGAGGGCTTAGCACACGTCCAACATCTTTCCTTGAGGCCGCCGTGTGGCCAAACTACCCCCTGGTTCTTAGTAGGGAATGAGGGAATGAGGGCCCTATACATGCCCTCTAAGGGATTACACAGGGCCCCAAACTAAAGTTCAAGGAGGTGGAACTGCGTTGAATCGAATGCAGGAAGCCATACACCCCTTTTCTGCAGTAGGGACTTGGCTGGTGCCGGCACACACCCTGAACCTGGGTAAACATCACAAACTGTAAGACCTAAACCCCTACGCCTTATGAAGCCTAAACCTAAACTCACCTAGCCGCCCCAACGCCCCCAACACTATGGGCCCAAGCCTCAACCCTCAACACTCTGGACACAGGCCCGAAGACCTCTGAGCCCTAAACCCTAAACCCTAAACCCTAAACCCTAAACCCTAAACCCTAAACCCTAAACCCTAAACCCCAAACCCCAAACCCCAAACCCCAAACCCCAAACCAAATCTGCGTGGCGAGCCTCTCAATCCGCTTCCTCTCCAGAGGCTTCAGACCTAGGTCGTCTGCGAAGTCTTGCCAGTTCCTGAGTTCCGCTCTTCGTGGCAGCTTACATGGAGTAATGTGCAGACCTTCAAAAAGGGAGGCCTGCCAAGAATGTACAAAATCCCTTCTGTTAAGGGTCTGTAGATAGGACGGCCCTTAAAGCCCTCTGAAAAATATTCCTAGATATAGTCCTCTTAAACCCCACAAGGGAAAATATGACATGGCCTGAGACCCTACCGAGGTAGGTTAAACCCTAAACCCTAAACCCTAAACCCTAGACCGTCTCTTGCATCCTAGATATCGACCCATGGGTCTTTTGGAAGCCTCGAAGGAGCCCCGAAAGCCATACGCCCAGCCAACTCGGCACTACTGGCTGGCTTAGGGTTCAGGGTTCAGGGTTTAGGGTTTAGGGCTTAGGGCTTAGGGTTTAGGGTTTCGGGTTTCGGGTTTAGGGTTTAGGGCTTAGGGCTTAGGGTTTAGGGCTTCGGGTTTAGGGTCCTTACTCTGCGCGAGCAGAGCAAACCCAATCTGCAGCAGGAGCGTCTCCAAGACTTCCGCCAAACTGATGGCACCTTGCAATCTTGTTTTTTGGGGGTCTCTCAGGGGTATATCGGGTGTATACACGGGGTATTTTTTTTTTTTTTTGGGGGGGGGGGGGGGTATCTCAGGGGTATATCAGGTGTACACACGGGGTATTTCGGGGGTTGTCTTTGTGGGGTATTTTCGCAGGTTAAGGGGTGCACAAGGGTACCACAACTCTTGGGTAGGCTTGGGGGCTCCATAAACAATTTAACTCTTGTGGCTTGATACAGGGTAATAAAATCAAAAAGACTTAGATTCAAACCTACCCTGAACTAAGGCCCATAAGGGACCATGTAGCCCTAATGGGGTTTAGGGTTTAGGGTTTTTATTTTTGCCACCCGTCTAGGGTTTAGGGAAAAGGGTGTTGGGTTTGAGAACCTAGGGTTCAAACCATGGCGGGTCCTTGGTCAGGGTTTGGGGGGCCCTTGGTCTTGCTGGGTTTAGGGTTTAGGGTTTAGGGTTTAGGGTTTGGTTCTAGGGCTTGCAGGGCACCCAAAGGAACACTTCATGGTGTGCATATTTGCTACATATTTGGATGCATATTCTTGGTAAGTTAGATGGAAGATCAAGGGGCTGAGAAGGCTAAAGGTTGGACTTGGAAGACAGCTTCCTGTCAGCTTCCTTTGACACAAGTTGGGAAGAGCACGGAGGCCTGCATCTGTGCTCATCTACGAATGGCGGGTGGTGGGGTGGGAGACTACCATTACAACAAAGGACGTCGTCTTACTACACACCAGTTCTGGGCCGTGCGTGATAAGCCCGTGGCAACAATGCCATCATGGGCTTCAGTCTGCAAGATGGGTGCCCCCTAAGCCCTGAACACCAGTCCTAGCACAACCCTGCCGCTTCCAGGCCTTCTCTTAGGGGCTGAATACCCTAATCCAAAAAAGGTTCACCTTTTATACATAGTAGGATTCTATATAATCGAAACGGGTAAAGGTTACCTACCCAGTCCCTTAGTTCTTACCCATCAGAAGTAGCTGAGTCTATACTCCCCCCCCCAGATACTCAACGCCCCCTACCCTCTCTTACATCTACTCTAATATAACTATAATAGTGGTCTTTGACAAGAAAAGTAGGGTGGGTTGACAATTTAGGGGGAGGGATGAAGCGACATTCTCGAACTCGGAAGGCATCCGACAGGCTGAGGCCGTCGAGAGGCCGTTGTCGATCCACCATTCCTGTGCCTGCGAATTTAGGATTTTAGGATACTTAAGGTTTACCCAAAGGCTCCTATGTAGTACCTTTTTTAGGGGATAGGATTAGGGAGACCCTTGGGGATATAGACCCTCTGAATAAGGTCCCTCCCCTATAACTAACACCAAAAGGAACTACACCCAAAGGCTCCTATGCAGTGCCCTTTTTGGGGTAGTATCCTAGAACCCCTATAACTAACCCCAAGCTTAGGGTTTAGGGTTTAGGGTTTAGGGTCTGCATTGGAGCCTTTGTGTAGGGCTTAGGGTTTCAACGCAACGCGCCCATCTCTGGCTTGGAGACTGGCCCTGCTTCGACTTAAAGGGCAACGGTGCTTCTAACCACTCGGGCAGCAAGCGACCAATTTTCAAGACGAGCGAAATCCTTCTCATCCCTGAGCTTACTACGTGCTCCCGCGCTCAAACAACTTTTCCATACGCTTTGGGCTTCAAAGCCCAACAAACCTTAAGGATTACCAGGCTCCAACGACGGCACGCGACATCGCGCCCACGACATCCGGACCCCTGAGCACGGAAGTCTCGCTTCGTGTGCAGGAGGCCTGGTCCAAGTATGACAGCAGGTTCAGGCGTGCGAGCCAATCCTTGGGTGTAGGGTTTAGGGCTTCGACTCCCGCTGGCACAAGCAGGCGAGGTTCAGGGTTCACACCACTGGGAGTGCCTAGCTAAGCAATCAAAAACTTCCTGGGCTTTTCCACAGTAGAGAGCCTCCTTATAATACCCCAAAATGCCAAAATCTTAGAGTGCAGGACTCTCCAAAAAAGGGTACCCCGATTTTTTGGAAACCCCCGTATACACGAACCAAAGAGCATCAAGGCCAGTTCTTCTGAGTGATTTTGGGGTGCACGAAAAAGGGGTCCTTTAGGCTGCATGCAGCCAGACCTTCAACCTGAAGAGACCTTGGCCCGAAACCCTAAACCCTAAACCCTAAACCCTAAACCCTCAAGTGTGTGCAGAGCTCCGTGAACTCCTGGGGCGGCGGGGCATCCGCCATGGCTCCGCAGCTGGAGTCGGGCGGACCAAGGCCATTGCCAGGCGCGGCGATTTCCAAGGGATCTTGATGAAAAAAGGGTTTAGGGTTTAGGGTTTAGGGTTTAGGGTTTAGGGCTTAGGGTTTCGGATTTAGGGTCTAGGGCTTAGGGTTCAGGGCACCCTAAGCCCTAAATCCTAAAACGCCCTAAGCCCTAAGCCCTAAACCCTAAACCCTAAACCCCAAACCCTAAACCCTAAACCCCAAGTAGGAACCCTGGAAACCCCCCCACGTGCCAGGCTCGGCTTTCAGATCGAGGCCTGCCGCTCCTGGAGCCGAAGAGGGCCTAAAAAAGCACCTGAATAATTCGAATAGGGTTTAGGGTTTAGGGTTTAGGGTTTAGGGTTTAGGGTTTAGGGTTTAGGGTTTAGGGTTTAGGGTTTAGGGTTTAGGGTTTAGGGACCATAATGGAATACTGTTAGTAGGGCTCCGAGACGTGAGGAGAAGCTTGTCCACGGCTTATGGGGGGGGGGGGTGTGATGTGGGGTTAGGGTTAAGCACCAAACGCTTGCAGGTGCATGCCCGAAAATCATGTAGCAAGAAGGGCTGGAAATGTAGAGTGCTCATACAGGGAGCCGTTGGGTCTCCAGCTTCTTTCTTCCTCTTGCTGCAGTCATGTCGTGGTTCACACATACATGTGTCTTGCCAATATCTGCTGCCATGCCAATGTTCTTAGTTTTGTTTTGTGGTGTCCTCTTCAGTTGGAACTCTGCAGGTGGCCCTCGGATCCTTGTGTTCTTGTAAATGCGGAAGACCGCGACATTCTAGTGTTGACCTCCTTCCGTCTCTCCCTCTCTGTGTTGGCGCGCGTGCGCGTGCCGTTTTGCTTCTTTCGGCTTGGAACTCCGCGTACGGTAACATACGCGCCTTAAAACATAGAATAGGGCTTTATCATTATTTTTTTTGGGGGGGAGGATCAGAGTATAATTATAAAGGGGCCCTAAGGGAATAGCATGAGTAATTCTTCCGACCCCTCTATTAGGAGCGCACCGCAGAGCCCTTCTGCCAGGATGGACTGGTGTTTGGGGTTTGGGGTTTGGGGTCTGGGGTTTCGGGTTTAGGGCAACCCTACTTGAAGGTTCAGGGCACTTATTAACCAATTATAACTGTACTTATAACCCACTTATACTCCTGTGATTATAAGCCCCTTAAGTGCACGAATATGGTTACAAGTACAGTTATAAGTACAGTTACTAATTGGGTAACTAAGTACCATGAACCTCCAAGTAGACCTGAAGCCTTGTTTGGGATGTTCCCCCCTATAGTGACAGTCCTTAACAAGGAGTATAATAGGGCCCTATTGTCATCCCTATTAAGGGCTGTTAGTATAAGGGGGGAACATCCGAAAGCCTTGTACTCGAAGCTTGTACATCTTATAGAACTGCTTCTTAGCTTAAGACCCTTCGACCGACAGAAAGCTCAATCCGAAACTCACTTGTTTGAAGCCGGTGGGTCGTGCCGGCATTTCCTATCTGCGGAATCTGGACTGGAGAGCTGCTAGGCTGCGAGAGTTCATTGCCTTCTGGGTTTCGGGTCTATAGCATTTAGGGGGTTTCGGGTTTAAGGTTCTGGCGTGGGTTACGTTGTGGATGGCTTTGGGTTGTTCCACTCAAGGCTACCATGTCTTTGGTCTTGAGAAAGACACGCTGTGCTCATGTTAAGGAACTTGAGCTAAGTTACCATAGAGTTTATACGATTCCCTGTCATGGTAACATATGGTAAACTTGACTTACTTTGCGTTGCTGAGCAGCAAAACCCCGTGGTAGGTAATGAGTTTGCGGAGAGATTTGGAGCTTCGGAGCTTAGCTTTTCTCCCCGGAGTCAGCTCCACTTGTCCACGTGCTTCGAACGCTGTTCGTTCAAAAGAGTGGCCTTGTCCTTGGCTGTTTTGGGAGTAATCAAGCGGGGAAACTGGGTTAGGTGCGTGTCGCAGCAGTCTGTGGTGGCATCCCTGGCGCAATCATGAACCACTATCGCGCTATGTGTTCGAGCCTCCAGGGCATGTTTGCCGTTATGGGCGTCGGCGCAAGTAGCTGAATGTCTGCGTGTGTAGAGGGTAAAGAATCGCAGCCTGTTTGGGGTTTGCGAAAATAGACGACCCCCAAATAGTAGGATCTCCTTGATCAGGACCCCGAAGAGGTACCCCTAATTTTGGACACCCCCGTTTAGATGCCTCAACTGCACAACTAAGTACCAGTAGCTCCCGAACACGAAGTCCTAGAGTAACACAGGGTCGGAAAAATCACTAGTAATAAGCCCTTATGGTCCCTCTTTTCTTATACTATAATAACTCCCCCCCAAATATATATATATATATACACAGATATATATATATATATACATTTATATTTATTTATTTGTTTATTTATGTATTTATTGTTTTAATTATTAAGGCCCCTATCCTAGTTGCCCTGCAGAAGCTGTTGCCATGTGTCGGCCGCCTTCTTGAGAAGGGCTTGGCACTGCCTGGCGCACAAAGTTGCCCTTAGGAGCATCACCAACTTACTCAGCTCACCCACCTCTGGCTTGACATTACAGTTTAGGGTTTAGGGTTTAGGGTTTAGGGTTTAAGGTTTAGGGTTTAGGGTTTCGGGCTTAGGGTACAAGCACAAGTACCCCATTGTTCCTACACAAATATCACGCTAATACACAGCCTGACAGCACAACACCCGCATCACGGAATTGGGCTATTAAGCGCTGAAGGCCTCAGGGTTCAAGTTTCACGGGGCCTTTGTGCCTTTTGTAGCTGAAGTGAATGCCGCTTTTGGCCGGTCGCCAGGGCCCCACACACCTTCGAGCTCCGAGTTGTTCCCCTGCCTTCTATTTTTCGCATTCCCAAGAATCGACCCCATACAAGCACTCACACAATGAAGGAGTCATGCTAGAATACACCTTCAACCTGTCGGAAGGACAGGCGGAACCTTCTCATCTCTAAGGATTAATTGCTTTTTTTTACTTGTGCACCCGGAAGACGGCACTTGATAAGATCCCTGCGGTAAACTTGCACCGGAAGTGGCTCCCACAAGATGCCCCACTGCCCTACGAGAATACCAGGGTTCTAGGGTTTAGGGTTTAGGGTGGACCATTGACTCAATTCGAATCCTTACTGAGCCCGGGAGTTCATGCAATTCTGACGCAAAGTGCAGGAGCAGCCGTAACCCCTAAACCCCTAACCCCTAACCCCTAAACCCCTAAACCCTAAGTTGGTTGCCTCAGGAGCTGCGTAACTTCTCGATTTCCCGGGTCCAGCTGGTTGGCCTTTGCATCAAGTAGGCACAACTGCAGCTTTCCATCCTTTCGTGTGTATACATACGAGAAGGGGGGACGGGCAGGGAGAGAGAGGGAGAGAGGAAGAGAGAGGAGGAACACGAAAGAGAAGAGAGCAAGACAGAAGAGCAACCCCAAATCCTAGCCCCTGCAAGTCCGTTTTTTTTTCCGTCCCGCACAGCTTCAGGGTTTAGGGATTTTCGGCTTTTCGGGTTTAATGTCTTAGGGTTTAGGGTTTCAGGGCTCTAGGGTTTAGGGTTTGAGGTTTTAGGGTTCAGGGCTTTAGGGTTTTAGGGTTTAGGGCTTTGGGGTGTTAAGGTTTTATGCTTGGGATGTTCCCCACTAACGGTCCTTAATAGGGATGATAATAGGGGGTACTAGAACCCCCATTAAGGACCCTAAACCCTAAACCCTAAACCCTAAACCCTAAACCCTAAACCCTAAACCCTAAACCCTAAACCCTAAACCCTAAACCCTAAGCCCTAAGCCCTAAGCCCTAAGCCCTAAACCTAGACTGTTAGTATAAGGGGGAAGATCCCAAGTCTCAGGGCTTGGGGTCTTGCATGGCCTGCGCCAAGTCGGCCACTGCCTCACGCGGAAGGCCGAGCCTCGGGTCGAAGTCGAAGGAGGCGGTTGCAGCCCTAAACCCTAAACCCTAAACCCTAAACCCTAAACCCTAAACCCTAAACCCTAAACCCTAAACCCTAAACCCTAAACCCTAAACCCTAAACCCTAAACCCTAAACCCTAAACCCTAAACCCTGAACCTTAACGGGTGCCCGGCTCTAGAGAGTCGGCAACCTTGAGCCGTTTTCTTCGTTGCCCTTTCTGGTCATAGTCATGTGTGGCTCTCTATGGGCTTGAAGACGGGTTTAGGGTTTAGGGTTTAGGGTTTAGGGTTTAGGGTTTAGGGAACCCTGCTCTCATGAGCAGCTGCACCTGCTGTAAGCCCTTACTTGCACGGATGCCTGGCGAAACCTCGTGCCAACTTGGTGGTCTTGCACAAAAAACACACACAATGAACTCTGAGTCCAGGTTTCGGGAGTGGTGAGATTGAGGACTCTAGCATTCAGCGTGCGAACATACAGCACTTGAAACTTCAACACTGAAGCCCTACAGCCCAAGCATCCTAAGCCCTATGTAAACATCTTGAACCCGAAATTCGGGAACCCTAGGCCCTAAGCCCTAAGCCCCAAGAGGACTAAGGGTCCTAAGACGGCCCAGAGCCACGCGGCTGGAGCAGGGCTTTGCCACGCCTCAAGCTCAGCAGTTTCGGCACGAAGCTCTAGATGGGTGTTTTGCCATTTTGGGGCCCCTTGTCGCGGCTGTGCGTGGCAGTGCATGGCCTAAGCGTTCAAGCTTCAGAACTGCGGCCCCAAGGTCTCGTAACTCGGACTCGGACAACTCAGGCATCAAGACATGCGAGGCTCATGGGACACGTTACCCAGAAAGCGACGGTTGTTTCGTAAGAGTTCGTCTTGAGTACGCAGGTTGGGCGTGTCAAGTACGGGAGGCTTACAGATCTAGCTGAGCAGCTGGCGTTCGCCTTGATCCGTCGCATGCCGAACTGTGCCGAAACCGAAGCCCGAGAAGCCCTATATCATGTCTTTCACAACATGTGTCACCCTTGTTTGGCAACCCTAAACCCTAAACCCTAAACTCCAAACCCTAAACTCTATGTATGATTGCCCCCAAGACGAAACGCACATCTTGAACTGTGAGTCCTCGTCGGGCCGAAGCTAACCTTCCAGCAGGTCCAGCCGTAACCAAAGCAGGCACCCTACAATCCTGAACCCTAAGCCCTAGACACTTAACCAACTAAACCCTAAACCCTAAATCCTAAACCCTGAACCCTGAGTCCTAAACATTAAACCCTAAACCCTGAACCCTACAAATTGTGGGCCGAGTTGCCTAAACAAGGCCTTGATGTTTGCAGCATCCTCTTTCCTTCGCTGTCTCTCGGGTACTTTGCTAAAATGTCTCGAAGCCTCACTTTGATTGTATTTATGTAAAGCTTGAAAGGGTCATGCACAGGTAAACGTAGGGCTATAAGTACCAGAAATAAGTTTGTGATTACAGATACCATACTTCCAACACCTCCTAACCCTACTTATAGATACCCATGAACCTCCAAGTAATCATGTACTTTAGGGTTTAGGGTTTAGAGTTTAGGGTTTAAGGTTTAGGGTTTAGGGTTTAGGGTTTAGGGCCAACAACACCGAGCTTCAGGATGTCTGTGCAAGCATCGGCGGCGTCTTGCCTTATCTCAGAAGGCCCTCGCAGAAACTAGCTCACGATCTGTCTAACCCATTTTTGCACTCTTTGAAAGGGGGCATCCGAAACGGGATTGCTACAAACTTCTGTCCCGGAGCAACTACTGGGAAAAGGCCAACACGAACGTCCTGGACTTGGAGTGCATGTGAACTGCCAGAAGAGGCCCAGAATTGGGTTCAAGGTTCCGGGCCCCACTCCCCACTTCCCACCCCCTCCCCTCCGCCCCGACAGACATAACAGGCGACAAAGCATCTTTCCACACATGCCGGCGCCTCTGCCCAATGACCAGGCGCCCAACCCCCCCCCCCCCCCCCCCCCCCCCCCAAAAAAAAAAAAAAAACTGCGGGCGTCAGACCCAAGAGTGAGAAACCTTGCGGGATTCAGCCTTGCAAGTCCTTTACCCAACCGTGCCAAGCCCCTTGCGAAGCCTCAGGTGGATACGAAGCAAAGCCGGAAGCCCTACATCCCCAATCCCGGATGACGTTTTCACTCCAGTCATCCTAAAGATATTCAAAGACCTACTGTGCCTGGAGCATGTGTGGGGGCCTAATACCCCTGAGTTGAGAAAAGTAAGTGGAACTCTATAATACAGGAGATCTCAGTATGAACCAAGGCATCTTCACTGAGGGGTATTGGGCTCTTTTGGGTGATCCATATACCCGCAACGAAAGTACATGCCCCTGGCTCGTGAGTTACATAGATTGATTTGTAGCTGACAAAGCCCTGTGTTTGTTGAACGTTGTGCAACATGCTTGGAGGGCCTCTTATCAATTTATTCGATTCCTGGCACCCCTACAGATACAGGCCAGCAAGAGCCCGACAGAAGAACTGAAGGGTGGCCCCGTATGACTTTCCCAGGCAAACCCGTGAACACCCAGAAGGCATGCAACAGGACAAGATGGGAACGACACAAACAACTAGGGTAAGGATGGTTCTAAGTAGGGTTATAAGTAGGGCAGCTATGGTTCTAACCTTAGTCAGGGAAGATTTGTCCGATGCTCAGGTAAAGACTAATCCAAGGGCTCCCCAGAGCAAGCAAGATGCCACAAGCCTAGGCGAAGAAGACAGAGGGCGCTGTTCAGCCTCAGTTGGCGAACTGACCCTAAACCCCGTTTCGAATTCTGGGCTCCGAACAATCTTGCCAGCTTCATGCGTGGTACAAGACAGACCTCAAAAGCTCTGCAAGAACCTAAACCCTAAACCCTAAACCCTAAACCCTAAACCCTAAACGCCCAAACCCTTAAACCCTAAACCCTAAACCCATAAACCCATAAACCCTAATTCCTAAACCCTAAACCTGCGGGTGGGGGATTCCTTGTTGCGGAGCTCACCTTTTGTCCAGTCACTTCAGGAGGCTGTCTTGGGGACTAGGGTTTAGGGTTTAGGGGTTTAGGGGTTTAGGGGTTTAGGGGTTTAGGGTTTAGGGGTTTAGGGACTGAGGCAGGTTTGCCAAGCTTGAGATCAAGAGATTGGGCTGCGGGGCTGGTGATTTTGATGAAGAAGATTCATTATTCTCACTTGTATTATGATTAAGGACTGCTATCTTTCTTCTTCTTATGATTTGAATTCAAAACCCCCCCCCTGCCCCCTCCCGGACCCCCATGACACTGGAGTGATCATGGGGTGCAAGTCGCTTGAGCTCAGGAGGTCGCAAAAGCGAAACCGCGAGCAGCACAGCCTCAAAGGTTGGGGTCCACCTCCGAAGGATTCGATCCGAAACCCGCCAATCAAAGTGCAGACCATCGGCCTTGATGCCAGACGGAGTGATGCAGCTTCATGGAGACTGGCATCGTCCAAGCCTGGATCTCTTTGAGTTTAAGGGGCTTTGCCTTTGGCGATGGGGTATCCCTAAGCCTCAAGTCTGAAGCTCCGAGTGGGGGTTCCAACGACACCCTAAACCCTAAACCCTAAACCCTAAACCCTAAACCCTAGACCCTAAACCCTAAACCCTAAACCCTAAACCCTAAACCCTAAACCCTAAACCCTAAACCCCTCCTGGCATTGCTGCTGCTTCGACGCCCGCCCGCGGCGCGAGCTTCTGGCAGATGGCTGTGTACCTCTGCGGGTCCGGGGTCTCAGGTCATTTGCCAAGAGACTCCAAAACCCTTTAATTAAGGAATATACCTTAAATCATATTAGGCTTCCTATTGTCATTTAAGGTATATTCCTTAATTAAGGGGTTTTGGAGTCTCTGGGTGAGGGGTGCTCGCATTGACGGATGTCGCATGGCTTTACTGAATGTAAGGGCCAGTTGCATCATGTTCCTACCCATGTTAGGGGAAGAGACAAGAAAGGACAAAACCTGTAGACCCAATTCTTGCAAGAGCGCTTCAGCAATGCCAGCTGGGTCTTGCCCTGCTGGAGGGAACACGATGCTGATGCTTTCCTTATCTTGGGGGAGTTTTGGGGGGAGTTTTGCCTGGAGCTTGCCCTAAACCCTAATCCCTAAACCCAAAACCCTAAACCCTAAACCCTAAACCCTCTCTTCATGTTCTGCTCACACTCAGGCGGGCTCTGGTCTGCCTCAAGACCTTTGTGTAAAGGGACTTTCATGGGAGCCCCCCAAAAAACCCGGAACCCCTGGACAAGAGAGGAATATACCTACCAGGGTCCCTTATATTCCCTTTACATTCCTGGTCCATTCTTGGGGGTTCCATGTCTACGAGTTCCGGTTAGGATCCATTTAGGGTTTAGGGTTTAGGGTTTAGGGTTTAGGGTTCAGACAAGGGAGCTCAGAAAAGGCTCTGTTCCCCTGCCCACTTGAGCACGTCCTCGGCAGACTCGACTGTGCAAGCACTGATGGCATCCAGGCTCACGACAAAGTCCACCTCTCAGACTTGCGACCGTTTGCGGTTTAGGGTTTAGGGTTTAGGGTTTAGGGTTTAGGGTTTAGGGTTTAGGGTTTAGGGAGTGTCCCAGAAAAAAAGGACGGCCCCCTTAAAGCTTCCCCGGGCAGGAAGTAGGGATTGAAATCACAGCCAGCCTTGCCCAGGTTCGCGCAGTTGCCCAAAACCCCTTGGCTAGCTGCTCAAAATAGATGCATTGCTTCGCCAGAGCACACCTAAACCCGAAACCCCTGAACCCCTGAACCCTGAACCCTAAACCCTAAACTCCCTAAACCCTAAACAAAAGCTCCCAATGTAGAACCCTGAAAGCCAGGCGGCCCGCATCTGCAACCAGCTGCTGGTCGCTGCTGGTTGCCGTGCTGGTCTCTCCCAGACTTGGCGGCTTTTGGGTATTTTCAACGAATCAGGGTTTAGGGTTTAGGGTTTAGGGTTTAGGGTTTAGGGTCTAGGGTAAGTCGGGAGTATGGGTATATCCCCCCCCAAATCAGGGTACCCCAAATGTACGCCCCACCCAAGATGCTCTAATCACTTTGGTCAAACCAGCCCTCGTCTTTACACAAAACACACCCCTAAACCCCAAACCCTAAGCCCTCACCCTAAACCCTAAACCCCAAACCCTAAGCCCTAAACCCCAAACCCTAAACCCTAAATGATGTAGCGAGGAGCTGCATCGAGCACACCATCAACTCTACAAGCTGGCAGTGTGCACCGGATCCAGCTGTCCAGCAATGCCTCAGAAGGCTGAGTCTGCCGTCTTGCTTTAGGGTTTAGGGTTTAGGGTTTCCTGTTTCCCTGCAGAAACCTGCGGTTTTGGTACCAGGGCATGTCGCTGAGGCCAAGGCACAAGGGATACAAACACCTCCGGAAGGCTTGACCCCACTAACGGCACGAGCAACGTGCAAGGTGGCCAATGCCCTGAACCTTAAACCCTAAACCCTAAACCCTAAACCCTAAACCCTAAACCCTAAACCTGCACCCCAAGCTCCAAGACCGAATCGTTTCAAACTCTCCCAATGGCTGGCTGGCTCTTCGTAGGGAATCAGGGAATGAGGGTACCCTATATTCGCCCTGTATACCCTTTAACCCTAACCCTTTAACCCTATAACTCTAAACCCTAAACCCTAAACCCGACACCCTAAACCCTAAACCCTGAACCCTAAAGCCCAGGCCCAAAACCTTAACCCAAGCTGGTACCTCCTTCCCCAATTCCCTACGAAGAGCCAGGCAAATGGGACCAAAACACTCCTTGGGTCCATGGAGGAGCCGCTTCTCCAGCGGCACGCTTTCTTCCCCCAACGTGGCGGTGATCCTGAAGGGTGGTTTGGGTTTCGGGTTTAGGGTTTAGGGTTTCGGGTTTAGAGTTTAGGGTTTAGGGTTTAGGGTTTGGGGTTTAGGGTTTAGGGTTTAGGGTTTAAGGCTTACGGTTTAGGGTTTAGGGTTCAGGGTTAGTGATTAGGGTTTAGGGCGTTAGGAGCTTTACCTGAAGGTTCATGGGTATTCATAACTGGGGTTTAGGTGCCCTTCAGGAGGTCATACCCAGAGTTGCGCCTACTTCTCACTCTAGTTAAAGGAACCTCCAAGTTAGAATAGCTGCATGCGCTGCTTCCCAATGCGTCGCATCACTCCGCAAACTGGCGATGCGCTCAGCAGTTTTGGCAATTAAATGGCCTGGTTGATATCATGGTCATGCGAACTGTCAACTGCCACGGTCAAAAATATAGGATGCAACTCTGATATGGTGGTGTAGGGTAGACAAGGGGTCCCCTTGTAAGTGCCCATACTAAGGGACCCTGTGACTACCCGAAGCCAGGGTGCTTTGCCCGCACTTCTGCTCCGGGGAGGACCCGAGGGGCTGCACAAGGTGCTTCGACCAGAACATGCTTGCGCAACCTGCGCTTAAGGGCTTAGGGTTTAGGGTAAGGGCTCAGGTTCAACTTTGGGGTTAGGGTTTGGGGTTGAATTAGGGTTTCGAGCCTTCCACCTTGATCCAGTACTGGCAATCCCCACCGACCTAAATAGTCGGAAGCTCAATGCCTCAGCTACTTAAAGGATCAGGGGACTTTGTAAGTAGGGCCATAACTTTACTTCTAACCAAACCAGGGTACTTACAACCCTACTTACAAAGTCCCAGGATCCTCCAGCTACCAGGGGCATCCTAGGATCACCCTTCTTGGTGATTGCATGCACAACCTACTGGCCGAGAGGAACTGAGGAGCTAGGACCCCAGAGTCGTCCCTGATTCCCTTCTTTCTCTAGGGTTTAGGGTTTAGGGTTTAGGGTTTAGGGTTTAGGGTTTAGGGTTTAGGGTGGCACCCTTTTTGAATCCTAGGCTACTCTTGGGGAGGCAGTGCTCCGGTACGTGGCAAGCAGGGGATGAAGGCGATCGAGCGGATCTAGGCTACCTGGAGGCCTCATGACCCGCCGGGGTTTAGGGTTTAGGGTTTAGGGTTTCAACGTCATGAGTTGGGATCTTCCCCCCCCCCCCCCCTTCTGCTAAGAGTTCTTAATAGGGATTCTACTAGGGGGGGCTACGAGAATCCCCATTAAGGGCTGTTGGTGTAAGGGGGCAAAAATCCCAAGTCATGAATCACAAAACCTGAGACCCTAAACCCTAAACCCTAAACCCCAAACCCTAAACCTTACACAGAAATCACGCCGAAAAAGAGTGTGGGACCTTCCTAGTCAATGGGATCAACCTGTTTAGGGTTTTAGGGTTTTAGGGTTTAGGGTTTTAGGGTTTAGGGTTTTAGGGTTTAGGGTTTAGGGTTTTAGGATTTTAGGGTTTTAGGGTTTAGGGTTTCGGGGTTTCCTATCTACGTCATATTGAGGGTACCCCCCCCCCCCCCAAACAAAAAAAAGTTTGGAGTTTGCTGTAGAGGCAAGGACCTTCATGTACTATTTGCTTAAGAACCCCCCCGAAAAGTAAACACATTCTTCTTACAAGGGCAATATAGGGATAGTTCCTTTGGATTCAAATTTTGTTTATTTTTCTTTATTTTTTTTGGAGGGGGGGGGGGTTGTAAAATGGGCGCAATCTGGGACGGACCACTCACAGGAAGCAAGTGCCGTGGAGGAGCGAGCCGTCGCGCTGAGCCGAGATGTCAACCAGCTTGGGCGCTTTCTCCTGACATATCAAGAAATACCCCGAGGCTCCCCTAAACCCTGAGCCTAAACCCTAAACCCTAAACCCTAAACCTAAACCCCACATTCACTTAATGCAGCTTTATTCCTGGCATCACCTTCGGATTCCACTGCAGCTGAGATAACTCCTAAATTCAGGGATGTTGCAATCCCTGGGAGCCTAGAACTATAACTCTAGTAGGGTACTTAAGGGTCTTTTATGTGGGTTATAACTACACTGATAATTGGGTTACCAAACCCTAGACCCTGAACCCTGAACCTCCAAGCAGAACACACGCCGGTCCCAACTTCCTGGCATCCCTGATCCCTGGGCGCACTATAAGCAACGAAGCCCACTTAGAGGTTCAGGGTTTAGGGTATTAGGGTTTAGGAATCGCAATTATAACTGCACTTGTAGCCCCCCTAATGTCCTCTAAAATGGTTGTAAGTAGACGTGTAATTGGGGTTGCAAGTACCCATGAACCTCCAAGCATTACGTACGAAAGTGAGGTAGCCGTATCGTGACCAAGGCTCCTCTTGCCGCACTTGCCGCACCTGATTGCTAGGGTTTCGGGTTTAGGGTTAAGGGTTGAGGGTTAAACTTCTGTGCCGGACTGTGCAGTCGGGAGCTGCACGATGCACGAAGCCACCGTTGCTTGCCACTCTGCGCAAAAATGAGCTCAGCAATTAATCAGAGAGCCCAATGCAATACAGATACGGATGCCGACTAAAGGTATATTGTGGAATGTTCCCCCTTATTCTAACAGTCGTTAATAGGGATTGTAATAGTCGGTACTCTATTCCCTGTTAAGGACTGTTGGTATAAGGCGGGACATCACAGCAATGAACCCTGTTCTAAACCCATCCTGCGTTCCGGGACCCCAAGTCCTAGGTTTGCCTTACGCTCCCACCCTAACCCCAAAACCCAAAACCCTAAATCCCAAAGCCCCAGCAACCAAGCTTCCACTCGATCAGCAGGCGGCTGCCCCACGTTGGCATTGGGCCGACCCCTCCGCAGCTCCACGGGGATGAGCCTTGTCAGGTATGCCCCCAGAAAATCCTACAGGGTTTAGGGTTAGGGTTTAGGGTTTAGGGTTTAGGGTTTAGGGTTTAGGGTTTAGGGTTTAGGGTTTAGGGCTTAGGGCTTAGGGTTTAGGGTTCAGGGTTTAGGGTTGCTTAAGACATCAGAATTCATGCTGGGAGCCCTTTTTTGATTCAAGGGCGAATGCTCCTCAGTAAGGGGTCATTGGGCTCTTGGGGTTGAAGGCTTACTCTACACCCCCCTTCCTTCCTCTCAGGCCCGTAATGCAACGGTGATGTGTCCGAACCTCGTGAGGTTTGGTACAAAACATGACATGTCCGGAGGACACAGGAGTATTGGCCCTGCGCAACTCTTCGACTCGATGGTTCTGGATACTGATAAGTTCCGAAGAGTCTGGGAAAGTCCGAAGCGCCTTAGGATGGTGGCTTTTCCCGTGATGCTCATCGTAGCACCACTCAACCAAAAGACATGGGCCTACCCATTTGGACATGATGCTCAAGAAAGGCACAGGATGGGCTCAAGCATGAGTTGCCCCAACGACTGAAACGATGCCTTCTCGGTCCCGCTATCTGCATGTTCTTTTCGTGCCTTTCATACATGTGCCCAAGCAAACACAAATGAAACATGCCATGACTAAAACATCAGTTGCCATGCGCCTGAAGACTAAACTTTTCCATGTTCACATGCTAACTGTACTCATCACCCAATTCTAACCCTATTGGGGTACTAAGGGGCTTATAAGTGCCCTAAACCCTAAACCCTGGACCCTAAGCCCTAAACCCTAAGCCCTAAACCCTGAACCCTAAGCCCTAAACCCTAAACCCTAAGCCCTAAACCCTAAACCCTAAACCCTAAGCCCTAAACCCTAAACCCTTAACCAAAAACCTCCAAGCAGGGGCATGCTTGCAAGCCAGTGGCTGCTCGACGTCATCTTGGAACAAAGAACGGCACGGCTCAGACCGCTTCCCTCAGAGGGCCGGGCTTGCTGCTGCGGTTCAGGGTTCAGGGTTCAGGGTTCAGGGTTCAGGGTTCAGGGTTCAGGGTTCAGGGTTCAGGGTTCAGGGTTCAGGGTTTAGGGTTTAGGGTTTAGGGTTTAGGGTTTAGGGTTTAGGGTTTAGGGTTTAGGGTTCGGTGCTCCAAAACAGGATGCTGGGTCTTCGACTGAGGGCATGGAAGATGCGGCCTGCAGGGGCACAAACATGAGATCGCGGGTTCCAGGTTCAGCAGTAGGGGCAGGATGTGCCAATATAGGTTCCGCGATTCCGCGACAGCCAATCGCGGTATCCTAGCAGCTGGCCCAGCCGTGAAGTACCGCGAACGGCAAACTTGTGCAATGCACAAGGCACCGGCCTGCAAAAAATGAAAAACCCTAAACCCTAAACCCTAAACCCTAAACCCTAAACCCCAAACCCGAAACCCTAAACCCGAAAGATGAGCTGAGCTTGTTGGGTCAGGGATGGTCAGGGCCTCTTGCACCAAAAAGATTCGGTGGGCGAGAGCTGTGCAACAAACTGAGCACTTCTAAGGCTGGCTCATACGCAGAGATTGTAGGGTTCTTAAGGGAGATTTAGGGTTTAGGGTTTAGGTTTAGGGTTTAGGGTTTAGGGTTTAGGGTTTAGGGTTTAGGGCTTAGGGTCCAGGGTTTAGGGTGTAGGGTCAGCTTCGAATTCTCTTTGTGTACACTGCCTTCTTGCGTGTCGTTCGTCGTAGCCGGGCGTCCAACATCAACTTCCTCCGCACTCGGTGCCTCCACAAGGCCGTGCCACATGGCTTCTTTTCTTAGTCGCCCATTCTGACAAAACCTAAACTTGTACAAACAGTCCTGAAAAGGGATTATAGTACCCCAATTACCCTAAACCCTAAACCCGAAACCCTAAACCACTCCCTATTCTGATAAAACATCTGCCAGCAGTCTTCCGTTTGAGTGTAGGTAGCAAGCTGCTTCAAGATGCGCGTGAGGAGCGTGACGAACCAAAACCGCTCTACAAGCGGCCGACCGCACTGATGGCTTTAGGGTTTAGGGTTTAGGGTTTAGGGTTTAAGGTTTAGGGTTTAGGGTCTTGTTTGTGTACTGCGCACACGCGGGTGTGGATTCTGAAGAAGGACCCGTTGAGCCAGATTGAGGCAGCATGTGACAGGCGGACTCGCAGCCTAAATGCCTTTCACTGACACCTGTCTCAAACCCTGACAACGTGTCTACACAAAGCACCCTAAACCCTAAACCCTAAACCCTGAATCCTAAACCCCTAAACCCTAAACCCTAAATCCTAAACCCTAAACCCTAAACCCTAAATCCTAAGCCCTAAACCCTAAACCCTAAATCCTTGTACCCCCCAGCCCCAATGACAAACATGCCCCCATGCCTGAGATTCATCGGCCAATGCCTCTTAAAGCCTTTTGAGAAACGGCCTCCTATAAACCCTAAACCCTAAACCCTAAACCCTAAACCCTAAACCCTAAACCCTAAACCCAATTTGGCGCTGGCCATCTGGCTGTCGACTGCGCCTCCGATCGTCTGAGGAAGGCAAGTTGTCAACAGCAGATCACCCTAGCAACCAGCGATGCCGACTGGGAGGGGGGGGGGGGGTTGGCAGAGGTTGCTAAACCCTAAACCCTAAACCCTAAACCCTAAACCCCAAACCCCAAACCCCAAACCCCAAACTGCATCACCTCCATGCTAGGTCACCCTTTTTCCCCTGAAAGATGCCCCCGACGCTCAAACCCCAAAACCGGGCCTCAAGAATTAGGGTTTTGAGGGTTGTTATGGTATAGTCTTTAGGGACCTATTAGAAGTTGTTCCTCTATTGTGCTAACTAGGGCTTACGGCTTTTTGGGGGGTTCCTTTGTGGGGTTCCTCTTCGGGATCCTATGACAAGTAGGTTGCTAAGGGGGCTGCTGAAGAAAAATAAGCCCTGCAGAGCTGATGCTGGCTGCTCTTGGAACAGGCAACACTTTCGTGCAGCTCGGGTCAGGGACTCTCCAAAATGGGATGCCCATGGCTGGCCTTGACTTTGATACAGGCTGAATTCTCCTCAAATAGCCTTAATTGTGGGGGAACCTAGGGGGGGGGGGGTAGTATAGAGGGAGCAGCATAGGGGAACCCATGAATCTAATGGTCAAGTTTCTGTGCCAAAATTAGACAAAGGCATGTAGCACTTACTGTCTCATCTGGGGCACAGGACAAAAACCAGTCTGATACACAGGTACAAAGCATCCCGGGGGTCTTTTGTCAAGCTGTTAGACAAAGCCTCAGACAAGTGCTGGCATGAGCATCTGCAGGGAGAGTCAAATTTGGGATCTGTACATCGGCAACAAAACCTGATTGAATTTGTGCTTGGCCACAGTCACACGATCACGCGCATCCATAAAACACCTGGCCTCTGCGTCGTAGGCTCAGCACGATGTCCATGGGCACGACCTTCAATGGCTTTCAAGGTGTGGAGCCTATTCGGGAAGCACTTCCGCAGAATGCTAGGTCGAGCTGGTGCAGAGCTTTCATGCTCCTTCTCCCTGCGGGAGAGCTGGCATCTACTTGATTTTCTGCGGCATGTGCTGCTCGCAACTGACAAGACCAACTCTCCCATATGCGGGTGGGCTGCCGTCGTCCGTCGCGCATGCTCAGCGTACACAGCAGCATCGTGCAGGATCTTCTGCAAAAAGCCGGTAATGACCTGTAATCGTTTCTGGTGCTGCTTCTTGCCTGGTGGTTTGGGGACGTGCCGACCTTGGAGACGACTGAACAAGAGGGACTTGGAACTAAAAGAGTTAGTAAGACCTAGTAGGAGCCAACCGGAAGTAGGCACGAGAGAGACACAACATACTTCTTCTTGCTGCAGCATTCATGGGAAGCGTTCAAAAGAAATGGCAATGCCGAGCACTCAAAGAAGAGAAGGAGTTGTCTAGTAAGAGTCGGAACACGTACAGCACGATCATTGGAGCAACCACATTTGACACACTCCTATGGTAAACAAGCTACTTCATGTTACAGCTGCCAGTGGCTTCAACGATGTTTGTCCACCTACAGACGGCGGCAGAAAAAGTTGTGAGAGCAACCAAAACTATGAGCTTTTATGTGATCTCGCAAGGCCCCACGCTTTACAAAAACCTTAACCCAGCGCCTCGCGAACCTCCTCATAGATGGCGCCAGACATTCGCTGCACGCCAGCACGTCGTGCGAGGCGCCTGCTCGACATTGGGAGGTTGGGATGGTTTCTACAGTGAGGAGAGGGCCTCAAAACAGGCGAAAGCGCCCCCTTCGAAGATTGGGATGGTTTGCGTTATCAGTAACTGAAACCCTTATCATCCATACTCATGCATAACAAACGTGACCAGGATCACGATCCAGGTAACCTGGCCCTGTAAGCTTTGCTTGAAAGATCTTGAAAGGCTCCTGTAACTTTATCCGTGGGTTCTGTCGGGGAACTATACCTACAACTGGCTATATGGCCTTATTTGCGGCTTCGCAATGGTTGCGAGCCTGACTATGGCTTGGGAACAACATGTCACAACCCCACAACCCCCCAATCCCTGAACCCTAACCCTAAACCCTAAACCCTAAACCCTAAACCCTAAACCCTAAATCATCTCAGGAACCTGAGATCGGGCTTGGTGATGCCTCTCCTTGGCAGGGCAGGTGCCGGCGCAGGCTCCCTACATCTCTCAAACCCATGTACTTCTTCGGTCTTTTGGGGTTTGTAGGGTTTAGGGTTTAGGGTTTGTAGGGTTTAGGGTTTAGGGTTTAGGGTTTAGGGTTTAGGGTTTAGGGTTTAGGGTTTAGGGTTTAGGGTTTAGGGTTTAGGGTTTAGGGTTTAGGGTTTTAGGGTTTAGGGAGGGTGTATGTCCCCAATCCTTGAAGCTGCTCTTGCCCGGTTTAGAAGGCTCTGAACTCAAAAACGCAAGGTGATGCCAAGCGTCAACTTCTGCTCAAGTCGTGCGAAATGATCCGCCTGGCCCTTGGATCCTCCTTTGCCTCCTTTGCCGATGGGCGTGGCCTGCGTGTCGCATCTGGCTGTCAATAGACTCCATCGGAGATGCATTCACAAAGTGTGGCAAGATCTCTAAATCAAACTCTGGGCCCTTTCTGAGCACCCTACCCCCCCAAACGCCAAAGCCCCTCCCTGAATGGAAGATACTATAGCATATGATACGATACAGCATGATCTGTTTTTAACGATTACGATTTTTAAACAATATATTCTATAATACGCATGACATACGTATTTGAGGACTTCGCTTTAACAATGGCAGTCATGAAAAAGGAACATGCAGCATCGTATTATGTGCATCCTCCACACCATCTCCGCAAGTCTAAACCCTAAACCCTAAGCCCTTGCGTTTCCTGCACCCTGGTAGTTCTGATCGTTGGCTTCGGCGGTACTGCCTTCTTTGCCGGAGCCGGCTTCTTACCTGAAACCCGGGTTGAGGGTGGGTTTAGGGTTTAGGGTTTGGGGTTTCGGGTTTGGGCCTGGGGGTTTAGTTGCTTTTGCCACCCGTCTAGCACTGCCCGACGGGGCTTCTGCAGAAAGATCACTCCACTCAAAATTCTGCCCAAATTAAGTAGCCTAATGTCAGACACGTCGACAGTATGCAGGACATCATCCAAAGACAACAAACATCCCACGCCACAACACCCCTTCCAGTAGTATACCCTGCACACTACCGGTATCAGTCGCTTTACATCAGCGCCTGTCTCCACTGGTACACTCAAGGACAGGAAGGCCCTAAACAAACCTCAAGTACATTCCACCGAGATTGATCCCAGACCAGTGAAGACCTTCAGCTGAGGAAGCTAAAACCGTAAACCCTGGCTGTTGAGGCTTTTAAGGCTAAGAGCTGCGTTGAGAGGTCCAGGGTTTGCTCCTGGGCCGTTGTGCGGTCCACGAGGACAGGATAGTGCAGCCTTGTATGCTAGGATGGCCCCTAAAACCCTCTGAACAAAATATTACCGAATATGATCCTCCAAAGACAGCGAAAACACAACATGCCCCAAGGGCCACAGTTCCCTGGCTTTCTTCTCATGCCGAGGCTGCCCCTGATAAGCCCTTGAATCTCTGATAAACCGCCATGAGCAGCCAAAACCCTCAACCCTAAACCCCTAAACCCTAAACCCTAAACCCTAAACCCTCAACCCTAAACCCTAGACCCTAAAGCCCCTCAACTTGGCATGTTCCCCCTTAGGCCAGCAGTCCTTAGCAGGGATTCGAATCGAGGGGTGCTCCAATCCGGACTACGGAGTGTTAGTAGAAGCGGCAACATCCCAACCCCCTAGGGCCCTAAACCCTAAACCCCTAAACCCCTAAACCCCGAAACCCCCTAAATCCCTGAAGCCCTAAACCCCTAAACCCCGAAACCTCGAAACCACGAAACCCTTACAATCCCTAAAGCCCGAAGTCCCTAAACCCCTAAAGCCCTACACCCCTAAACCCCGAAACCCCATAAGTGCGGAGCCCAGTCGCTGGGAGCCTTGGTCTTCGGAGTCGCCTTTGCAGGGATCGCCTTCACCGTTTTGGAGGCACCGCCTTGCCAGAGTGTCCAGGGAATTGAAGTTTTTGTTCTTTTCTATTTTGATTATTATTTTTAAAAATAGGGTTTTCGGGTTTTAAGGTTTAGGGTCTTAGGGGTTTAGGGTTTTAGGGCTTTTGAGCGCTTCGACTTGTGTAGCAAGCGAGGCTTGGATGGAGGGGCTTCGGAACTGCATTCGCGAAACCAGCCCTTGGCATCTTTTAAGTTCTCTTATAAGAGCTTACCCTAAACCCTAAACCCTAAACCCCTAAACCCCTAAACCGTAAACCCTAAACCCTAAACCGGTTTAGGGTTGCAGTCGCAGCCCGAAGTTGCTGAGCCAACAACTCCCCCTGTGGGCCTTTGGTCCCTTTCGTCTCCTTCACTTTCACCGCGGAGGCTGTAGGCATGGTCTGGCGAACCAGGGTGGCAATGACGCTGATGCCTTTCTTCCTCAAGGTAAGAGGAGAGGGAGTTTTGGCAAAGGAAGTTCAGAGGCGGAAGAGGAGCTTAAGAGAGTCGAAAGTCAAACGCCGGGAAGACCTGGAGAGGCCATCTAACGTGGGGCAACATGCAGGCTGGGAGTGGTGGAAGGCTGGCAGCCAATAAGGTTTTATTTAAGCGGCAGAAGGAGGGACCCCTAGAAGGGACTCTTAATCTTATTCCCCTATATAACCCCTACAATATACCTTGTATAGACCCTATACAGCTAAGTAGCCCTTAAATAACCCCTAAGGTCCCTGATGAGGCCCTTGTTTCATGAAATCTGGTACACGGGTGGGCGGGGTTCGTTCCACGCAAGGCCACCTAGAGGCCGACACTATCACTACTTGGAGGTTCATGGGTAGCTCCATGCAGGGTTATGATAAGTTTGGTAACTATACTTAGAACCCTGTTTAGGGTACTTATCACCTTACGGATAACTACCCTTACACTATTTAGGGTTTAGGGTTTAGGGTTTAGGGTTTAGGTTTCTTGCGTGTTGAAGTGTTCGGGAACTCCGAAATTCGTGTCTCGGAGCCTAGTCTCACCTCGCTTAGAACCTTTGAAGCCCCGCCAGCCCCTACAGTTCTTCGAGCGCACATGAGATCCGCAGGATCTTGTGTGCCCTGAGGCCATCTTCTATGGATCTCAGCAAGGATACTTCTCAAGATCTGCAAGAAAGAAACCCTAAACCCTAAACCCTGAACCCTAACCCCTGACCCCAAGAATAAGAGAAAGAAGCGTGTGCACAGCTGCACTATGCCAAGCATCAGCTGCTGGACGTCGTCTGCACGGGTTTTGGCTGCGAGATCCGGAGCTCCGGCCAACCCTTCGAACCTGGGCTGGTCTTCATTCTCACTATATATATATATATGGGGTTTAGGGTTTAGGGTTTAGGGTTTAGGGTTTAGGGTTTAGGGTCTACATATCTCTATATATACATCTCTCTCTCTCTCTCTCTGTGCTTGGAGGTTCATGGGTAGTTCTACGTAGGGTTCCAAGCATGGCAACTACACTTATAGCCCTATTTAGGGTACTTATAACCCTAGACCCTTTTTGCAGCCGGACTTAACCCTAGACCCTAAACCCTAAACCCAAGTAGCCGTTCGATGCCGCATTCGATGCCTCAACTTCTAGTCCCAAAACCTCAAATCCCAACCCCGGCCCAACCCCAAAATCTGAATACCTCACACCCCCCCAAAAAAAAACATATATATAAATATATATATATATATATATAGTAAATAAATAAACTGCAGAGGAGAAGCCGCATGGCAGCCATGTTGTCAGCGCTTCTGCGAGGACTAACCGTGCTTGTGAGGTTCGGGCCCCAGCTTGCGCGTCAGCATACTACAACATACAATGGCACCCTTTATTGCCAAACTTGGTTTATCAGTAACAACAGGCGTCTCCAACTTAAACTCAAAATGCAAGCAGACTAGCAGGACCGATGTTCCCCCAACACCATTGCTGCAACCGGTCACGTGGACTTTCTTCATGCGGCACTTTTTATCACACGCGCGGAGGTTTTCTATGCGCTTTCGCAGGGCTTCGCTCGACTCTGTGGCAGACGCCATTTCGACCTCTGGCCTTGAAACTCAGGAGCCCCCACCAAATCAGAAGACCTGTTCTATACTGAACTTGGAACCCTAGCAAAAATATTTTTTGCTGTTTCTTAGGAATTATCGTGCCCAAGATTAAAAAAATATTTCCAAGTACCCCTATAAGTGTAGGTGTGAGTCAGGCCTCCATGACAATCTGTTGAAACAGGCGCTAGCTGCTAGCTTGCTGGCCCCATGCAGCCTGGAAATGATGACAATCTCTATGGCTCGAACAGGCCGACAAGGAAACGAGTCCTAAATTCCCTACACCAGCAGCCGCCCCATATGTAGGGGGGTGGGGGGAGGGGGGTGCTCAGGCTTCCGATGAACCATGTTCTATGCTGCTCATGGCTGTCTGCCTGTCTACCAACTGAAGCCTTCTTGGGTCCTGGGACAACCGGGGACTCTTTCTAGTTGGTGAGCTCAACACCGTCTTTGAGGAACAAATGGTGAGGTTGAGGGTTCAAACCCTAAACCCTAAACCCTAAACCCTAAACTCTAAACCCTAAACCCTAAACCCTAAACCCTAAACCCTAAACTGCAGCCAGCTGCATGAGGCTTCTTTCTAGCATCGGATTCAGGCGCCGGACTGGCTAGATGCAGCGTCAGGTCCCGTCTCCAAGCCGGCTCCCGGCACATCCGCATACGGAAATGGGTCTGGAGGAAGCAACCTTGGTACACACCCTGGCTTGGTTTAGGGTTTAGGGTTTAGGGTTTAGGGTTTAGGGTTTAGGGTTTAGGGTTTAGGGTTTAGGGTTTAGGGTTTAGGGTTTAGGGTTTAGGGTTTAGGGTTTAGGGTTTAGGGTTTAGGGTTTAGGGTTTAGGGTTTCGGGTTTCGGGTTTCGGGTTTCGGGTTCAGGGTTTAGGGTTTAGGGTTTCGGGTTTAAAGGGCTTTAGGGCTTTAGGGCTTTAGGGCTTTAGGGCTTTAGGGCTTTAGGGCTTTAGGGCTTTAGGGCTTTAGGGCTTGGGGCTTTGGGGCTTTGGGGCTTTGGGGCTTAGGGTTTAGGGTTTAGGGTGTAGGGCTAGGGTTTAGGGCAGGGCAAACAGCCAAGATGCTCTTCCCTTACGCAGGAAGAGTGCTGGCTTTCGAATCTTAAGCCCAGTCCCCAATCCAGCCGTCCACGTGCCCCATCTGCCCAGGCCCTCGAGCCAAAAAACCCACAGCTTGGGCAGACCCAACCTGTAGCCCAAACGACGACAACGCCCTGTAGCCCAAACGATGAAAGCACTGCGGTCGCTTGAAGCCCTGAGCCGAAACCCGCAAAGAAGCCCCATGTCCGAAAAGGCCCCCCCAAACATCGAAGCCACTAGGCTTGAGCACGAGGAAACCTAAACCCTAAACCCTAAACCCTAAACCCTAAACCCTAAACCCTGAACCCTGAACCCTAAACCCTAAACCCTAAACCCAAGAGACCCTAAACGGGAAACCCTGCAGTCAGGGTCCCCCACTCCGGTGCAAGTTCTTGTGGCACCTTGTGGGGGCTTCTCGAGGTATGTGGGCTCAGGGCCAAAAGGGGCGGGCTTAGGGCTTTACGGTTTTACTGGCCAGAGTCTCTGCAATGAGAGGAAACAGAGGCGCACGGATTTAGGTGCTACAGGATTGAAGAGCTTTAAGCCAATTTTTTGAAGCCCTAAAACCTGACCCTTCAACCCAAACTCCTCATGCCTCAAGCCCAAAACGGCTAGAGTTGAGCCCTGGGCCTGTGTTCCGGTCGACCGAGGCTAGCTGAACCCTTGCCTACGAGTAGCCTATGTACACTTCAGAAAGGGAAATGGACTTAAGAGTTATTTGTTTTAAAGGGCTTAGAAGGGTTTAGAAAGGGTAACCCTAAACCTTTTTTGAACGCAGACTCGGAACCCAAAACTCTAAACTCTAAACCCTAAAACCCCAACCCCCGCCCCCTCCACCCCCCCAAACAAACAAAAAAAAAGGCTTCAGAAGGGCCCGTAGACATCGGCGCCTGAGCAGCCGATGGAAAGTCGCCTGCCAGGACGTTTCGGTCTCGTGGTGTTTACGGTTGAGGGTCAGGGTTTAGGGTTCAGGGAACGGTCTACGCGTTCCGTACTGAAAACTACGGGAGCCAGATGTGCATTTTGGGGGAACTGTTTTTGCGCCGGGCGGCTTTTGATGTGAGTGTGAGTACAATTGCGCGGCTTTCGTCCGCGTGCTGCCCGCATTTGGGTCGAACCCGTGCTCGGCGAGGGGTCGTCAGGCCTATGGGTTTCTTGGCCTTGTCGGTTTCTTTTTAAGTACACACTCAGATTTATGCGCCGTCTATGCCAAGTCGCACTCTTGCTTCAATCCCATTGGCATTCCGCAATTAAGGAGGGCCTTTCTACGTCGAGGGATTCGAGGCCACCGTCCCGAAGCCAAAAAGAGAGAGAGAGAGAGAGAGAGCTGACTCTGTCTGTGCGTGTGTGCGTGCATGCGTGCGTGCGTGCGTGGGCGGGCGTGGGTGTGGGTGTGGGTGTGGGTGTGGGTGTGGGTGTGGGTGTGGGTGGGGGTGTGGGTGTGGGTGTGGGTGTGGGTGTGGGTGTGGGTGTGGGTGTGGGTGTGGGTGTGGGTGTGGGTGTGGGTGTGGGTGTGGGTGTGGGTGTGCGTGTGCGTGTGGGTGTGGGTGTGGGTGTGGGTGTGGGTGTGGGTGTGGGTGTGGGTGTGGGTGTGGGTGTGGGTGTGGGTGTGTGTGTGTGTGTGTGTGTGTGTGTGTGTGTGTGTTCGGTCGCTCTGTCTGTCTGTATGTGTACTCTATACAGCTATACAAAAAGCAGACCCCTATGCAGATGCCCGCAGCGGAAGTGAAGAGACGAATCACGCGCAACGGCCACAGGCGAGCCTGTCCCTCCATCCAACTCCCGGTCGGGAGGTCCAAGTCCCTCACAGGCGGATTTTGTGGGGCTCCGGTGCTTGGATATACCAAAAAACCTAAACCTTGGGACTTTTTCCCCCTTATACTAACAGCCCCTAGTGGGGAGTATAGTCGGGGGGTACAATATTCCCTATCAAGGAGTGTCAGGATATGGGGGAACCTAAACCCTAAGCTAATTTATAGAAGAGTGTTTAGAAGCCCCCAAGCATTCCACTAAGCTCTCCTCTCTGTGCAGCCCAGGACCCTAAACCCTAAACCCTAAACCCTAAACCCTAAACCCTAAACCCTAAACCCTAAACCCTAAACCCTAAACCCTAAACCCTAAACCCTAAACCCTAAACCCTAAACCCTAAACCCGCTGTGCGGCCCGGGTGCCCTCCGGGGCTGATAGGGCTTCTGCTGGCTCTGCTCCCCAATGGCAGCCATCTGATTCCTGAGCAAGCTAGGGTTTAGGGTTTAGGGTTTAGGGTTTAGGGTTTAGGGTTTAGGGTTTAGGGTTTAGGGTTTAGGGTTTAGGGTTTAGGGTTTAGGGTTTAGGGTTTAGGAACGGTTTAGGGTTTAGGGTGGGGGGGTGGGGGGGGGGGGGCGATCAAGTAGGTGTGAGACTTCATTATATACTTGGAGGTTCATGGTACTTATTAAGAAACTATAGCTGTACCTATAACCCACTTATAAGCCCCTTAAGTGCCCCTAATATAGTTATAAGCATAGTTACAAAAGTACAGTTATGAGGGTTTAGGGTTTAGGGTTTAACAAGTACCAGGAACCTCCAAGTAGGACCTTCTGCCCCTGCAGTTCGTGAGATGAGATGGGCGCCCCGATTCCCGGGCTACCTTTTAGGGTTTAGGGTTTAGGGTTTACTGTAGGGTTTAGGGTTTAGGGTTGAAATTATAGTGTGCTCCTGTTGGCCCTTGAAGCATTAAGAGCGTGTCCGCCGAAAAAAACGCCTCCAACCGCCTTGCGCTCCCAATGAACATTGGGGTCTGGGGTTTGGGGTTTAGGGCTTGGGGTTGTCTGAAACAGCCCAGGCGCAATTGAATGCGAACAATCAGCTCCTTATCGCTGGTCGTCATGAGGCCTGCGTGCTGTCGGCCCGCTGTCTGCAGAAACCTGCGCTGTTTGCACGCGGCGGGGGGGAAATTTCATAGGGTTTTTAAGTGTGAGCCCAATGCCACCCCGCAGTCACAAGCAGGTGGCATGATGGCCCCCCAAAAGACCGTACAGAGCCTCACTTCTCTAAAAACCCTAAACCCTAAACCCTAAACCCTAAACCCCTTTTTTGAACCCAGCCTCTGCACTATCAGCCGGGAAACCCTAAACCCTAAACCCTAAACCCTAAACCCTAAACCCTAAACCCTAAACCCTAAACCCTAAACCCTAAACCCTAAACCCTAAACCCTAAACCCTAAACCCTAAACCCTAAACCCTAAACCGCAAGCAGCCAAGGCTCGGCTTGACGTAGGATTCCGAAGACTGGTCGGAGAGGATGGCTTCTCGGTGCTTGACTGTGAAGGGGAAGATGATCCTTTCTTAGACAGGTTTAGGGTTTAGGGTTTAGGGTTTAGGGTTTAGGGTTTAGGGTTTAGGGTTTAGGGTTTAGGGTTTAGGGTTTAGGGTTTAGGGTTTAGGGTTTAGGGCACTCTTTACTTGACTTTTGGGCACTCAGATAGCAACACATGTCATGTGATGTCTTTGGAGATTCTTCGTTCCATGCATCTACGCCGCGGAACGACTTTTTGCTGGCCTTCCCCGGCTTTGGGGTTGGGGTCTGGGGGTGTTTTGGCATGTGCTGTTTACCATGGCCCTTAAAGAGTCCGAAGAATCGTTTGATCTCCCTAAACCCTAAACCCTAAACCCTCAACCCTAAACCCTAAACCCTAAACCCCGTAACCCCGTAAACCCTACACCCTAAACCCTCTGTGCTTCCCGGGACCCGAGAGCCGGACTTCCTACATTCTCTATCCACACCCTGACCCCTATAGACCCCAGAGAGACCCTATGCACCCTACCCTGTAGACCCGTAGGCCCTAAAGCCTAAACCCTAAACCCTAAACCCTAAACCCTAAACTTCGGCGGATAGCATAAAGACTCTGAAAGGCAGCCCCAGCGTCGCTGGCGCTGGCGCCACTGCATTGGGAATGCCTTCCCCAGGCTCCTGGATGCGCTTTGATGTATCATTGCCGGTAAGAGCAGGAGTAGCAACAGTTAGAGTCGTAATAGTCACGAAATAGCAGTAGCAGTAGCAGTAGCCATATAGCCGTAGCCGTAGCCGTATAGGCGTAGCCGTATAGCCGTAGCCATAGCCGTAGCCGGAGCCGTCGTCGTCGTCGTCGCCGCCGCCGTCGTCGTCATCGCCGTCGTCGTCATCGTCGTCGTCGCCGTCGCCGTCGCCGCCGCCCTCGTTGTCGTCGTCGGCGTCGCCGCCGCCACCGCCGCCGCCGCGGCAGCAGCCGCCGCGGCAGCAGCCATATAGCCGTCGTCGTGGTCGTGATCGTGGTCGTCGTAGTCTTTTAGTAGCAGCAGCAGTAGTCAGACTCCAACACAGTTGTCAGTAGGCTCCACAGCTTCAGCTCCTCGTGGTGAAGGGTCTCCAACTGCTCCGCTAGCCCGCGAGCGGGTGGAGGTGCCTCACGGGCGCAAAATTTCCAAAAATGTCTGGGTTTTGGATTTAATTTTTTGCCACCCGTCTCTATACGGTTTAGGGTTTGGGGTTTAGGGTATAGGACCCAGACGCCTCCGGGGGGAACGAGGCCACCTCGCGCGCATCGCGCGGTGGCTCGCGCGAAGCCAGCGCGGCCGGGAGCCTCTCTGGCACGAGTGGCCGGAGGTGGCTGTACATCCTTAGTAGCCCAAGAAAATCCAGTAACCATATTCTAATAAGGGTTACTTTATAAGGGAACCCAGTAGCCCAGTAACCATATGATAGTAAGGGTTACTTTATAAGGGTGACTTTATAAGAAAAACCTTGAACCCAAAAAAGGGAATAGAGTACCACTGGGCTACCAAGCATCAGATCAGCCGCGGGACCTCTTCCCAAACCAGGCATCGGCCTTACGAGGGTAGGGCCTTCCGAAAAAGTATAAGGGGTGGGACCTTAGAAAACAAGGATGCCCTCAAAGCCCTCTGAAAAATATTTCGAAAAATATAGTTCTTTGAAACCCGCTAAGGGAAAATATGAAATGTCCCAAGGGCCTACCGAGAAAAGAACTGAGGTACTCATGAAGGACCTAGGTTCGGAGTGGTGCTCAAGCTCATCTTCGGAGGCCCCGGTGGCCGGTCATGATGGAGCCGAGCTTGCGCGTGGCGATCGGACTCCGCAGACATCATCTGCGCCTCTAACTCCGTCACAGACATCACCTCAGATTTATGCAAAGAGAGGGGCGAACACGTGAGAAGCCCTGAGGTGTTGTTAGACACTCTTGTTTCAAGAGCCAGGTTCTTAGGGGTTGAATACCCTAGCCCAAAAAAGGCCTAACTTTTTCCTATTTATAAATATATAGAATAGGATTCTATATGACCAAAGAAAGTTAAAGATTACCTACCCCAGTCCCTAACTCAACGCCATCCGCTGCAGGACCCCAGTCACCTTGGGTTGGGCTGGCCGCGGTGGCTGTGTCGACTGCAGCGGATATGCGGCCCTGAGATCCTGCGATCGCAATGCTTGGAGGTTCATATAAGGAAGGGCCCCCTTACTATACTAACTGTAGTTAAGGGACTTATAACCCACTTTAGGATCCTTATAACCCAATTTAGGGCTCTTATAACTCTACTTATAACTAGGGGGCCCCTCCTTGTATGGGTAACTCTAAGTAGGGCCATAAGTACTCCAAATAAGGCTATTAGGTATGTCATGGGTAGTTATAAGTAGGGTTGTGCCCTAAATAGGGTATAAGTATAGCTATCATACGTAGAGCCTTACTTCCAACTACCCATGAACCTCCACACATCCCCACCTCAACCTCATTGGCTCCGTGAAAACCATGGGCTGGGATCCACTCAACACCACACCAAGGACAAAAGACCTCAAGATCGTTCAGCCCTAGTTCTAGCCCTAAACCCTAAACCCTAAACCCTAAACCCTAAACCCCAAACCCTAAACCCTTTTTGCCTAAGTAGGCCCGAAAGCCCAGAATCAGCCTGGGACGCCCGAGCTTTATCCAGCTGCTGGGCGGCATCTTTCACAAGCGCGTCGTGCCTCGGCTGTTGACACTGCGATGCTGCCGGGGCACTGAAATTTAGGGTTGAGGGTTTAGGGTTTAGGGTGTAGGGTTTAGGGTTAAGGGTGGGATGTTCCCCCTTATACGAACAGGGATTAGAGTACCCCCTAGTGTAATCCCTATTAAGGACAGGGCAGGCTTGCTTCTTTTGCCACCTTGCATGGGGTTTAGGGCTTAGGGTTGGGGATCTAGCAAGCCCTAAACCTAAAGCACCCGAAAGGCAAACCCCTAAACCTTAAACCCTAAACACCGTGAAGGTAAACCCCTGAACCCACTAAAGCCTCTGAACCCAAAACCCTAAAACCCAAAAACCCTAAAAATCTAAATCCTAAGCCCCAAACCCTAAACCCTAAAAACCCTGAAACCCTGAAACCCTAGACCCTGGTGTCATCACCCTAAACCCTAAACCCTAACCCCTGAACCACCTAAACTTGACCTAAACCCTAACCAAGAGGCAGCAGTGGTGTCATCACCCTAAGCCCTAAACCCCACAACCCCAAACCCTGAAACCCTAAACCCTAATTAAAAGGCAGCAGTGGTGTCATCACCTTACGCCCTAAACCCCAGAACCCTAAACACCTGAATCGCCTAAACCCTGACCAAGAGGCCTAAACCCTAAACCCTAAAACCGTAAACCCTCTAAACCCTCTAAACCCTCTATACCCTGCAAACCCTCTAAACCCTCTAAACCCTCTAAACCCCCTAAACCCCCTAAACCCCCTAAACCCCCTAAACCCTAAACCCTAAACCCTAAACCCTAAACCCTAAACCCTAAACCTTAACCAAGAGGCAGCAGTGGTGTCATCGGATACGGGAACTTGGGCCTTGCCAGCGACGCGCCGAGCGCGGCCAGCTCCCGTGGGTCGGTAATTCCTTGGGAAGTTTGGGTTTTAGGGTTTAGGGTTTAGGGTTTAGGGTTTAGGGTTTGGGGTTTGGGGCTTGGGGTTTAGGCTTTAGGCTTTAGGGTTGAGGGGTTTTAGGGGTTTAGAGTTTTAGGAGGGTTTCAGGGTTTAGGTTCCGTATACGCCCTGAGGCTCTAGGAGGAGGTTCTTATTTCAAGGCTCTAGAGCCGAGATACCATACCAATTCTATGAGGGTTTTCGGACATTTGAAGTCCAATGAAAGACCGGAGCAGAACGTTGCTTTCTGCTCGTTCTTTTCATATGCCGCAGGCTGCTAGCCAGCTACGGACTTGTAGACCGGAATAGCAAGGGGCCCTGCTGATATCCTCGAGGCACTGGTGGCGAGCTTGGCTAGGTGAGACGGGGTTGTCAGAGCAGTTGCCACAGTGCTGCTAAAGACCGTCACACACACATACACCCCTAGCGACCCGAACAAAAGCCCTGAAACCCTTGAGCCAGAAACTTGGAGCCCCCAATTGCCATTCTTAGCAAGACTCCTCCTCTTCAAAATACGAAATACCACCCTCTAACCTAAGGGAAACTTATATGACCACGTCTCATGCTCATGTTGCGACTACCCACCACTTTGCCAGTCAAGCATCCGAAAGGGGGCCGCATTTAGGGTTTTTTTAACGTCAATATTTAGGGCTCTTTAACGTTAAAAAACCCTAATAAATGCATAATAATTAGGGTTCTTTAACGTTAAAAAACCCTAAAAATGCACTTTGCCAAGCATCCGAAAGGGGGCCGCTGAGCTTCGGGCCGAAGCAGCGGTGGAGCCCCGGGCACGAGGCTGAAGGGCGGCGGTCGGGTCAGGCCCGGGACGCCGGGAACGCCAGGGACCCCTGGGAAGGGCGGAAAGGCTCCCGGAAGTCCTCGCGATTTTTTTCGGGTGCGGAAGCAAAGCTCTAAAGTCTAAAGTTAAAGCCCTAAGCAGCTTCTCTCATTCTCCGCTATGCGAGTCTGAAGCAGTGTTAGAGGAGCGCAGTCTGTGCTGCGTGCCGCTGGTCTTTCTGTTCACACTTGTCCTAAAAACTGCCGAAGCACTACACCTGTAGCATTCCTCAGCAAATGCCCATGCCAACACATCGCCCACATTGCGTGTTCCACCCTACTTCGGTTGTGTCCGAGTCCCAGCCCTAAACTCTGAAATCCTAAACCCTAAATCCCAAACCCCAAACCCTAAACCCAACCAGCTTCCACCTCTTCTCAGAGCGTCGATCCCTAGAGTTGTTTTTCACCACAGGCTGTCTGAGCCCCCAAACTCCAGACTCGAAACTCTGATCCTTTTGCAATGAGGGGCCCCTCAGGATGAAATGTAGCAAAGGGGTTTAGGCTTGAGGGTTCAGGGTTTTTTAGACCCTGCTCCACAGGGATAAGGGTTGAAGGATTTAAGATAGGAACCCATTCAAGTGGATTGTCTTTTGGGTAGCTTCTCAATATGGGGGATGATATCGGTATTTGTCAGGGTTCTGCATTCTGTGAGTATGGCTCTGGCTCTGAAAGCGGTGAAGCTGCACTTGACCCGACCTGTAATCTAAACACGATGTGCCATCTGACTCTGCTGCCTCGGTCGGAAGGGATGGAAAAAGCTTAAGCAACGTTCTCCCGCGCGCCTAAGGTTTGGTCAAAGGCCTAAGTGGAATACCTAAGAAGACAGCCTAACAAGTCCTACAAACACCTCCAACAGCTAGGGTTTAGGGTTTAGGGTTTAGGGTAATTATGGGGTTTAGGGTTTAAATTGGGTTCAGAGCACAGCAGTCCTGGAAAGCCATGATGTGGCGGAAGCCCAGGGAAGGGCTTCGGCATCGCTTTCCCTGGCCAACCTGGGACAAGGTGCACCCAGGCCTTGTGAAGTTTAGGGTTTAGGGTTTAGGGTTTCAGGGTTTGATTGCGCAGGACTGTAGGGTCTTGGGTTGAAATATGGGGTTCAGCGGTGTTCTTGGGCTCGGGTGCTTTGGCTTCACAATCAACCAATTCCGAGTAGACTGTGGAGCATCTGGGGTAGAACTCTGGTGCCAGTGCGCAAGCAGGCGTGCGCAAAGCTGTGGCTCTGACACAAAAGCTTCTGGATCCAGAGAGACTACTGGGCTCTGTGAGCAGGCAGGGGATGGGTTGAGCCACATTAAGGGTTTAGGGTTTAGGGTTTACTTGTCCGATGGATGCAACAACGCATACTGCATCTCAGGCAACCTGGGGGCCACAGCAAGTGCCAAGTTTGAACCCTGTGGCCCAAAGCACGCAGTACACCTCCCTTCAAAACTAGGATGGCCCTTAAAACCCTCTGAAAAATTATTCCTGGATATGATCCTCTTGAACCCAATAAGGGAAAATACAACATGTCCCAAGGCCCTCCCTTCAAAACCTCACCCTCACCCTGCCAAGCCTGGCGCGGGGGCCCTCACCTCATGGAAAGGACTTCTATTTGAGGGCTACTTGGAGGTTCATGGGTAGCTATAAGTAAGGTGATAAGTATGGCAGCTGTACTCATAACCTTTTTTTTAGGGCACTTAGAACCCTACCTTTAGCTACCCATGAACCTCCACGTGCCGGCAAGCAAGCCTGGAGGATTAGCTTCGAGAGCTTCTCTTGGGAAATATGGGGTCTTCAAACCCCAAACCCCAAACCCCAAACCCCAAACCCCAAACCCCAAACCCCAAACCCCAAACCCCAAACCCCAAACCCCAAACCCCAAACCCTAAACCCTAAACCCTAAACCCTAAACCCTAAACCCTAAACCCTAAACCCTAACCTCGCCCTGCTGCCGAAGCCTCTCACCAGGGTTCCGTCCCGCTACCGATCGCTGCCTTTGACCTGATAACTCCTACCTGGCACGGTAAGTTTCCCCTCTCCTCCGCTGCAACTGGCTGTGGGACTGGAGGGCAACTCACACTTTCCCCACATCGAGCCTTCCCAACGCCCAACACAAAGCTCGCACTACGTAGAAAGACCCCCAAACCCCCAAACCCCCCAAACCCCCCAAACCCCCCAAACCCCCCAACACCCCGAACCCCCCAAACCCCCCAAACCCCCTAAACCCTAAACCCTAAACCCTAAACCCTAAACCCTAAACCCTAAACCCTACACCCTAAACCCTAAACCCCAACCCCCCCAAACCCCACGACCTCATTGTGGCCAGGCGACACCTGGAGCCTCCTGTGGGAAGCGGAAGTCCAAGGGGGCGCCTCGACCACCTGCTCCCTTTCCTCAGAGTTTAGGGTTCAGGGTTTGGGGTTTAGGGCTAGGGTTTAGGGTTTAGGGTTTAGGGTTTAGGGTTTAGGGTTTAGGGTTTAGGGTTTAGGGTTTAGGGTTTAGGGTTTAGGGTTTAGGGTTTAGGGTTTAGGGTTTAGGGTTTAGGGTTTAGGGAGCCCTGCGCTTGGAACCCGAGTCCTGCTTGAGTCCTAAACTATAGACCCAGGAGTAGCCTAGGAACAAAAAGGGTAGTTTTAAGGGGATCATCAGGGAACCCCAACCCCAAAAAGGGAAATAAGGGCCTACTCCGGTTCCTAGTTAGCCTAAACCCTATATAAACCTTAAACCCTGCAGAGCCGTAAGAAAAAAAGGAATAAGGGCATAAGAACCCCCCCCCCCCTCCGCCCCCCGCCCCCAAGAAATTCTTCCTAAGACCTAAACCGTGACCCGCCTCCCAACGACATCATAGGAACTGCCACACGCAAAGCCGCGTTGAAAACGATGTTACAAGTCGTGCTCAAGTCATGCTTGGGAACCACCTGGACGTCGGCCTCCGGCTTCCTGGAGAAGAGGGTTTAGGGCTTAGGGTTTAGGGTCTAGGGTTTAAGGTTTAGGCTCCTTGAAGATTTGGGCATTCAAGCCCTTGGGCATTCCCGGGAAGGGAAACAAAACCCGCGCTGGCAAGAAAACATGCACCCGGTGCACCCCGACGTGGGAGTTGTTCCAAAAATCTCAGATTTGGGCTCCCTTTTGGTTGGCCTTTGAATGAGGTTTCCATCATACCCGGTACGTATAAGGGACCCGAAATCAATACACCGCCCGCACCAAGGAATCTGAACCATCAAGCCAGTGGCCACGGGGCTAGAACTTTAGTTGGCTCCTCCTTGCTTGAACTGTTGAGCTACGCGTGCCATGCCCAGCATGCACATGCATTCGCACCTGAGGTCACAACATGTAACATATGTGATCATAGCAATATCAATGGTAGCACGGTGGGGTTCTGAGTATGCATGATTGATGAACGCTAGACCTGCGACACCGCAAACGCCGCTCTGGAAACGCCAAACTCAATGCTGAATCAAGCTCAAAAACACCCGGATGTTGGGCCACAGATTTGGAAACAAAGGCCGGCATGGTTTATGAAGCCTAAACCCTAAGCCCTCAAGTCCTATACCCTAAGCCGAGCTACACGGGGACTATACGACCCTAAACCCCAAACCCCAAACCCCAAACCCCAAACCCCAAACCCCAAACCCCAAACCCTAAACCCTAAACCCTAAACCCTAAACCCTAAACCCTAAACCCTAAACCCTAACCCTAAACCCTAAACCCGAAAAAGTATGCAGATTTTTTGGGGGGTTTAGTGAGTTTTCGAGCCGCGCCTGGGACGTCGGCGAGGCTAGGCCCGGTGGAGGAGCAATTCCGAGGCCTGCTGCGCCGTTGCAGTGTAGGGTTTAGGGTTTGGGGTTTAGGGTTTAGGGTTTAGGGTTTAGGGTTTAGGGTTTAGGGTTTAGGGTTTAGGATTTAGGGTTTAGGGTTTAGGGTCTAGGGTTTAGAGTTTAGGGTTTAGGGTCCTGCCTAGCTCTCCGGACGCATGAGGCATATAAGATTCAGGACCCAGGCTTGCTCAGGGATGTCGCGCTTCACAGCTTCCTGCCTCAAACTCTGAAGGTCACAAGGGGTTTAGGGTTTGGGGTTTAGGGTTTAAGAAGCTCTCAGCCGGATTGCCTTGGGCCCAAAACGCAGATCAAGAAAAGCCGAAGAGCTTGCACAATCCCAACCCATGGAAAACCGTCTGTTGCTCCGTAACCTCCCTCCCCTCAAAGACCCCCTACACTTGAGACCTTGGACAACATACGGGTTCGTCAAAACCCTCAAATTTCTGGGGCACCCTCTTCAAAGAAAGCCCTTAGCCCTAAACCCTGCTTATGGCCCGTAGAAGCCCCAGTCCTACCTTCCCCTCTGGACGGAATCCGGATCGGGCTGTTCCGCGCTTGCTCGAGCTCCCTGTGAAAGGCCTGGACAGTGCAGGTTGAAGTCGGGGGCTTGGGCTTAGGGTTTAATTTTTTTGGGTGTGCAGGCTGTTGGTGATTTCTACATGTTAGCTGGTTCTGAAACGAAAGGTTTAGGGTTTTGGGCTTAGTTTTTGGGTTGAGGGTTTAGGGTCTCCGCATTATTGTTTAGGCCTCCGCAACTGAGTTTGCTTGAGCTGTGCCCATGGTATTGTTTGCCGCCTGCCTCACTGGATCATATGGAACCGCAGGCTGCCAAAAGCTCGTGTTGACGTTGCCGAATACACCCTAAACCCTAAACCCTAAACTCTAAACCCTAAACCCTGCACCCTAAACCCTATACCCTAAACCCATCCCAGATTCAGGGGGGGGGGGGGGGGGACGGCAAAGACTCTTAAGACAGATCATCGGGGGGCCCTGCGTGGGCCCCACACAACGCCTCTGCAGAAAGCCCCTAAAACCTAAACCCTTGTCTTGGTAGCCCAGTAACTATGTTGCAATAAGGGTACCCTTTTTTGTGGTTGGTTTCTGTTTAAGGGAACCTTGAACCATACAGAAAGGGGTAACAGGTACCTCTGGGCTACCAGGTTTGTTTTAGCCCAGGACTGCTGAGGGAACCTACTCCCTAAACCCTGCACCCTAAACCCCAAACCCTAAACCCTAAACCCTGAACTCTAAACCCTAAACCCTAAACCCTAAACCCTAAACCCTAAACCCTAAACCCTAAACCCTAAACCCTAAACCCTAAACCCTAAACCCTAAACCCTAACAAACCCTTTCTTCGGTGCACCTCCTGCGCCAGGGAGGGCTCCCAATCAGAGCCGATGGCTCCGGCCTGGACTCTCGGTCTCGAAATCTTGTGTTTAGGGTTTAGGTTTAGGGTTTAGGGTTTAGGGTTTAGGGTTTAGGGTTTAGGGTTTAGGGTTTAGGGTTTAGGGTTTAGGGTTTAGGGTTTAGGGTTTAGGGTTTAGGGGTTCTGACTGTTGGTTGGTAGGGAAGGGGGAATCAGCTGCTCTATATAACCCCTTACAGGGTAGATAGAGGGCCCTAATTCCCTCATTTCCCCGCTAGCCAACAGTAAGTCTTAAGGTCATTTCAAGTCCATGCTTCGGTACGCCAACTGCTCAGTGCCTAGGAGGCTTGTGAAGGAAGATGTGCGAGGAAGTTCTGGTGAGACCCAGACAAGAGTGAGTCACAAATTAGCCCAAGCCTGATACCCTCCTTGTTCGGGGCACAGGTGGATCCAAGTAAAAACCATATAAATAAATAAACAAATAAGTAAAGAAAAAATAAAATAAATAAATAAATAAATATATATATATATATACACATATGTGTGTGTGCACATGCAATTGTAACTGTACACACACATGTATGAAAAAGGAATAGTCAAACATGTATATGACCACAGGCATCAACAACATTCATGGGCAAGCTATGATGACAAGCCACAGTGGCCCGCATTTGAAAATGCAAAACCCAGAAATGAATGAACACCATATACATTTGTGGTTTAGGGTTTAGGGTTTAGGGTTTAGGGTTTAGGGTTTAGGGTTTAGGGTAGTAGTCACACATCGGTGTGTATGTAAATTGTACTTCTGTTGCGCATGCTTTCATCTTGAAGTGCTGCTTTGCAGGGTAGGCTCTCGCCTAAGGGTCGGGGTAGGCCTTCACCTAGACCTACCTGTCGGGTACAGCAGGGGCTGGTCTCGGGTACTTTGGGGTAGGTCTACCTCTACCTAGCCTAGAGTCTAACCTAGGGCCTAGCTTTAGGGTGGAGGTAGCCAAACGGCAAAACCACAACAAGCCATGCACAAGCTCAAAACACGGACCCTAATATCAAAGAGTTGATCCAGTGGGGTTCGTATGGGCGCCCCACATCACCGAAGGTGTCGTCATTCAGCGCATCCGTGCCGTCCTGCTGCAGCAACGCCGCAGCCGTAACCCAGGAACTCCGAGCATGCTCTCTAAATGCACCCTAAACCCTAAACCCTAAACCCTAAACCCTACGCCTAAGCCCTAAGCCCTAAGCCCTAAGCCCTAAGCCCTGAACCCTGAACCCTGAACCCTGAACCCTAAACCCTAAACCCTAAACCCTAAACCCCTCTTTCTTATATATATTTAAACCCTATAGTCCTTCGTGGCTAAGGGTCATTTCTTCGTGGCTAAGGGTCATTTCTTCGTGGCTAAGGGTCATTTCTTCGTGGCTAAGGGTCATTTCTTCGTGGCTAAGGGTAATTTCTTCGTGGCTAAGGGTAATTTCTTCGTGGCTAAGGGTAATTTCTTCGCTAAGGGTAATTTCTTCGTCGCTAAGGGTAATTTCTTCGTCGCTAAGGGCAATTTCTTGGTCGCTAAGGGCCATTTCTTCGTGGCTAAGGGTAATTTCTTCGTGGCTAAGGGTAATTTCCTTCGTGGCTAAGGGTAATTTCCTTCGTGCTAAGGGTAATTTCTTCGTGGCTAAGGGTAATTTCTTCGTGGCTAAGGGTAATTTCTTCGTGGCTAAGGGTAATTTCTTCGTGGCTAAGGGTAATTTCTTCGTGGCTAAGGGTAATTTCTTCGTGGCTAAGGGTAATTTCTTCGTGGCTAAGGGTAATTTCTTCGTGGCTAAGGGTAATTTCTTCGTGGCTAAGGGTAATTTCTTCGTGGCTAAGGGTAATTTCTTTGGGGGCTGGGGCTGTGGGGTTGGGGGGCTGGAGGGTCTGGGTAATTTTCCTTCCATGCCACCCCCCCCCCCCCACCCCCCCCCCCACCCCCCCCCACCCCCCCCCCACCCACCCCCACCCCCCCCCCACCCCCCCAACCCCCCCCGGTAATTTCTTCGTGGCGAAGGGGGTTTTCTTCATGGCTACGGGTAATTCCTTCGTGCCGGCCCACCCCCCCCCCCCCCCCCCCCCCCCCCCCCCCCCCCCACACCCCCCCCCCCACCCCCCCCCCCCCCCCCCCCCCCCCCCCCCCCCCCCCCCCCCCCCCCCCCCCCCCCCCCCCCCCCCACCCCCGCCCCCCCCCCCCCCCCCCCCCCCCCCCCCCCCCCCCACCCCACCCCCCCACCCCCCCCCAAACCAAAACCGACGGTTTCAGGATTTCTTGTCCCGCCCCTCCATTGGGGGCCGATGAAATGGTTCGTGGGTAGGATGGTCCATGACGGAGTGAGCTTGGAGGACAGGGCTTGCTGATAAGAAATGTAAACTTTTTATTTTCTTAATGTTTTGGGATTCTCTGGGTGGGTGGGTTTTTTTCCGTTGCCTACACACACTGCTGGCCTAGTAAATGCTCGAACTTGAGATGCTGAACCCTAAACCCTAAACCCTAAACCGCACCAGACATTGCATTGGGACATGGTAGGCCTGGACTGAAATTCGTCGCTTTGCGGAACTCCGTCAAACAAGCCGAGCGAGGAGTGTTCTCACTTGACCGAAGGGTGCTGGAACAGCGAGATCATGAAGCTACCAACAGAATCACCCTCAACCCTAAACCCTAAACCCTAAACCCATTCATCTTTGAGGCTTTCGACAAACCCCTGAGCAAACCCAACTGCAAGTTGCAGTTTTAAAGGGTTGGCATGGCATAACTAGTTGGCGCGGTTTAGGGTTTAGGGTTTAGGGTTTAGGGTTTAGGGTTTAGGCTTTAGGGTTGAGGGTTTCGCGGTGGCCAGATGACTGCCGCTGCTCCGCCAAGCACTCGCCAAGCGGAGCAAGCCCACAAAACAAGGCAGCTTGCCTTCAGAATCCTCCCCAAGCCGCGATCGCCTGCAATGGGGTACTAGGATGGCCCGTAAAACCCTCTGAAATATATTCCTGAAAACATGGCCCTCTTAAACCCAATAAAGAGGGACATGCGTAAAATATCCCAATTGGGCCTATAACCCTAAACCCTAAACCCTAAACCCTAAACCCTAAACCCTAAACCCTAAACCCCTATCCCAAGGGTATCGCGGGGGTCCTGTTCTTGCTCCGTGAACTCATAGTCGCCGTCACCTCTCGGCATGTTAGCCGCATTCCTGGCTCTCGCCAAAGGTGCACCTCAGAGGTCCCCCCCAGGCTGCGGGAAACTTATACAGGGATCTTGCCGGCTTTACCCTTGAGGCTTAGGTATATTTAGGTTTAGGGGTTTAGGGGTTTAGGGGTTTAGGGGTTTAGGGGTTTACGGGTAGGTGTATTGAACTTTAGATCCTTGAGCTCAATCACCATCGTCTACCGACTACAGACCAGCCTCAGCCAAGCAGCCTGGTGCATGGCAGCATGCCTCGTATACTTTCACCAAGCCATGGATGGCTCTTGAGCAAAACAGACGCGGGCGATGAGAATGGCACCGGTCAGTCAAGCAAAATCCTGACGCCGAAGTCCTGGAACCCAAACCCAATTCTTCTTATGATTGCAATTGTGAGTGTTTCTTTTTTGTGGTTGTTGTTCCTATGATGATGATTCCATCTCGCAGTCTCAACTTCCAGTCCATTTGTTTCTTGTTTCGCTCCCGCATAGCTGGACGAAGCACTCAGCAGGGACGTAGGGCTTGGGGAGTATGAAACCCTATAGGGATCCGTGTAACTATATCGTGCCCAAGCACATACTATGTAGGTACATGGATCGTGGGGGAGAGCTGAATCACTTCTGCCCCTAAACCCTAAGCCCTAAACCCTAAACCCTAAACACCCTAAACCCTTAAACCTGCTGCCAAGTATCATTTTCCTACACCGGCCTTCGCGACGGCTGTGCCCGCCGAGGGCAGGAGTGAAACTTCGTAGGGCATTTCCGCATCTTATGGGGCTACTTGGTGGAAGATATTAGACCCTAAACCCTACACCCTACACCCTCAACCGCAAAATGAAGGCAAGCTGTCGGGTTGCGATTTTTTCGGCTTCAGTGTCACCCTGCCTACTTAACTCCAGCGCCAACACGAGCTTGGAATCCCGTACGTCCGCGGCATTAGACCATGAAGCGTCCTAGCCCTGAGCCCTCCAGAAAATACATAAGCTGGGGCGCTTTCTGCAAGATGCGTCCTGCCCAGACCTTCCAAAACCCCTTTGAAAAAGGAAGATGCCCTAATCTTGTACTAAAGGATCCTGAGTATAAATTAGGGCATCTTCCTTAATGAAGGGGTCTACGCACCACTTCATGTTTCGAGGCCCCCTTTGCCGCTTACGCCTGGACAAAAGGCAGGCCTCGAGATCCTGGCGGACGGCCACCTGAACGACTGCTACCGTTGTAGGCCCAGATTAGGGTTTAGGGTTTAGGGTTTGGGGTTTGGGGTTTAGGGTTTAGGGTTTAGGATGCCGAAAAAAACACGAGGCTCCAGAAAGACTTCAGGAGACTTGAACGACCGCAAACCTGGAAAACTCATTCCTTCCCAGCTCTCCTTCGTCGAGAGTTACAATTGCAAAGCCAAAGCTGAAAAACTACAAGCGTAAGTGTGCAAGTATATATGTGAACGTACAAACATGCATAAGAGTGCAAAAGCTCCTGGGATTCCACCTCGGACCCGTAATGCTGTACCGTTTGGGTTCGGGGACCCTTTTTCAAGATCCTCTAAGGGAATATGAGGGCTTCATTAGGAGTGTTTTCAAGGGAACCTCTTAGGGGCACATCCTTAGGGGTCCCAAGATGAATCCCTTGATAAGCCCTACACCCTAAACCTTAAACCTTAAACCCTAAAGCCTAAAGCCTAAAGCCTAAACCCTAAAGCCCAAAGCCTATAGCCTAAACCCTAAACCCTAAATTCTTGTAACGCTTTCGTCGGAGGCCGCCCGGAAAAGGACTGAGATGCTCCTCTCAGCTTACCTGAGCCGTGGTCATGGGCTGCTTAGGTTGAGATGTTTCGAAGAACGAGGGACTTCTAGCCAAGGGCTGCCGTTCATTCATGTTGGCAGCAGGGAGCAGGGGTGTGAAGGCAGGTTGAGCGAACCGCCGATTTTGGGGTTGCCGGGCCTGAAACTCGAAGCTCGCTGCAGAGCCCTGTGTCCTCAATCATCCCCACTCCCCGTGCGCCCTCCCCGCTCCACTAACCTGGGATGGCCCTCAAAACCCTCTGACGAATATTCCTGAGTGTGATCCTCTTAAACCTGATAAGAGAAGGTATAACATGTCGCAAGGGTCTACCTAGTAACCCATCCCTCCTTCCCTCTTCCTGGTTCTCCTCCTCTCCTCTTCGTTCGAGTTTTCTTGTTTCTTCTGCTTCCGCCGGCCTCCCCGGCCCCGGCTCCCCGCGGCTTCTACGAATCTTGCAGAACTTCTTGCAAAAAAAAGGTTTAGGGTTTAGGGTTTAGGGTATAGGATTTAGGGTTTAGGGTTCTGACCTCCGCTCTGCATGAAGCAGGCTTACCAGGACCAATCCCCGCAACGGCCTTGCACATTTTGCGGGCAACGATCCGACAGGCATGGAAAACATCCAGGTACTGGCAAGGTACGATAGGGGCCTTCACAATTAAAAGAGGGTCTTGGGGCTTAGTCTATTGCAAGTGTATCGGGGCCATAAGGGAATACTATTAGTAACTAGTATTAATTCCGACCGCTATATTACCGCAAACTGACCGGAGGTCATCCCAGGAACTAATGGAGTGAGCTTACCTCCAAACCAACACACGACGTGCTCCTGGTGCTTTGGCAAGGCAAACCCAAAGAGATTCCATCATGCCCCTTTGACCCGCAAACAAGATCGCGAGTCGTGACTTCGCTCGTGACGTATCTGTAGCTATCATGATCCACTCGATGGCCCGAGCAGGCACTTGAAGGTCACGGTCCAACACAGGAAGTGATGCTCAATGCCCAATTCCCCTCACCCCTCCCCCCCCCCGCAACCTTCCAAGGTCGCTCGGTCCATCTATCTCTCTGCCAGTCTGAAACTCTGAGCCTCAAATGTCAGGGTTTAGGGTTTAGGTTGAAAACATCTTTGAAAGGCAAGCCAAGCTTCATCCATCTGCTGCTTGCTTGGAGCTGCTGCAGTTTTCTTCTTCCTCAGCGTGTTGTTTTCAAGGGCCAATGCAAAAGATCTGAAGCCCTACGGAGATACTTCATTTCGGCCTGCATGACCGAAATACATGTGGATATATCCATATATATATATATATTTTTTATATTTATATGTAAGTGTGTATGTGGGAAGGTATACGAGCTGTCGCAATTTTCAGCGCGCTCCTCACACTCCTCAGCCTAGACAACGAGCACCCGGGGCCAGTTTGAACCGAAGAACCTTCAAGAACCCCGAGCAACCCCCCTCGAACCTCCTAAGAACCCCCTAAGACTTAAGAACCCTCCCCAGAACCCTTTAAGAATCCCTTAAGAGCCCTAAACCCTAAACCCTAAACCCTAAACCCTAAACCCTAAACCCTAAACCCTAAACCCTAAACCCTAAACCCTAAACCGCCTAAGAGCCCTAAAGGTACACGGTTCCCTCCCTGAGTCTGGCGAGCGGCAAGCCGCTGCTGTCCACTTGCCCCTTCTCCAGTCCTGAGAAGCGACAAGGCCGAGCCGGCGAAGACCATATGTACATGTGTACATATATATATATATATGTGCGTACATATGTCACCCTAAACCCTAAACCCTAAACTCTAAACCCTAAACCCTAAACCCTAAACCCTAAACCCCAAACCCTAAACCCCAAAGTACGGGGGAGGGGGCGCGGTCGTGGTGGGTGTGCCCAGGTAAGTCAGGCTTCTCTATGCAGTCTGCGGTCGTGTTGGGGGCCTCGGGTGTGTGTGTATATATGTATGTCATCTACATATGCACACATGAGACTTGAAAATGTAAATCAATAGTCAGTAGATGCATATTTTCACACATCGGAGCGAAGAACCAACTAGGAAAGGAAATCCGCTCCGGGATCTTTCTGCCGAGGGCAGATCAGGAGGTCAGGATGGCTGAGGTGGATATGGGGGTGTAGGGTTTAGGGTTTAGGGTTTAGGGTTTAGGGTTTACGAAAATAAAGGGCCCGATAAAAATGAGGATCCCAATAAGGTACCCCGAATATCGTAAACCCCCCATATGCAACTCTGCATGTTCCACTGGTCCCGTTCTCTAAAAGATCAACCCTAAACCCTAAACCCTAAACTCTAAACCCTAAACCCTAAACCCTAAACCCTAAACCTATAAGTCCTAAGACAAGCCTTCTCTGCCCGCCTTGAGTACGATCCAGTGCATGGCCTGCCAGCTTAGCCTTCAGCTTTCGCTTCAGCTCCTGCGAGTAAAGGGGGTTTAGGGTTTAGGGTTTAGGGTTTAGGGTTTAGGTTCTAGAAGGAGGGCTGCAGCAAAGCAACTGCACATTTCTGTTCGTGTAAGCCTGTGATTCCAAGATCGTACCCAAAAGCGGCCCAGAATGAAGCCCCGCTGCCGCCATCCTCGCGCGGTGTGGGAGCTCGCCCACTCCCTGGTGCCTCCTTCATCTGAGCATCGACCTCTGAGTCCACACAAAACCCTGGGTTTAGGGTTTAGGGTTTAGGGTTTAGGATTTAGGGTTTAGGGTTAAAGGCCCTCACAAAACCCTGAAACTAACATCGGCTAAACCACTCCTGCACTGTCAATCCACCACTCAAACAGCCAAAGCACTAGCCTTCATGAGCTGGCTAGTGTGTCCGTACGCCCAGGAAAAACTCGATTTTGCACGGACATCGTTCGGGACGCCGTGCCAGAGAGATTCTGAGGTATTCTGTAACACCATAGTTCCCTGATGTTTGAGCACGCCCACTGGAACGAACTCACCCGTGTGACGTGCAACAACTTCCAACCGAAACATTCCATCAACTGCGTTCGAAGCTTTCGGCCCTTTGATGAAATCCCGCAAGTTAGACAAGAAAAATGTCTCACAAGCTCAAGAGCAAATCGCGTACAGTTCAAAACCCGGCCATATGAATGTTCGACCCTACAAGAAGAAAGAACGTACTCGGAACCAAGGAACTCGAAGCAGCAAACGAGGAAGCAGAAACTTCTTCGCCCAACAAAGCCCTGAAGGCCTCTGACCTCCATCTAGCAGAAGGCACCCGGAAAACCATGTGCTAAACGTTCTAAACCCGACACCCTAAATCCACACAAGCCCGGCCCCAACAAAAGGCCTGCATTCGGCGGCCTCTTTTCCCGCTTTGACTACCAGCGGCTTCGGCATAAGCTGCAGGGGAGGCCACTTTAGCCAGCCTGTCCTCGGCTCTCTCTGGGTTTAGGGTTTAGGGCTTCAGGAGCGATTCAAGTTCCCAAGACGCTTCGGGGATTGAGTGTTGAAGTGTAGGACTGACCTCACTGTGACCATAAACCTAAACCCTAAACCCTAAACCCCTAAACCCAAAAACCCACAAGGCACAGCACCCTCCGGGCATGGCCCAGGCAAGCCTGGCAGACCCTAAACCCTAAACCCTAAACCCTAAACCCTAAACCCTAAACCTCACTGACTCTAGGCATCCGCCAGGCCGTCGACTGCAGCACTTGCGCGCGCCTGGTCGGTGGGCCGTGTCGGGAAATCTTTCCCTAGTTTGGAATAGGGTTTAGGGTTTAGGGTTTAGGGTTTAAGGTTTAGGGTTTAGGGTTTAGGACCCTACTTTAGAGTAGGGAGTAGGGTTTAGGGTTTAAGGTTTAGGGTTTAGGACCCTACTTTGGAGTAGGGAGTAGGGTTTAGGGTTTAAGGTTTAGGACCCTACTTTGGAGTAGACCCTGGACAACAAGCATATACTTTTTAGGAGTACGACTTATTTAAGCGGCGATAATAGGAGCCCAGAAACAAGAAGTATTAAAGTGTAGTACTCCAAAACCCAGCACTTCCACCGCGTTGACACATCCACAGCCCTTCTTGCTCTCGCAGGAAAGGTTTTTTAGGGCCTAGGGCGGTTCAGGGGTTTGGGCCTGCGGGGTTGACAGGTTTTGGGCCTGCATGTAGCTCCTGCATTTGGGATGCCCTAGCATCACACTCCCAAAAAGACCTAGAGCGTGTGGAGTTTAGTTAGTCTCCCGGTAAACTCCAAACCCTTGAGCCCCCAAAAGCCCGAACCTTATCCCCAGAAGTCCGACCGGCGCAGGCCCAGAACACCTACTACCCGCAGCCCCCTGGCAGCTATCCCTTCGCCCTAAACCCTAAACCCTAAACCCTGAACCCTAAACCCTAAACCCTAAACCCCAGTCTCTTGCTATTCTATGCCATAAGACTAAGCCGTATACCCTGAACAGCAAGAAAGAAGCTTCAGCTGGAGCCCAAGCACAAAAAAGTTGAGACAGACTGTGACGGTGCGGTGTGTAGTTGGGGTTTTGTGAGCATCTATCCAGAAACCAAAGCCCATGAAGACCCTTGAGGAAGTAGCTCTTAAGATGTAAAGGGGCGTTCCCCCCCCCCCCCCCCCCCCCCAAGCAAAAAAACCCTACAGTAGTCAAAATATGACACAAGAGGTATAGACCCTGAACCCTGAACCCACAGACCCCAAACCCTGCAGACGCCAAACCCTGGGTTCCAAGTCCCAGCATGCGGCCTTCTGCTTGGCAGTGCGCTTTCGAACCTTTTGCTGCTTCTTCACCACGGCCTGCCCGGCCAGCTCTGCAGCAATACCCAGGGGTTTTCGGTCTGTGCTCGGTTCGTGGTACTTATTAACCACTTAGAACTGTACTTATCACCATATTCGTGCCCAATAATAAGTACCATGAACCTCCAAGTAGGGTTTAGGGTTTATACCTTCAGTCATATTTGGGAGCGTGGGAAGACGCAGAGGGAACTAGTTTCCGTCCCATTCCCCAGCGAATCTACTTGGAGGTGTATGGGATAGTTCAGCGTAGGGTGAGAAGTCTGGGAACTGACTTAGACCCTTATGTAGGGTACGTATAACCCCTAAACCCTAAACCCTAAACCCGAAACCTTTAAACCCTAAACCCTGCTCCGCCAAAACTTGGGGCGGCCCGGTCCACCTTGCCGCAGGCGAAGAAAAGCCAAGACCATCTGAAACCTTCGAGCCTAATCTAGGGGCCTCAAGAATTAGAATAGGGTCGTTTTGGGGGTTACTATAGTACAAGTACAAAGGGACCGGAAGGGAATGTTATTCGAATTTATTTCGACCCCGATAGTACATGCTTTTCAACGGCCGCTTGGGACGATCTCGTGGGATGTTCCCCCTTATACTGACAGTCCATAGGGATGGTAAAAGAGGGTTTAGGGCTTAGGGTTTAGGGTTTAGGGTTTAGGGGGAACATCCCAAAACGATCTGACAGGTTCCTTGACACGGTTGTCAATGGATCTCTACCCCGCATTCTCTCAAACATCTTCATCTCAGATCCTAAAGAAAGGATAAGCTAGGAATAAAAAAGGGTACCCTTGTGGGTTTTAAGGGGATGAATAAGGGAACCCCAACCCTAAAAAAAGGAAACAAGGGCCTACTCCGGGTCCTAGTAGCCCTAAACCGTAAACCCTAAATCCTAAGAAGTAAGGGCCTCAGATCCTAAAGAGAGAACTTGAGGAACTTCAGTGCCTTGCTGCTCTTGCCCGGCACTCTTCTTCGGCCCTTCAGTCCTGTCTTTAGGGTTCATGTTTAGGGTTTGGGGCTTATTTTTAAACCCGATGTAAAGGGGGGGTTTAGGGTTTAGGGTCTAGGGATTATGGTTTAGGGATTGTGGGCGGTTTTCGAGCAAAGGACATCTGGGAGTGGAGCGGAAGTTTTGCATTCAGGCTGTTCATGGCTTCAACTTGGCTTCAACCTTGGTAGGAGACACCCAGCAGCCACAACCCATAGCCCGACATTGCTTGGAGGTTCCTGGTGGTTAGAAGCAAGGTTATAAGTGCCCTAAATAGGTCATAAGTAGAGTTAACATAATTATAGCCCTGCTTAGAACTACCAATGAACCTCCAAGTAGGTTCTGTTGAAACCCCGTAAACCCTAAACCCTAAACCTTAAACCCTAAACCCTAAACCCTAAACCCTCCCCAAACCCTTAGCTCCCTTGACCCCTTAAGCAGAGGTACCTTTTGCCGGCTTGGCGCTACGAGCCATGGCTTTCCGGCACCTTTGGCCCTTGAGCCCATACGACTCGCAGGTCTTGGCGTTTAGGGTTTAGGGTTTAGGGTTTAGGGTTTAGGGTTTAGGGTTTAGGGTTTAGGGTTTAGGGTTTAGGGTTTAGGGTTTAGGGTTTAGGGTTTAGGGTTTAGGGATTAGGGATTAGGGATTAACCCCTTCCATGCAGCTTCTCTGCCTCGTGCATGGCATTTGGGCTGCAGGGTCTTCAGGGCCAAGGGCTGGGGCTCGGAGGGTGGGGCATCGAGCTGTGTGGGGGTCGTGGAGTGTGTGGGCTGAGGCTCGATGCCGCTTGTTTCGTTGTCGGGTCGGCATGAGACAGGCTGCTTCTCTGCTGCGTGTTGCTTCTCGGCCGTGCATGGGATTTGCGAGCGCGAGCTTCCCGTTTTCTCCTGCTGTCATTGAGAGCATGCCAAGAGCCGTGCCCGTCTTGATGACAAGCAAGCAATTCCGAAAGCACAGCCCTTCAACCTCGTGCTAGTGGGGTTTCTAGGGTTTAGGGTTTAGGGTTTAGAGTTTAGTAGATTGTGGGTACAAGGGGAGCCGGGGCAGTAGGGGCACCAGACCAAGGTGTGCCAAATCTCATGAGATCTCCCTGTCGGGCCACTGGAGGTACAGCATCCTCGATTAGGCTCAGCCACGCCCGCTCAGCACACAGCCGAACCAAGAGCAGCGTCCTGGCTAGGATGGCCCTTAAAAGGGTTTAGGGTTTAGGGTTTAAAACCCTCTGAAAAATACTCCTGAAGATGATCCCCTCAAACCCGACAAGGGAACACAGAAGGGCCTACCTAGAGGCATATCCGGATTTTTGGGGCATGCCACTGAAGTACCTGAAGCAAACCCTCAGCCACGCAGCAGGCCCCCAACGAAACACGAAAGCCTGTGACCCCAAACCCTTACACCCGAACTCTCCCCTTAGACAAAAGCCCGATAGGGCAATGGGAGTGCCAAGCAGCTGACGCTGTGCCTGGTCATGGCTCACGACTCATTCAGGGCCTTGATTCCTTTGGCAAAAAGCACCTTCAGGGTGCGGGGTTGCAGGTTAAAGGTCAAATAGGGTTTAGGGTTTAGGGTAATTCAGGTCGGGTTTGGGGTTTAGGGTTAAAAAGGGTTTGCCCATGGCGGCCTGTGTAGGCTGTGACAAGACGTCTCAGGACCGTTCTGAAGACTTCGAACCCTTGTTTTACTGAGGGTTGGTTACACTCTAAGTGTGGAGGCGCCCCAAGAGCCCTCCTTTACAGGCGAGATCACAATTCTCTTCTGGCGACTATGACGATGAGAAACATCCCTTAAGACGTTGAGCATACAAGCCCCGCGCGCCTAAGCCCTGTAGACTCAAAGCCCCAAGCCCATGTATGTAAATAATATGTTTGGTATACCAACAAACATAAATACATACATACATACATACATACATACATACATACATACATACATACATACATACATACATACATACATACATAGACATAATAAGTAAACAAACAAAAACCACAACAAGCAAACACATTTCAATCTAAACACAAACGTAAAAAGAAGTATAGATAAAATATACATATGCATATACAGAGAAATGTAAATATACATATAAATATAAATATAAAAATATAAACATAAACATAAACATAAACATAAGTATAAATATACATAAATATGTATATGAGAATAAATACGAATATAAATATATAGAAGTGCAAACATAAACATGTGCAAACATAAATATAATTGTCAATATAAAAACAAATACATGAAATATATGTATATATATATATATATATGTATTTATTCATTACATGTAAACCCTAAGCTCTACCGAAAGGTGTAAGCCCTAAACCCTGAAACCCAAGGAGCCCTCTTTCGAACCCTCAGCCCAAACCCATCCGAAGGCGCGGCACCTTGTGGCCCATCCGCGTCACATTGAGCGTCTCCCAAAAGCTCGAGTCGATTCTCGCCAGGTCACCGCCGCCACCGTCCCTTCCACAGAGCAACCCTTAGGGTTTAGGGTTTAGGGTTCAGGGTTCAGGGTTTAGGGTTTAGGGTTTAGGGTAAGCCCTGAACCCGAAAGCTTAAACCCTGAACACTAAACCACTCTTACATGAATAATATGAATGTTAAGTAATTTGTTGGCAAGGTCACTCCAAGGTCAGTACAAGGTCAGAAAAATCAGGGGCAAGACCACCACAAGGTCACCACAAGGTCAATTGACCTTGTTATGACCTTGCCCGCTACTTTTATGACCTTGTAGTGGCCTTGCAATGACCTTGCCCGCTTTTTGACCTTGTTATGACCTTTCCCATATAAAGAGCGGGCAAGGCCATATCTTTGCGGGCAAGGTCACCACCAGGTCACTACAAGGTCATGAAGTAGCGGGCAAGGTCATGACAAGGTCACTACAAGGTCCCGTGACCTTGCTATGACCTTGCCCGCTAATTTTGTGACCTTGTAGTGACCTTGCCCGCTCTTTTTATGACCTTGTGCCCACAAGGTCGCCACAAGGTCCTCACCACCCCCTCCCCCCGCCACACACACCCCTCCCCCCTCCCCCCCCCCTCCCCGCCCCGGCCCCCCACACCCCTCCCTGTCTTTTTTTTAATGGGTTTGGCGTTGTGGGGCTGGGCGGGTATTGATTGGTTCGTTCCGTTTTAACGTTTTGCTGAGGTAGAGCTAAAGCACTTGAGCCGGGTGCCTGAAATCAGGTCCCGGGAAACGCCAAGGTTTAGAGTGAACTTTGTGTTTTCTTGGTGTTGTGGGACTCTTTGGGCGGGATGTTTTTAATCCCAAAGCTCGATCATTGCTTGACTAGAAAAAGCTAGAACATGAGATGCTGAACCCTAAGCCCTCCACCCTGAACCCTTAACCCGAAGAACTAAACGCCCTCAACTGCCCTTAAGGCACTCAATCGTCTAGGCACCTGTGGAATAACCGAGCTTTCGGGGCCAAGGGGGATGTGGTTTTAGGGTTTCAGGGTTCTGGAATCTCAAATGTCAACTGTCACACTTGCCGGCGCAGGATTATGAGACCTTATGTCACAGTTTTTCGCCACCGGCCCAGCAGACTCGCAAGCACACTGCAGGGATGCAATATGCCCACCCTAAACCCTATACCCTAAACCCTAAACCCTAAACCCTAAACCCTAAACCCTAAACCCTAAACCCTAAACCCTAAACCCTAAAAGGAAACACTACCAGTGCGAGGTCGCCGTGCAGGCATGACGACACCGTCCACTGCTAGGATGCTCAGTAACCCAGGATTAAAAAAGGGTACCCTTTTTTGCTTAAAGGGGTTTATAAGGGAACCTAAACCCCCCAAGAAAGGGAATAAGGGCACTACTGGGCATCCTAGACGAATAAGCACCAAATAGCTCTATCATGCCACCAAGCTGTTCCGACTATGAAAGGCAAGGCACACCTGTCCCAGTTTAGGGTTTCAGGTTTTTTATAGTTAAGCCCATTAAGTGCCCTAGTAACGCGGCCAAATGTAGCCCCGAACATGTAGAGATTTCTGTAGCTGTCTTTATAGAACGCAAGTCGTTCGTTTGCGTCGAGTAACCCGTATACCTTAAACAAAGGGGGTCTTGTGCAACCTGCAAGTTTTCTAGAGATTTATCTAGGTACAACGGTACAACACGCACAACTTGCAGGTTCTTGCGACACTCCGTCTCGGGCTTCGGCTATTTTTTCAAAATGTTGTTTTATTTTTCTGCTCGGGGTTTTGGGGCTTGGGGCTTTCT